CGAGTTCAAGGACAACGACGACTTCCGTCGCGACCCCGCCCCCGAACTCTCCCTCTATCTGCCAGACTGCGTCGTCGGCGCTATCGACGGAGTCAAGTTCAGTGTCAAGGGCAAGGACGTCTCCAGCGGTAAAATCGGAAACGCTTTCCACACAAACACCGAACTCAGCTTCAAGGCTCACACCCCCAGTGACGCTGAGAAATGGTGGTCCGTTATCAAGGAGGCTACCCGTAGCAGCCCGGTGCTGGCTGCTGCTGCACCGACGCTCGCTTCTCCCACAGCCGCCTCGCCTGCCGGCTCTACTGATCCCTCCGGCAACGTCTCCGGCCAGGCACTACCGCCCAGCTACGCCGAGAAGGAGACGGAGCATGCCCAGCCTGCTCAGGCTACTGCTGCTTCCCCTGTTGCTGCTAGTCCTGTTGCTGCTAGCCCGACTGCGGGAATTACCCGCACGGCTAGCACAGCTAGCCACTACCACACCTCGCCTGGTGGCTCCGCTGTGGAGAAGTCATGAGATGGATTCCCCATGCTTGTTTAGTCATAAATTATTGAGCCCTTTTGGCTTTTTTGGACTTACATTACCTCGACACACATACTTATATAACGCTTGTGCATCTCATTCGTTTGTTAGGGTGTAGCGTTTCATTCTATCCGGGGAGCGAAACACCCGTCAACTTGATATATACCTCTTAATGAATTTCTTTTCACAATAAAAAAAATATGCAATCAAATATCACCGCTAATCGGATCGAAGACCCTTCAACTATCAAATACACAAAGCGTGCAGAAATGTGTCGTCGAATCATATCATAGCCTATGCTGAATTCACACACAGGCATGCATGGACTAGATAGTCCCACCGTACATCACTGAAGACATTTTCATTTACCATATCAGAAATCCTCAGGACTTTCGAGGTCATTCAGTTTCTCCCCGAGGAAGCGTCCGAGCGCGGCGCATTTAGACTCCAGCGCAAGCAAGACAGCCGGCGAAGCGGTGAGATTCAAGCTAGCGAGACGTGCCAGATCAGCACTACGATCGATCTCAAGCTGCGGGTCTCGGTGGCCGTTTTGAGGCGGGTTCGGAGACGCAGGTACGGATGCCAGTGTGCGCGAGATATCACCATGTGAGCCATCGGGCGTCAAAGTTCCATTACCAGCGTCGAGGACACCATTATCAGCGAGAGAGTCGGCGTTAGTGGCGCCTTTTGGCTCCGATTTGTCTAGTCTGGATGGGCCAACGGCAGCGACGAGGACTTTATCCGCGATCCGAGTTACCACTGCGACGGAGTCGTCTAGTTCGAAGACGATCGAGCCTACGTCGCCTAGCGACATTGACTTGGCGGTCACGTAGGATGAGGGATGGCTGGCTGGGTTGACACCCGTGAGGTTCCCGGTTGAGGCTGTCTTGGCGTAGCATGTGTAGGCAGCGCCGTAAGTTGCGCTGAGGTTGCGTAATTGGCGTGAGGAGAGGGAGGAGCCGTGGGCGAAGACGGCACCGTTTGTTGCGAAGACACTAGAGAGATGTGGTTAGTAGGTGTGTCTTGCGATGGAAGCGCGGCGGGCATACATGATCGTTGTGATCTCTGGCGGGGATAGATTATCTTCCAAGAGGTCGCTTAGCGCCTCTGCGTCCAGCATCTTGATATCTGGGAGACCGGGAATCATCGTGTCGGTGTCGGTGTCGGTGTCCTGGCCTACCGAAGGCGTGTATTCCTCCTGGATCACGCGTTCCTCCTGCAGTGATACGCAATCTTCCTCTGCGATGCCAGCGTTTGGTGGTGTCCACGAGCAATCTTCCGGGAAAAAGAAGCAGTTGTCGTGATAGTCCTCGTCGTCGTGGTCGTATTCGATCGGCTCGTCAGAGTAGTCCAGTAGATTTTGAGCACACTTTGTTTCGTAACGGGCCCAGTAAGGTAGGAAGGTTGGTTCGAAGCGAGGTTGGGAGGTAGATATGGGTGTAGTAGTTGTCGAGGAGCAGTCGGAGATCGAATCAGAGAAGCCGGGAACTGGAGGAGATTCGCATTCAGCCATCTTCACACCCATAGATTCAGACTCCGCAGAGATTATAACGCGTTTGTTTATTCCCCACAAAAAAAGTAAAATCAATGGATAGAGAGCACAAGGGAAGCAGGTAATGTTTTCATAGCCGGGATTTGGCCAGCTAGATGACAGCGAATGAGGGGGAACAGGCAGCGCTTCGGAACCGTTGACTCAATGCGCACCCGAGCTCTCTGGTCCAAATGGAAAGTCACGGTAATTCCAATCGCACCCAGTGGCACGGAAAAAGAAAAAAGCAGGGAAACAGAGCTTTATGAGGCTCAGTACGACCAGGATGTCATAAGGGAGGTGTAAGAGACAGCTCCGCAATGGGAGCACCCTAGCGATCGGGCAAAGATGGGCGAAGCGTGTACATGAGCAGGGACATGATTGGGAGAGGAAGAGGGGGAGGATACGTGGAAACTGAGAGCTAAGCGCGGCAGTATGAGAAAGTCGAAAATTGAGAGACCGTTAGGGATGCGACACGAAGCCCGGGGGATGGAGGCCAATGGTAGGAAAGGGATCAACCGGGAGCGGGGGAGAGAGAGTGTGGAGGAACATGCAAAAGGATTTGACGAACCTGGCCTGTGTGAAGTTGTTGGGTTGGATCAATGGGGTTCGAGGGTATAGTCTCAATGTTTGGGAGAGAGGGGGAGAAGAGGAATTGGAGATCAAAGGTGGAGTTCCCGCATGACGTTGAACACGTTGAGGTATAACCACCTGGGCAGCTATTATATCGTATCTAGGTAATATTGCTTAGCTCAAGATCATCTTTCTATATTATCCTTGTCTATATTACCTATATTATCAAATGTTTATATAAATGTTTATTATATATATCCGTCCCCAAGGTCTTCATTTATATTTCACAACACTTAGAGACAGTCTCCAACAAGTAACTAAATATCTACTCTCAGTTCTATACATGTATACAATATCTATTCTACAAGCTACAAGAGACCTAGCTATCTCCGTGCTAGATATATAGCGTCATGTGCCCCACACTCTCCTCACGGCTGACAAAAAGCTCGCTTTTCGCCCCTCCATCCTCTAAAAATGCTCGCTCGTCTTTCCGCTGTCCAACAAAGATTTGTACCAATCAGTAAGTTCAATTCAGATTCAGTTGATAGCCCAATCACTAACGTTACTAGGATCTCTAGCAACAATGGCTTCCGATACCTCCACCTATAAGCTCAACCGTTCGTGAAACATGTAATCTCTTTCCATACAAACACTGACATGAGGACACGATAGACACGATGATGCGGGTCAAAGACCCGCAGCGATCGGTGGAATTTTACAAGTTCCTTGGTTTGAACTTGGTCAACAAGATTGATATGCCCGAGTGGAAGTTCTGCAACTATTTCCTGGCGTATGACGGCCCCGCCTCTCTCCAGGGTACCCGTCACTGGACCGATCGTAATGCCGTTCTAGAACTGACTCACAACTACGGCACTGAGAACGATCCCAACTACAGTGTGGTGAACGGAAACACCGAACCGCACCGTGGTTTCGGCCACATCGCCATCTCGGTTGACAACATCGAGGCCGCCTGCAAGCGGATTGAAGATGCTGGCTACCCCTTCCAGAAAAAGTTGACCGAAGGCCGTATGCGCCACATCGCCTTCGCCAAGGATCCCGATGGATACTGGGTTGAGATTATTCGTCGCTCCGATGAGAATCTCAGCACCACCACCGATCCGGGTAGCTACCGACTGAATCACACCATGCTGCGTGTGAAGGATGCCGAATCCAGCCTGAAGTTCTACCAGGAATCCATGGGCATGACTTTGGTCCGCACCATTGAAAACCCAGAGAACAAGTTTAACTTGTATTTCCTGGGATATCCTGCGTCCAACCCAGAGATCAAGGAGGGCAACAGCAATGGGGTAGCGGAGTGGGAAGGTCTCCTAGAGTTGACCTGGAACTACGGCACCGAGAAGCAGGAGGGCCCTGTCTACCACAACGGTAACACCGAGCCCCAAGGTTTCGGGCATATCTGTAAGTGGATGATCACACTTCTACTTTGTTATCCAATGTTCCTAACTTGAATCAGGTATCTCCGTTGATGACCTCCCGGCTGCGTGCGAGCGCTTCGAGTCTCTGAATGTGAACTTTAAGAAGCGCCTGACTGACGGGCGGATGCACAACATCGCATTTATTTTGGACCCCGATGGATATTGGATTGAGGTTGTGCAGAACGAGGGAATCAAGCGCACTGGAGACTGGTAGAAATACATTAGCCAAAGCATGTAACAACTCCGTATATTGTATACTGAATGTCACTTGACCAAAGCCTTCTGCTTATCCCCCGCCATTTCATAGGCTGCGGTGGGCCCTCCACCCCGCCCAACATTTTGATCTCGGACTTTGGCAATTTTATAAACCTCCTTCAATGGCTGGACGATGAGAATTTTCATTTCAACCCTCGGTGTGGGATGGATTAAACAGTGATCACGCCCATTTCCTATTTGCGGGGATTCATCGCCACATTGCATAACCTCAAGCTTCAGAACTTGAAAGAACCGGAGAGGTGACTCGAACTTCTATAAATCATGTCCCCTGATCTAGAGAAAACGAAAAAGGCACCCCGTAAACATGTCACCACCGCCTGTGTGCCATGTCGGGAGAGCAAAATCAGGGTGTGTGCCCCGAGCCTGCAAAAAGCTTAAACGGGAGTGGAAAGAATCTAATGTGCTTCCTTCCAGTGTGATGGAGCTACTCCGCACTGCCAAAATTGTCAACGCAAGGGAAAGGAATGCAAATACCAACATGGAGACGACAAGCGCAAGTACGACCTTCGCGGTTCATGCCCAAGTGACGAGCCAGCATAGGCATACACTTATTGTCCAAAGACTAATATAAACCAGAGTATCTCTTCGAGCATCAACGGAGCTATTCTCGGCCCGAATTGATCAGCTTTGTCATTTCATCCGGGAGAAGGGGCTAGAGCCACCGGCAATGAACCCAGAGGATGAGGCTGGGATGAACAGGGTATTGGATACCCTCCAGATCCCGCGCGCATTCCCCCAAGTTTCAGCAGTGGCGGATGAAAAGCGACCACCGGACGAGCCAACGGCCTCCAGTGTCTCAAGCAAATCCCCGACCCAAGAACAGCCTGCCGTAAATCCCAAGGGACAAACCCCGATCACTAATTTGGCTGTTTCTGGTGCATCCCCAGCGCATGATACCCCATCCAGTGGAAAGGTTCCGTCGCCTGAAGGTTGGAATCCATTTGGAATGGTACAGGGCGCTTCCGACGATCAAAACTTCGTCCATTGGGGCTTCACGTTGCCAACGGCTGAAAGCCTGGACACGATTTACGCCAATCTAAACGGAGGATCGGGAGCCTCTACAATGCCTAAAATGCCCGTCAACACGGAGCTGAGTCCGGATAGCTATCAGCTTGGTATGGACATGGCCCAGCAACCGGGGGTTTTGCTAGGCCAGGTGCCCAATGACGGAGAAAATGATTCGGACAGCGGCGAAGAGGACGAGGCTGAAAATGACGTTATAGAGCAATTGTCGCACCGAATTGGCACTTTGAAAATTGCGGGTGACGGCCATCTGCGATTCTACGGTCCCACGTCCAACCTCAACCTAGTGGACGTGTCTGCGACACAGCAGCGGCAGCGACCAGACGCGCGGACTGTGCGCCACGATGGTCAGGATATTCTGAATCACCTCCGGGTTGGTCAGCCAGTTGATCAGGCCTTGGAAGATCATCTTATAGAGTTATATTTCACCTGGCAAAACCCTAGTACATACATTGTCGACAAAGAGATGTTTATGATGGCACGAACTAAATGGCGCAACGAATTGGATGATACTCCGTTCTACTCGGAGGTTTTGACCAATGCAATGTGAGTTCATCTTCATTGACTGGTATTTACGGGATATACTGACTTGTTGCAGGTGCGCGATCGGGAGTGCCTTTGAGGCCCGTTATCACCCTACATTCATCACTTTTCCCAAGTCACTCTCTGAATTCTTCGCAGATCGTGCTAAGGCCCTTCTGGAGATTGAACTTGACTCTCCTTGTGTTGCTACTGTCCAGGCCCTTGTCATTATGAGCTGCCACGAGGGTGCATCGAATCGCGATGCTCGAGGTTGGCTGTATAGCGGTAAGTATCTATCTTGGAGATGGGAAACGACCAACGCTAATCGACCAATGGCTGCACAGGAATGTCTATGCGGCTTGCTTTCGATCTTGGTTTACACCTAGATATGACGGCCTACGTCAACAAGGGCGATATCACCCAGTTCGAGGCTGATGTACGCCGTGCAACCTTTTGGGGAAGCTATGTTGCAGACCAGTGAGTTTTCGCGCCTTTTATATTATGAATATCTCTAACAGTACCTAGTTTCTGGGGCTTCTACTTGGGCCGCCCGTTCCGCATGAACGCTGGAGACATAGGTGTTCCAAAACCTGGCTCTACTCTTTATCCTGAAAAGGAAGAAAACTGGCATCCATACGGCCATCAAGCTGCTCATGGGCTATCTGAGAACGGTCTAAGGAACCCCATGGAACTAATATGTAGGCAATTTGTCGTTCTATGGGAAATGATCTCCCCAGTTGGACATATTTTGTATGTGAATTTTGCATGTCATTCAGTACAACGCTAACATACTTATAGGTATGGATGTTCCGATATCTCTCGACACGACTTGCAAAGAATCTGCTATCAAGTGACGGAAGATTTGTTTGCCTGGAAAGCAAATCTTCCTTCTAGTCTTCAGATTAATCTGGACGATGATAAATCACCAGTATTGCCTCATTTGATGATGCTGCAGTAAGTTTGTTCCAATACAATAGCCACCTGAGATCATACTAATAGTATCTTGTAGCATGCAATACCACCAGATCATCATCTTCTTCCACCGTCCATGGCTCTCCAAAAGCTATATCCAGCCCCGCAGCCCTCGTCAAGGCCCCGGGTATCACCACGCACGGCGCATGTGCGTAGAGTCAGCCACCGCCATCGCACGACTACTCCAACTCTTCGAGAAACACTACACCTTCCGCCGCATGAACAACCAAGTCGTAGCGATCATATTCAGCGCAGCGCTCATGCTTCTATTCGTCACGGTGTCCGGTTCCCCAATGAGTCCAGTCAAACACAGTGAAAGTCCGACGTTCCCCCGCAACGCAGAAATGGTAGCATATCTCAATCTATGCTTCCGCGCTCTCGACGAACTCGGCCAATCATTCGACAATGCTAAGCGCACCCGCGACTACCTTGTCACCCTCCAGCGACGTTGGCAAGCACACATGCGCCGATCCGGCTCAGCGACAAAACGCCAAAATAGCAGTGCTAACTTGGAGTTGCTGGGCTCACATAAGCAGTCTATACAGCATACCCGTGCTGTCAATGCTTACGGAATAGATGGCTCACGGAAGAAATCCCGTTTATCTGTTTCCGAGGCACGTCCCCATATGCAGCCGACAGCACCTATAATGAACAACCAATACTCCCGCCTCTCTCAGCAAACCATGCCTCCTCATCACCAATATCACCAGCAAAACCCTTATCAACAAGCTCCCTTCCCTGTCCCAGTTCCTGATTCCCAGTTAGGTGATCTAGACTGGATCCCTAACTCGGACATGCGTCTTTTGTCAGAGACTCAAAATGGCAACGTGGTAAATGGCATGGGCCAGATTTCTTCTCCTCCCTTCCCCGAGGACCCCAACATGCTCTCAGACATTGCGGCCATTGATGGATGGTGGGCATCGGAAAACTATAGGGGCTCAATTCCGCCATGAAATCCTTATTGGTGACCACGTAGTGACTCTGTTCTTTGCTTTGCTTGTCTGCATATTTACAGCATTGTCAAGAGTACTTAATCCATCGAGTCGGTGAACTTGCCACACCCTGTTGCCTGGATGAACGTGCTATAATTGATATATATATATACATCACTCTATTAGAAGGGCACTCACATGTACAATTATTTACATATTTCCACATTCCAAACCTTTATGGATTCCTTCCGCACACAATTCAACACCTAAATCCAATTATATATCCATTGTAACCAGTTTTAATCTGTATCATCCATCGTTCCCTGAAACACATCCTTAAACCAATCACCCACTTCCTCTCCCCCATTCTCATCAATACTTCTTACTCGAGCTAAAGTAACCCTTCGCTCCCCAAACCCCTTCTCCCGCCCCCAAAAGCAAGCCCGCCGCATAGCAGAAACCATCTCATCAGCCTGTCTAGCAAGAACGGTAGACCCGGAGCCCCCGTCTCTACTCTTCTTCTTCATCTCCACCGCAGAAGACAAAGAACTAGAAGCCAAAGCAGCACTACCCTCTCTCAACAAAACCCGAACCCAAGGCAAGGTCATCTCCAATCGCCCAATCCCATCCTTAGGCTCAGACCACGTATCCCCATTAAGCCCATAATCTAGTCCATACGGCGGCCAGCGCGAAAGCGCCTTCCGACGCCGCGTAACAGTAGCACTGATATCCTCGACATTGTCCGCATCTATATCGGGATACACACAGATTGACCCTTCCGCCGCAGCATATTGCTCGGCTGTTGTGCTTGGCGTCTCCTTTAGCACGGGGATGGGGTATTCCGGCCCCGTGAGATACTGTGGGAACGTGCGAGGCACGTCCCGACCTGCAGAGCGGAGGAAGAGGATTGGCGACGCGAAGGAGTCGAAGCAGCGCTCTGGTGTTGAGAAGAATTTTGAGCGGGCCTCGAGGAGGGGGAGTAGGTCTGGTGGTGCTGGGGTCTTTTTTCTTGGTTGGCGCTTGTGTTTGGATATTATTGAGATTGAGGTGGTATTGTCACCAGCTTCGTTCTTGGGCATTGTGGTAGCGCTCTCGCGCGTGCAGTACTCATCTAAGCCGGGCCAGTCGCAGATGGGTTCGACGGCGGCGACGGCTTGGATGGATTGCGCTTCTGTTAGAGCTAGCATGAGAGCTAGGGAGCCTCCGACATGTGTGCCGAAGATGGTTAGTTGGGATGGTCGGAGGTTATTTCGGATCCAGTCGAATCCGGCCAGGGTATCGTGGACTGGGGTTGGGTATTTGTAAGAGGTGACTGGGTTGCTTGGTTGCAGGGTTTGGTCTGGGACTTCAATTGGCTCTTGTAGGATAGAGCTTTTATCTGAAGACGGGAAAATAGGTGTTGGTATCTCCCCGAGGCGGTAGTTGACTGTGACTACCAGTGCAGACGCAGTAGATGCCAGGACATGCTGGGGTGAACCTGCTGCATAGGCCAAAACGTTGGTATCGACAGTCCTTTGGTGACCAACTTCGGAGTTTTCATATTTTTGAGATGCGCTCGTGCCATTCTTCTGTAGCAAAGGTCCAGGGGGAAGGTAGAGGATTACATTTGGGCCTTCTGGAGACTGCCCCTGCTGAGACCAGCTCAACGCGCTCGGTCGCGTAATTCTGGGGACAAAGTTAGCATGTATGACTAGGGTCTAGAGGAAAGGGTATCTATTACTTGAGAGATATAGACCCATTATTTCCAATAGGAAGAGAAACTGTCTCATCTGTGCAATCGGATGAAACAGTCGAATATCGGGAGCTCTGGAAACACGCGACGGAAATGCGCGTAGCTCCTCTGCTGCGACGCAGGAAAAGTGCTATCCCGCGGGACGAGCAGATAGTATGTCGCATAGCACTATTAAACATGCACTTGATGTTTGATAAAACTTGTCAGGATCAGGCTGTTGGCCTTGCTATCCGAACGTAGTGGAGGCCTGATGATGCCTGAATAATCTGGCCATATAAAAGGATCTCAACATTAAAACACCCCAATAATAATGATGCTTGTTCAAAGATTAGATTCATCTTAATAGAGTTCGTTACAGTCGGTATTCTAATAGCATTATATTCTGCACATCATTCTTCAATCCCAGAGCAAATGAACACATATGTAAGCACGAATGACAATTTTGTATCGCTCTCCAATTTGAATAAACCGAAAAAAAGGGCTATGAGGCATGCAGTAAACAGATAGCCAGTTCCTCCAATAGTCCCTTCACAAATAAGGGTCTCGCTGAGAAGTGGTCGCCGACGCCGCAGGGTCGTCTCGGTCCAGAGGAGCTTCAGTATCATCCTCTGGCACAGGATGCACAACTTGCAAAACCAACTGCGGATCCTTGGAGTAAACTCGCAAGCCAACCACACAGACGGCATTCCACGGGTCAACAGGAGGCCCGTCACGTTCCGTTGATGGATGGTGATTCTTCACATCCGCCTCGTCGGGAGGCATATCAAGATCGCTGTCGAATTCGAACCCTTCTAGTATCTCAAGGTCATTCGAGTCTAGAGACTCTATAGCAAAGCGAGTGTCTATACTGGGACGTGGAGACTCGGCCCCGCGTCGCCAGCCAGTGCTTGCATGTCTTGCGTGCAGGCCCTGGCCGCCGTTGACGTGGATGATTGGGACAGAGCCGTTGATACGGTGGTCACCGGTTTCACTTGAGACGTCTGCAGCATCGACGGGAGAATCTTCTACTGACTTCCCTGTCAAGATTTGGCTGGGGATAGAATCACGTTCGTGGTTGTGACTGTAGGACCTGCTGCTGGGGGTGCGGGTCCCGCGCCTTGCTTCCATGCGCTCTTGTCGGGCATTCATCTTCTGGTTGAGGATCCAATTCTTCTGCATCTTTTTCTTGACCTCGTCGCGAAGTTTTCGCCGCTCAAGTTCCTTGAAACGCTCCTGCTGCGCCCTTTCTTCGTCTGTCTCGCCTACCATTCCCTTCGCATGCGCGAGGTCATATGAAAGGCCGACTTGCACCAGTTTCTCTCTTCTGGTCGAGGCAACCTGGCGGACAATTTCCTCGGTCGAGTCTACGCCTTCGTGACGGAAGGCCGTGATTTTCATCAGGACGTGATAGTGACCTGGGTCAAGATTAATCTCGGCATTGACAGATCGGCCCATGAAGTGGCTGCTATGGCTGCGGACGAGATAATCTTCTTCTCCCTTCTTTTGCAGGCGGAACTTGAGCACGAAGCTGTACTCGCCAGCTAGTCCTTTGAAATAACGCGTATCAAGCTGTGTCTGTCAGCCACTGTGCAATAGCAGGAGTAAATAGCGCATAACGAACCTGCGATAGGACAATGACTACCGGACCACTCTTGGTCACATCCATCATGAATTTGGTGCCGTGGTAATCAGCGGACCAGGGAACATTCAATGTAGTCCATTGCTGGGTAATGGTCCATTCGAGCCCAAAAAGGCGAGTCCGGTCTAAGTGCTGGTATTTCCTGAGGAGGTCTTTATAAGAGATCCAGAAAAACTGGGACAGGTCAGCATATTCAGTGAAAACTGTGGATTAATACCTACACCATCGTTGCCAAATTGATGGCCAAGAACTTTCATCCACTCAGGCGTCCATTCTTTGGATCCATCACCCCAGGCACCGTGCCATTCTTTGCGACCCCATGGGTTTCTAGGTGTCGTGAGCTTTTTTGTTCATTTGCCTTTAGCGGGCACATTCATGCACATACCTCAGTCGCAGAAGACGATGTCCGTCAATCTCCCGGGCTTCCATGATGGAATAGGAGTGGCCCTCAGCGATACCCTTTCGATCCCTAGGTGGACCCTGGTACTTGGGATCTAACCAGTTTGAAAACATGCCCGTCCCGCAACCAAACAAGAATTCCTGGTTGACCTTCATGAGTTCCTCGGTCCAAAAGCGGTCCTTGTTCAGGATATTGCTAGACAAGACCTCCGATGTGACGCCTCCGGTGAGATCCTCAAGAGCTTCACCAACAAATCCGCCCTCGATCGCGGAATAGTCTCCGTGGGCCTTCGCAAAGGCTTTCTCCAGAAGAGGAAGCCAGGTCTCGTTGTCATCGACACACTGAGCAAAGTACAGGGCCCGCGAGCCCGTCTGCCACACTCGCCGGTACTCTTCCTCCGTATCAGTTCGGGTTATGTCGTCCCAAAGGGGTCGCTCATCCACAGACTCATCATAGTCAGCAGCGCGGAGATATAGCTTGTCATCTACAATGCACTGCTGCCACTCGCCGTCTGATTGAAAAGTCAGCATGTTTCCAAGTCTAATCGGACTCCGCGCACACGCTTACCGCGATGGAAAACAAATCCGTAAATCCCAGCATCTTCATTGCGAGCAACACAAATTTTCCGGATAAGCTCCTCCTTATTTCCCATGGTACAAAGTGCAGCCATAAGCCAACAATCGCCATCATAGCCCTGCCGCACATCTGACGCGGTAGGCCCATCAACGAAGAACTGCGGATTCTCAAAAATTTCCTAGCAAGTCATTAGCAAACCTCCAATCACCCCATGGCAGGTTACTTTCGAACTAACAGTCACTCTCTTCACGCCTCGGGGTCTCATAAACGTATTCGGTTTATCCAATCCATCGAGATAGTGCCTCCGGCCAGACTTTAGATCTAGCTCGATGTCGAAGTGGGGGTCCGTATATTTCTGATTCACACGCTCGCATTCCTTGACAATACGATCGACGGACTTTTGACATTCCTGGCGCGCTTGCTCGTACGATTTGACGGCCTCGTGGCCCTGGATACGGCCGCTGGGTACACGCTTGGCCCGAGTCCGTGCGTACGGATTGTCCGGCAGCACCGTGTATACTTTGCCCGGATACTTGGTGTTAAATTGTTCCCAGAACTGCTTGACGGATTCCTGAGGTGCTTGATAACGTGGACGGGGGGTCGGCTGTTTGAGCGCGAGGAGCCTGGTCCTGCGACAGCATAACCCATCTCGTCGTCGAACTCCATGGTTTGGGGGTCTCTGGGTTTTCTTTGCTGGGTCGAAGTTTCAGGTTATTCTCTCTTGTTTTTGTCTTTTGGGAGGGAAGCACAGTGAAAATCCCTGGGCGGCTATCTCTCTTATACCACACTAATGAACGTGAATGGTGATCACGGATGAAAATAAAATAGGATTGCTCTTCTAAACAAGATATATCCGGGAGACATTCCCCAATTTTCCCCTCACACGGCCACTCCGAGCCAAGCACGCAGCCCGAGCCTTCCTGCCCTCGTATTGATTCGCTAGGCGTCCATAAAATGGTTCGTAAGGCTGCATGTGCATTGGACTAGTGTATGAACAACAAGCGAATCTGACAACATAGCGTGCTTTCGGCCCCCACCTCGCTTCTCAGCCCCCTATTATAAAGGGCCACAGAACGAATAAGCATGAAATCCGAGTCATACTTCGACTAGATTACAGTCTCAAACAGGTAGAGATGTGAGACAGCAATGAGAAAAGCAAGGAAGGAACTAAACTTGGAAATGGTTAGCATGTTTCCGTTGTGTGGGGTCCCGGGGCGAAGTTCAGCTGACATGCCGAGTCTCGACCCGCAGTATATTAACCTGAGGCTGAAAAAAAGCTACAATGGTATCATTTTGCACAGGTTACAGGGTAGAAAGGGTATGTACGCCTGTTATTCACTAAAGCACTTCGTATCCTGTAAGTCCGCCCTCCATATCACTCCCCATTGAACGCCGAAAGAGGAGAAAGAAAACATGCCCCATATCATTCCCCACTGTGAATAATATTACACGGAAAATGTGAGGAATCGTTACACTATTGGAAGTTGTTACTTTGGCCACGTCCGGAGTAGTGCGCGGTGCCATGACGGAAGTACGGGTGGAGGCAGGCCTGCTTGGCCGACAGTCGGTGTGCAGGGTCAAACTCGAGCAGAGACTCCAAGAGCTGACATCCAGCCTCTTCCAGCCCGGGGACGATCTCAACATCAGGGCGCTTCCACTTGGGGAAAGTAGCTTTATAGTCGGGGAACGAGGTCACACCGGGCCAGACGTCTTCACCAGGGGTACCGAGGACACTGCAATTTGTTAATACGGTTGAATATAGAATAGAATAAAACCACTCTTACCGGAAGATCTTGAAGATCTCGTCAATTTCAGAGTCACCGGGGAAGAGAGGTTTGCGAGTGCACATCTCTGCGAAAATGGCGCCCACCGACCACATATCAACACCCGTGGAGTACTGACGGCCACCGAGCAGAATCTCTGGAGAACGGTACCACAGTGTGACAACCTGTAAATTGAGTTAGTAAACGGAGAGTTTTATCAATGCCATCGAAAATGCAATGCATACCTCGTGGGTGTACGTTCGAAGGGGAACACCGAACGCTCTGGCAAGACCGAAATCGGCCAACTTCAGGTTGCCTTCACGGTTAATCAACAAATTCTGGGGCTTCAAGTCACGGTGCAAAATTCGGTGGCTATGGCAGTATCGGATACCCTCAACAAGCTGAGCCATGAATTTCTTGACCATTGCATCGCCCAGGCCCAGAGTTACACCCCCCAATCCATCGGGCAAAGGCTTTCCTCGCCCACCGTCACTGACAGGCAGAGCCTCCATGTATTTCTTAAGATCGCAATCGAGGAATTCGAAGACAAGGTATAGCTTATGACCATCGGCGTGGACAATGTTAAACAGCTGGACAATGTTGGGGTCCTTCATCTCCTTAAGCAGGGAAATCTCGCGGATTGCAGTGCTGGGGACGCCCTCATCTTCGGCTTCGAGGCGAATCTTCTTCAGGGCAACGATACGATTGGGGTGACTGAGTTCACGGGCCTTGTAGACCACACCGTAGGTGCCTATGGAGCATCGACGTGTGAGTTGGGCTGTGGGTGACAACAATCGCGTCAAGGGTGCATACCTTCGCCAATTTTCTCAATTTTCTGATAGTTTTCCATGGTGGCCGACATCCGATCCTTTTCTGCTATTAATGAGGTTAACAATTGCAAGCTAGAGAGGCCTCAATGGGAATTTGACAAGGATTGGAGGACGTTGCCAAGAAGAATTTGTAGGGGAAGCAAGGAGAGGAGGTAGTCACTACTTACTGCGAGGATGTTGATCTCTAAGAACAGCTGGAGCAGCACGCTCTCCAAATTCCACCTGGAGATCGAAAAAAAGTAATTTGTTGAAGAGATAATTGACAAGACAGTATTTCAATGGTGGGGAGAGAAAGACACAAAACAAACAACCCCCGCGCCTATCATAGGGCGGTGAAGCGCGTACCTTTTCCTTCCATGTTCAACTCTCTTGCGGAGTTCATCTCTTCGCAATGGCCCAAATTAAGGGTTTGAGTGCTTATGATCGCCCTCCTGATCCAGTGAGACTTTGCTACAAGAAATATTCCAAGATTGCCTTGTCCGAAATTGACGACGACCCGGGGATCCTCGACCTACAACGGATCGATCCTGACCAACTGCCCGACGATGTGACGATCGAGCAGTATATGTCGAGCCAGGATCTGCGATTGGCATTTGACGATTTCTATCGTGGAAGCCATGCTGCAACAGAAGAAGATGCTCCTCTGACTGAGGATATACCAGTATACGCTCACAAGTCGATTTCCGGTTAGCATTGTATCGCCTCAATTTGGAACTGACCTAGCAGGACAAAGAGCCATGCCTGACCTCCTGACAGGTCTCCTGATGATCCCCGCCTTATTCCCTCCTACTATCCAGATCGAATTGCTCTCTCGCCTATTCCACCGAGACTTACCGAACCCCGAGCATCAGACGAACCTACACCTGCACTACGATGTGACGTACCCGGAAGAATCAGAAGACACCCACATGCCCAAGTCTTTCTTCGCAGATGATTCCATGCGTTCTTTCCAGCCCAAGGATCCCCAGGTGCACAAGCCTTTAACTGTTCAAAATATCTTGGAGAAAAAGCTGCGCTGGGTGACATTAGGTGGACAATACGACTGGACCGCCAAAGTATACCCTTCTGCAACCCCGCCGGAGTTCCCACCGGATATTGCAACGTTGTTACGTGCGGCCTTCCCAGAAACCTCAGCCCAGGCTGCAATTTTGAATCTCTATTCCGCCGGGGACACGTTGAGCGTGCACCGGGATGTGAGTGAGGAGTGTGACGTAGGCTTGATCAGCGTGAGTTTTGGATGTGATGGATTGTTTTTGGCTAGCCACGACGATGGAAATGGTTGCGAGATCATTCGGCTTCGCTCAGGCGATACTGTCTACATGAACGGTAAATCGCGGTTCGCCTGGCACGGAGTCCCGAAGATTCTGCCCTCTACCTGCCCGAAATGGCTGGCCAACTGGCCATCATCTGGAGAGTCTGCTCCGGGAATGCCGCCTAGTCCATACGAGATGTGGAAGGGTTGGATGTCCAGCAAGCGGGTCAACCTGAATGTTCGACAAATGACGACCACTCAGGCTTCCGAATAGAGAGCAGATCACATTTGAAAATGGGAAATCTAGATGTCAGTAACACCCTCAGATTCTTTGGTCCAAACGTGAACAACATTCTACCGTGGGCTACCAGAGACAGTTGTGCTGTTCTAATGAGTCCAGTCATGTTTTGCAATCCAATATCCAAAATCATTGCTACCATTCACAAAGCGCTCTTATCTTTTCGTTGGAGAGCAATGCAAATTACGATTCCGCGAAGTCCGGCGGACGTAATAAGCAACCACCCCCTAGATGAACCAATTACACTTAATATAATATGGGCTATCTCTGTACTCCAAAACAAACCCGAGGTAGTGCGGAAACTGCATCAATGAGTCCGACCCTAGCCATCTCCTTGTATTTTGTTATAAAGCATGAACATTGCCTCGGTCATGTTGCTTCTGTAAATTGGTTGTGCAAACTCATTATCTGGAAAATAAACCCTCTGAAGCACGAGAAAGCGCAGAATAGATCTAATGATTAAACATGCCCTCACACGGGCTTCGGCCGAGGAGGTGCTTGAGACCATTGCAGCAGTGCTGCCCACAACGGCCAACAGGGCGATGGCAGATCGTAGAGACGCCATACTGATGTTTATTATCCACTAGGTGACATCTTGGAAGGAAAAGAACAAGTGGAATTACCGACCTTATGTACATGTTATCATGGCTGTAAGGGCGGAAAGGCACTCCAGCTGTTTCACACACAATGACTCCCATAACCCCACACTCGTGCATAAATACTCTCATGCAGAAGCCTTTTACAATCTTTCAACTACAATTCACAATGGCTGGTACATCCTGGGAACTGAAAGGCAAAGCCAAACGGCAGTCAATTCTAAATGCCATCCCGGAGAAATGGCGATTGAAATCTGCTGTCCCTCCAGCTACAGAACTACGTGACGTCACAGGGGATTATATCCGACAATACCTCACCGAGCGTGAGATTGAGATCACAGAGACAGATGCCGTAGACATTGTGGACCAGACATCTACAGGCCGCTGGTCAGCTGTGGAGGTGACAGAAGCCTTCTGTCACCGAGCCGCACTCGCTCACCAACTCGTACGTATATATAGTCACAGTGCACAAGGATGCACCAACATAAATAAGTGAACGCTAACTATAGATTAAACCCTAGGTCAGTTGTCTCCACGAAGTATTCTTCGAAGCAGCAATTGAAGATGCTAAACTGCAAGACGAATACTTCGCAAAGCACAAAACCCCAACAGGGCCCCTGCATGGCCTACCTGTGAGTCTCAAAGACCAGTTTCATGTGAAAGGCGTCGAAACCACCATGGGCTACGTAGGCTGGATAAACAGCTTCCAAGGCCAACAGAACGATCCGCGTAGCGGCACAGAAGAAAGCGAACTCGTCCGCGAACTTCGCAATCTCGGCGCAGTCCTGTACTGCAAGACCAGCGTGCCAGCCACCCTAATGGCAGGCGAAACCATCAACCACATCATCGGCTACACCTGGAACCCCAAGAACCGCCTGCTGTCCTGCGGCGGTAGCTCTGGCGGTGAGGGCGCCCTCATGGCGCTCCGCGGATCGCCTTCTGGATTTGGCACTGATATCGGCGGTAGTGTGCGCATTCCTGCTGGGTTTAATTTTCTCTATGGGCTTCGTCCTTCGGCGGGTAGGACTCCTTACCAGGGTGCTGCTAACTCGATGGATGGCCAGGGCACTATGTTGTCTGTTATTGGTCCGATTGCGCCAAGTGCAAGGTCTTTGACGCTATTGTTTAAAGCAGTTCTTAGCCAGAAGCCTTGGCTATATGATCCACTTACGTTGGAGCTGCCGTGGCGGGATGAGGTTGTTCAAGAGACAAGGGCGTTGATTGAGAAGGCTCGGGGCGGTGCGTCGACGCTTGCATTCGGTATTATGAAATATGATGGGGTGGCTCGTGTCCACCCGCCTATTGCGCGGGGGCTCAGGATTGTTGAGAAAACGCTACGGCGGTTGGGTCATCGAGTTATTGAGTGGAAGCCTCCTTCTCATGCTGTTGCCGATGCACTGGTTGTATGTACCCCCGTCTTTGTGTTTGCGTGGGATTCAGCATGGTGCTAACTTGTGGCAGGGTAAAGTATTCGACATGGACGGCGGCGCGGACATCAAGTATCATTTCGGTCTATCTGGAGAACCTGCAGCTCCCCAAATATTTAGTACCATCCTTGGTACTGAGATGACAGCATCTCAGATTGCCGAGCTCAATGTTAGAAAGCGTCTGTATCAGAAACAGTACATGGATTACTGGAATAGCACAGCCGAGGTGACAGGCACAGGGCGCCCTGTTGATGGGATCTTTTGTCCATTGGCACCTCATGCCGCTGTTATTCCCAATGAATATAAGTCTGGGGGATATACTGGATTTGTGAGTTTGCTTGACTATACTGGTCTTGCGATTCCAGTCACGTTTGCGGATAAGAAGGTCGATGTGCGATCGGCTGATGGGTCTGTGAATGATTCTGAGGACATTGAGTGGGATTGTGAGTTTCCCATATGCATTTTCTCTTGTGAGTTCATGCTGATCGATGTGTAGATGATGCCGAGACCTATGATGGGGCCCCAGTGGGGGTGCAATTGGTAGGCAGGAGATTGCAGGAAGAGAAGATGTTGACTCTGGCTGAGTATCTGGGCGAAGAGATTGCTCAAGATGTGAAGGAGAGGGTCTAATTCCAACAACACCAGACTGTATCTGGCGCGTGCTTGTTTATTGTCATCAGGTCACTTTGACAGAGCCACTAGGCATCAATTACGATCAAAATGATCATTGAGATTCCATATGGTCATGATATTCTCTAGTAAGAAGAGTAGATCTAGGAGCAGATGGAGAAGAAGTAGATCAAACCACCTACTGTCTCAAGTCAATGCAAAATATTAAATAATAGCCCCCAAACGCCTTGTCCAATGCTTTTCTACAAATATTATACTCCAAATCCGATCAATTCCTAGATGATGGAGGCGTCTGTCCCGAGGGTGCAGCAAGATTGGATAAATGGGGCGTGGAAGATCCCCAAGGTTTGCCAGCTGTAGAAGGTGGAGCATGACCAGACTCGGACGAAGCACCAGATGGATCTTCTGAACCATTCATGAGGCGCTGCCGCTTAGCCGGAGGCAGCCCACCCACCTGGGACATACCACTCGGTAGGGTGCTGGGCGGGCTACGAGGATCGGCATAGGAGTGAGGTGAGGCGTAGTGCGCAGATGAAGCAGGGGTGGAGGCAGCTGCAGCGTCTGGGCTCAAAGCCGAAGCAGATTGCAGGGGACGCAGGCGATTCGGGTGAGAAGTGGTGTCTTCGCCTGGGCGTGGAGGCCGGACATCAGGGCTTTGCTGAGACTGACTTTGTTCTGGATCCCCTAACGGACCGGGGTTTCCATAACCAACCCCAATCCGGCCCATGCCCTTATCGTGCATAACGACACGTCTCCATTTGGCGACCACGCTGTCATAGTCCCACCTTGTAGAGTCGGCGCTGATGTGGCTATCTTGTGCGTCTAATTCCCGCGCTACCTCCCGTGGTAGGGGGAGCGTGTCTGGGGGAAACAGTGCGAACTCACGAGGCCACTGGCATGAACCGAGTCGCTCGACCTGTGCACGCAGCTGGTTTGCTTCCTGTTGCACTCGAGCGAGTTGCTCGTCCGAGGACTTCCGCTTCTCTGCTTCACGCGCAAATGCGCGTGTGATCTCCAATTGCCACGCGTCTCGACGGGTCTCGTGGGGCAGAGAATTCCAATGATTGAAGGCCAGTTCTAAGTGTCGAAAACTGATATCTTCGTGTTGTTTTGCGCTCCGGTATATCATGGTCGGATCCACCCCGCTATTCCCATGTCTAGTGTGAGATGCACTAGACTCTGCTGCGAGTTGGTCGGTCTGCCATTGTGCAACCTTGGAACGAAGGGCTTGGCGGATTATGTCGAGGTGCTCTGCGCCAGGGGGCTGGAGAGGAAACGAGGTGGAGGAGGGAAACGGATGTGTCGCGAACAGGCTTGGTGGAGGAGGGAGCAGCTGCAGACACATGGAGGGGAAAGTCTGAGCTTGCATGTCGAAGTCGAATGGAGACAGCCGAGGTCGGATACGAAAGCTAATGTTTTGTGAGCTTGGCGGTTAGATATAATAATGAATGAGCCGGCATACCTCGCAGCTTTGATATTATCAAGCACCTCGCGCAGTGCCAGCTCGAGTGCCCGCATTGTGTCCGGGTTGCTGGCGCTAGCACCTCTACTCGCATAGTCCGGCAGTTGTAACGATGCTGTCCGAGACTGCGATGGCGCAATGCGAGGCCCATCCGGGACGCGGCTGGGGTTCGGGATGTCATTGATCACCCCAGTCGCGTGCCAGGTGGGTGTGTTAAACATCATGCGCACTGGAGCCTCGCGCGACTTCGACCCCGAATCAGCGCCTGTAAACGGCTCAGATATACCCTTTTTCTGGCTTCGTTCAGGAGTTCCCTCGTTCTTCCCTGTGGATGTTCGGGCTTGGCGCCGGGTGATTCCACTGCGAATTCGTCTGATCTCTTCGACATCGTGGATTCCGTCTGGTTTCTTCTTAAAAGGAATTGGTCGAGGTGTCGACCCAATGATGAGGATGTAAATGCCTGTTCACAGTACTGGCATTTGCGATCTTTGGCAGCCAGACTGGCCTTCGACTCGTCACCGGCAGTCGAGCCTTCGGGGGTATCTCTGGGTTCTGTTTCTTCTTTCATGGTCAGGCAAGTAGAAAAGGGAGATGAATTTAATATATAGAAAGTGGACTTAAAAAGTCATGGCATATGTAGGCCAGAAGCAACAAGTTGGTATAGGCAAAATTCAACGCGCCAGGATGAGGAGGACGGAAAAATGCCAAGCTTTTGGGCGCGGAGCTGCGCGATGAGCAATTTTGTTGGTCAAGGCACATGGAGATTTATTTTAGCAATTATATGTCGGACTTATTGATCTCTAAGGAATTATATATGTGTAACTATTGAATGCTACCTATGCAAGTACTGGGTGGTCTCTGCAATGTAACTAGGGCTCTCAACCAATAGACAAAGCAGAATCGATGTGACTGCCTAGGTGCATATAGTACTTCAGCAAATCAAAAGCAAGGAAATAGTTTATTCTTTCGGAGAGAACCGCAATTACTATATATTTGTTATGAGTATAGAGCCTAGCTATCCTCTACTTTATCAAAACTCGGACATTACGTTGAGTCAATGACACACGCGGAGAGAGAGGGTGTAGACAAACACAGGAGGCTGGAGAGACTTGCACACAATGGACCATTGCGCTGCATGGAAGATACAGTGTAACCACGTTCAAGAACGGGCTTTTCCCTGTCTCGTCTTACGCGCACTGAACCGACGTTTCATGCTGCGAACACCGCGCAAATACAACCAAGAGAAAGCGAAAACAAGAGCAAAGTTGAAGATGATATATCCCCAGAGGATTCCCTAATAGAAGTCAGATTGGTCTGAGCTACAACGTTAGCCAAAGGGGTACGAGGCACGATACTCACATAATCTCTCCATTTGTGCGAGTAGAACACATTGAAGCTCCTAGCCTGAAAAGTGTAACGAAGTTCTAAGTCAGCCATACTCCATCTCTGCTAATAAAGATATCCAAGCAGATAGAATGATAACGCGCGACTTACATATTGACTACCGCCCGAGTATTGGCAGTATGAGCACATTCCATCCCCAGCTTCTCGGACATATCCACCAGCCTTTTCGACATAAGACCCGGCATATTGCTGGCAGGTCATACCAGCCGGAGGACTAAAGTGGGACTCTTCACGCGCAATACAGCGTACGGGAACATTGTGGGTGATGGCTCCAACAAATCCCTCGAGCAGATAGTGGAACGGCGTAACCCAGTACATCCACGACTGCCAAAAATGCGGCATTGCGGCGTAGGGGACAACCACACCGCAGAAGGAAGCAATGAAGGTAAAGAAGGTTGGCACAAGCAAGCTTGCAAATAGCTCGTTAGGTGCAAGTGCGGCTATGAACTGACCAAGTCCAACATAGTATATTTCAAATAGCATCATGCACATCCAAACGTAACCGGAAGTGAACGAGTCGCGCGGAAACCAAGTTCCCCAGTACCTTGGGTAATTCTGTTAGAAGTGAGGCATATAATTCCATTTCGAGAGACATTTACCAGCAGTTAAAGTAAATTGACCCGGCAACAATCGAGTATGGCAACTCTGGGATAATTGTGCTCGTCACAAAGGCAGCCCAAGAGTAGATCTTGGAGTTAGCTTCGCGAGATTCATAGAGGCCCCGGAAATGGAGATAGCGCGGTTGGAGTTGCTGTATCAGTGGCGGAGCTATGGTTAATGTCATGAAGACAGAGAATAGTCGTGATTGCATGTCGATGTTACCATTTCCCAGATGCCAGAAGGTGAACGTGTTGAAAAGACCGGTGAAGATATGGAGCATGAATTTCCCCTAAGTGATAATCAGTCAAGGTATTCAGGTTCAGTGTTAGAAACCTAGTGACTTACAATAATGTAGTCCGGGACCCTCCAGTAAGCCACAAATGCGCGTTTGGTGACTGTAACTACTTGAACGTAAAGTGGCATTGCGTACTCGCGATCGTCTTTGATTTTATCATCATTTTGAACTTTGCGACGGGAGGCTATAATACCCTCTAGGACCTCAGAAAGCTGCCTGGATTCCGGCGAGTTGGCCCACACATTGCCCCAGTCCTGGCCCTTATAATCAGGGTTTCCGGCACCAATGACTTCCAACATATACTAGAAAGGATATAAGCGAGAAAATATTGCTCCGGCTTTAAAATACGTACCTCTGCCGGATTTTCATGTGGTGAGCACTGCCTCCCGCCATTTCGTTCAAAGTAATCAATCAGCGTCTTAGAGTCGTTTCCAAGGGGTCCATTGTAAACAACGCTTCCACCGCTTTTCAGCAGCAAGAGCTCGTCAAAATTCTCAAACAACACAGCAGAAGGTTGATGGATTGTACATAGCACGGCTTGGCCGGCATCGGCAAGTCGGCGAAGGAAACGTACAATGTTAAACGCTGCCAGGGAATCGAGGCCAGACGTCGGCTCGTCTAGGAAAAGCAATAGCTCCGGCTTACTTGCCAATTCAACGGCGATGGTAAGTCGTTTGCGCTGCTCCTGGTTGAGGCCTGAGCCCGTGGATCCCACAGTCGCGCCGGCGATGGACCGCATTTCTAACAAGTCAATGATCGTCTCACAATAATCATACTTTTCTTGTAATGGGACTTCTTTTGGTTGTCGCAACAGAGCAGAGAATCGAAGAGACTCCCGCACAGTAGCGGTGGGTTCGTGAATGTCCATCTGTTCAGCGAATCCAGTCGCTCTCTGGAAGCTCTTTGGGAGGGGACTGGAAATATTAGAATGCATGATTGATGAGATACACTAAAGGCTCCCTACCGTCCATCCACTAAGAAGTTGCCAGTCACGACACCAAAATTGATTCGTTGTGCGAGTGCATTGAGTAACGTAGTTTTCCTGGTCAGACATTAGCATCGAGAACCGAGTTCACCTTGTTTTATGTCTTACCCTGAGCCAGAAGCACCCATCAATGCAGTCAGTCGACCAGGCTTGACATATCCCTGGACATTTTGCAACAGTTGTCTGTGTCCACCTTTATATGGAATGGTGTAATTGACGTTTTGCCATGTAAAGATTGCTGTGTTTCTAGCAATGTTCTGGATCTTGACACTGGATTTATTCGAGGGGCCGTCGTTTTTGTTGGAAGCCATCTTATCCTTCTCCGCAGATTCCTCATCCTGTCTGGGACCGGATCGCGTGATGACATCTTCAACTGCTTTGGGGGCTTCACCTCTTTTGAAGACGGTGACCGAGCTGCCACCCTTATTAGGCCTTTGCAATTCCATTCCCAACATTGTCAAACATATGAAAAACATCAGCCATCCAATGATGATTCCAAAGTTTCGCCACAGGTGAGCCCTACTGTAAGTGTAGGCTGTTTGGATGTACTTGGAACCATGAACGATCAACTGGTCTGGATCACTGCCCTGGATTGCACAGGTTTGATGCCCAGGCACTGCATTTGGCCCGTCGGGCACAATCCATGGTGGTTCACATTTTATCTGGAGGTTGTAGAACTCATTAGCCATCAATGCCTCAAATGCGTATTGGACAGGGTTGATCCAAATGAGCCACTTTAGCCATGGATGCATTTTCCACGGAGGAATGAGATAGCCTGTTTATGTTAGCCTATAAATTTGATTATCAGGCTTCATTGGACTGGGATCACCTGTGTACACAACCAATGCCTGTATGGAGACACCAGTGAGACGTGTGGCTATATGGTGTTATTGATAACTTCTTGATAGAGGGGATTGTTTCACCTACCAACATCCAACGAGGTACATAGAGCCCCAAGGGCACGAAAGAACGAGTACATGGTCATGGTGAGAATGAAAATAAAAAGTAGATTAATGAAGAACTGCGAAGCTGTTCGTGCAAGATTTGCCATGCTATATAAACTATCAGTTTGATCCATGCAAAGCATTCGATCGGACTCACAAGTATACTATGACATCAAATATGACGACTTGTATGAATACAAGAGGCACATCAACCACAACCTGGGCAAGCGCATATGCCGAAGGACGGTAGAAAGAGCTGGAAAACATTAGTCCTCTTATTTCTCCTTTTGTAATTTGCACTTCTCACAAGCTTTTATGTTTCAGCAAGATTGGTCGACTCTGAAATGCTGCGGACAGCTCTGCCATAGCAAGTAATGCATTGAAAAGCAGTATAAAGAACATCACACCACCCCTCGTAAAAACCCCATTGCTTGGGACAATTAGCTATAAGGAGTCGCGTCATTTTTGGAGGGAATTGCTTACCTTGTGTGTGGGAGATTGTAAAACAAGCTACCGATAATGAGGGCTTGGAAAGTTATGACACTCCACTTTCCAATCAATGATTTTCTGTCGCCAAACATAACTAAAAACTGACGGTGCGTGAGAATCAAAACCTGTTTGTAGAATGAGACCGTGAAATTTTTCCGTTTGTTACTACTTCTTGCAGCCTCCCTCTCCTGTCTTCGGGCTTCGATGTCGCTCTCCAGGCTTTCAATATCAGCCAAGTTGCGTTTGTAGGTATCACTTCTGCGATATGCAGCTTGAAATTCAGCTGCATTACGAGGGATTCGGTCATCCCAGCCGTCTTTGACACGTCTTGCATGAGGGTCACTGACAGATGTCAAAAAGTCGGGGGTTGTCCAACGTGGGGGGCATTGAAAGCCCAGCTGTTCGAAATACGTCTTTGCATCCTGGCTAGGCCCGAAGAAAGAGCATTTTCCATCTTCGATCAGGATCACCTTGTCAAAAAGATCGAATAGATTCTCCGAGGCCTGGTAGAGAGCTACCACCGTTGAAACGTTGGCAGTGTTTGTTAGACTTCGCAAACTTTGAACATACTCCAGCGCCGTACTGGCATCTAAGCCCTTGGTAGAGTTGTCCCAGCACTGGGTGCTAGCCTTTGTAACCATGGCTTCAGCAATTGAGGTTCGTTTCTTCTCGCCACCGGAAACTCCACGAATGAGTTCGTTGCCAACTTTGGTTCCTAGAGCATGCTCAATCCAAAATAACTTAGCTATGGCAGTCAGAAATGTCTGCTGATATTCCTTTCTGCTTTCGCCTGGAATGCGTGAGGCTTTGTCAGGAGTTCGAGTTTTCAGGGCAAAAAGCAGTGTATCTCGTACAGACAAAGTCGCATAATGGAGATCATCCTCGGGGTTGTACAAGACTGATGGTTTTAGCTCTGAATTACGATCGCATAGACAAGTACACACCTTCAGACTTATACTGCTTTTTCATGGTTTCTGAATCAGTGCCATCATACCGCACGTCGCCTTCAATGTTTTCGTAGCCCGCTCGTTGATTGCCGAGTACTTTCAGGAAAGTGGAACACCCAGAACCAGGGCGGCCCAGAACAAGAAGCATCTCTCCGGGACGAACACAGCCCTCGGGGTGGGATTAGTCAAGAGGATCTCTGGCAGTGAGAAGTAAACTTACAGTAAAGTCTTCCAAGATTGTTCGTATCGGTGCTTTTCCGGCGCCAGCAACTTGCCTACCCCCAGTGAGTAGTTGCCTGATGAGTCGTGGCAACCCGAGAAAAATGTCTCCGTTGGTAGGTTGGAGAGCGGCACCAAGGCCTACACCCTTCACAGTGAGATTTTTCCATACAACTCCAACATGACGTGTTTTTTCTTCTTCGGAATTTGCTTTGCGCTCAGGGCCGAACATCCGTGAGACCAGCCTTTCTATCTGGGCCCATTCTTCTCCTTTGGTATAATGACCGGAAGCATAGCTGCGTCGACGAGATATAGTACGCGCGACACCATCCTCGTCTAGCTTTGGCCCTGTAGAATTTGACTGGGAGTGGGATCGGTTGGTGTGGATCGGCGCGAAATCTCCGGGTGGAAGTGAATTAACTGGCGAAGATGAACTCTCAGAAGCAACGGAATCGCGAGGAATGTGTTCTGAATTTCCAGCCGACGTGGACTCGCTTTCCACAGAATGGTCGTTTTCCATCGTCCTTATTTTCGGGTTGAGCTGAGAGCTTTCAGAATGCAGATGCTCAACCTAAATATCTCCAGGTCAGTCGCACGCGATTATGAGACAAGGTCACACCGAATGACCATGGGTGCATATGCAGCTGAGCGCGACACGGTTAGCAACGGGAAATACAAACAGAACTCCTCGTGGATGTCGTGAGAAGGAAATGAACATGAAAGCAGTCGAGAATGTAGCAATTACGTCAAGTATCATTGCTAAAAGATCTCAGGGACCGGGACGTGGACGTGACGTGCCGAGAATATTATCAATGTAGATCTCTTGTTATTTGCTTATTTTGGTAGCTCCAGCTACCAGCCTGCAAGGAGGTATGCCCCTGTCTAGGCCATTGCTCTGTTATGTTGTGTAATATTTAGTCTCCTTTTAGGCCCATTTGAAGCAATATAGCTCTATGTACTAAACGTAAATAACTGCAGGGATACCTTTGCATAGTTATAGTAAAATTCCAATCGTCAAATGCTCGCGATGCATATAAATTCCCCACATTTCAAGCTCTCTATCCCTGATCAGGAAGTCATCGAATCTACAACATGGAGTCCAAATCATTTAAACAAAGTGTAATGAGACGAAGTTCTCGAGTCCCCTAATACCGAGATAATGATATTCAATTTGCTAAGCGTGCGCGGTCACCTGTTTCCAAACCACCAAGGTTAACTAATCCTTTCAATTAGCTGATTTTCAGGTTGATCATGCAAGACTATCACTGATTGAAATAATCAGCTCATACCTAGAGACAGAATGGGCAGTGCTGTTAGCATTACCTCCAGGGCTACCTAGATAGGAAAATATAAACATCCACGGAACTGATTCCCGGCGACATTTACTAACTCGTTCACTACGACACGACAAAACTCTAGTGTTTTCTGTTTACCAAAAAGTCGTGACGAGAGTAATCTTATTATCATGATCTCGTCATTATGGGGAAATGGCATTTTCATCATCTATTCCACGATTCAACAAATATATTGACTACGATTATCTGTCTAGAGCTGGATAAACTCTCTGTTAATGAAATACCCCAGATAATATTTAGTGGTTATGCGACATGCAATAGAAAAGTATTTAGTGGGCTCTTGCTCACTAGGTAGAGCGCTTACCTAGCTATGGGGGTTCACCGAGTTGAACAACTAAGGAATTATGAACGGACCGTCGTTCCCTGATCGACAATGGGGCAGCACGCCATGATTACACCATACTCATAGATTTAGTAGTGATAAAGCTCCAAAGTCCAGTCTGAGAGTAGGGCAGATGTACCTCTCAGCCCACAACCCAGTTAGGCTTCTTTTGCAGTACTCTTGTTGCGGTTCTGATAGCAATGAAGCCTCATCGCGCCCGCAGATTCCTCCGGAAGGTATTGGAATTCTTCCATTTATCTTCTTCCTCAACCAAGCGGGTCAAAGCTCGTAACAGGTAGGTCTCCAATCTTCTGTAGTATTTAATGTGAAAAATTAACAAGTGCTTCAGCGCGAAGCTGTGGTGTGGTGCTACCACCACACCTCCTCTTCGCAGAATTTGCGTTGCCCGAGGATGCAACCAGGCTGGAGTGGATGGTCAAGTTGATGATCCTCCTCAGTATACCACCGTTGACGGTGCAGCTTTTGAAAAGCCGGCTTCAACCCGCAGCCAACTGGAGTGTCGCATCGTGAAACTCTGGAAGAAAGTCTGGTTGGGTCTTTATCAGATAGATGACAACGAGGATCGATATCATGTCGAACGACTCGAGGCCCTTTCTCTTGGGGCTGGGTTGACTCGCACATATCGAGTTGGTGAGCTTCAAGTTCTCCGGCGTCATTTTCTTCGAAGCGAGACCAACAACGCTATTGCATCGATGAAGCTTTTCCAGGGTCTGTCTCTTTCGACCCTCTTATCTGTGATCCACATTTTGGAGGCTTATGAAAGTGAAATTGAGAACATGAGCCTCCTCTATTCCATCTTGCGAAGCGCTCAGCTTGCACTGCACCAAACTGCAGACCTAGCTCAAACTGCTGTTGTCAGAACTGAGTATATTGCAATTGCAGAGCCGATGGAGAAGCGCATCAGACAGTACGATATTCGAATGAATGTGGTGAATATGCAAATTTGTGATGAGGCAATGGGTTTCTATGAGCGACAAAAGGGGGAATATATTTATCACAAGGCATTCCCGAATGAGTGGTAGGAACGCGACTTTTTGAATCAGTTCCCCCTTTTCACTGTGACTCATGTCGGTGTATTTTGAGCAAGATCAGTATGATTTTGATTAGATATTAGTTGATTGTTCTTGGTTAAGTAATGATTATACTCATAGTGTTATTATTGAAGACTTGATAAATTCTGCAAGGCAAAAATCTGCAATGAAGATCATTTACGCATATTTGCGTGAGATTTGATAAGAAATAATCTCATCTCCGTATTTATTAGCGTTCAAAAACCGTGGCGCCATTGTTGGAGGTTGCAGTGCTCTGTGTCTGGATTTCGGAGGCAGGCCTTCTTTTCGGCACTCACCATAGTGTCTGTCTCCGCGATTAATACACTTCAGGCGTTCAACTGCCATGCACGCTCCACTCACTACCTGTTATACTACTTGGTAAATCTGGAAGACTATGACGTCCATTGCGGACATTGCAAATTGTTACTTGCGTTGTTGGTATGCCTATAAGAGTGTTTTGAACTCCTATATACATAATGCTTTGTTTGATTTGAAAGATAATGGTTTCACCGATCACACCTGAGGTCGATCCGTCCTAACGGTTCCCTTCACTTTTACACTGTCCGTCTCACCCTCTCCCTTTTTACTCATGCCAGGGTCGTTCACAAATGGGTTCATAGTATCCCCATTGTCGAGCCCTTCCTGCTTGAGTGAAATGCTTCCAGGCCCAGCGGGTGGGCCCATGCCTCGAGGCTGTGTGGAAGTTAGATATGCACTCTCTTAATACTACCTGGTCAAACCACGATAAAGTGAACCAACCCCGGAAGACAAGGCACGAGAAGGAATAACGAACCTTATCACGATCAAAAATTCCGGAGTTACCATTCTGCCCAGGCTCCTCATTGCCCTCTGCTCCTAGAATATACTCTTGATTTGCTCCGCGTGGCTCTCTGGCCGGAGCCATAGTCCTAAGCTTCTTTTTATCGTCTTTTTATCACAAGTAGAATGTTATAGATAGTCCTAGACCAATTGATATCAGTAACCTAACAAAAGGAATTGAGTGTAAGTCAGATGCAACCAATGCCATATACACCCAAAAAGGGACTAACCACTGGGAGCTGTTGGCCTGGTCACTCGGCTTTTCGGTCGGGAAGAATATTTGTCGAGAAGTTGGTCGAGGCGATTGAAGTCCAACAGATGGGTGAAGATGTTGTCTCACTGTTGTATGTGAAAATGAATGGCGGATAAAGCTCGTGCTTGTGCTTCGGTGAAAGCCAGAGTTAGTCAATAGGACTATAAACTAGGTATATTGACACTAACAACGAAGGATATTTGATTTAGTGAACTAGAGTAGTATATGAGCAAAGCTCTGGAGTGCTATCACTGTTACATCATTCAGTAACCTTTGAAACCTGATTATAGGCCAATGCTCAATGAACCACCACCTCATCAGTATGACATCTGTTCATGGGAACCAAGGCTCTCTCTAAGTCAGTCTCATATGTCTGAAATGAAGATTACGACGGCAGTAGTTCTCATTCGTGAAATTCTGGAAGGTCAAAAGGTCATTCTCATTTTTACTACACTCGAAGTGACATGAGAAAAATGATATTATACACTGATCATTCTCACAAATCGATCACCGAGGGCGTTTGCCGCCAACGGATTACCCGCAGAGACCAGCTCCCGATGCAATGTGGTACCACCAGTCTTTTCACGTACACCCTCAACCATCACGGCACCTTCCTTCCTCAACGTTGACTCAACTTTCTCAACCTCGCCACCCCATAGAGTCTCCATCAAATTCTCCTCCGCATCGCTCCACGACGTGATCTTGTACCCATCATAAACAAACGACCCATCTCCTGCCTTCTTTGTACTCAACAGGGCGTACGGCCCGTGGCAGATCACAGCTGTGGGTTTGTTCTCTTCGTGGAAGTAACGTAAAATTCGCCCAAGCTCTGCATCCCCTCCCAGATCTCGAAGCGGTGCGTGTCCACCCGGGATGAAGACAGCCGCGAAGGTAGCCAACTCATCATTGCTGATGGCGCTGAATGGTCGCGGGCTACTAAACCCGTTCTCGCGCTTCATGCGTTCGATAAGATTGTATTCGCGTTGACGTTCGTAAAAATTGCCAGCATGTGCAACGAGTGATTGGCTGCTTGGGTCCAGGCCAGGTTCATGGCCTTTTGGTGAAGCGAATGTTACCTCGTGACCTGCCCTCAGTATTTTGCTTAACGGCTTTGCGAGCTCTTGCAGGAAAACCCCTGAAGGCTGGTCAATAACCTTGCCGGCATCGTGTCCGCTATTCCTTTTCAGGGGGAAGGAGTGCGCGTCGCTGAGGATAATGAGGACTTTCTTCGGATGCATTGTGCCAAGGATGTAGGATGGGCTAGGAAAATCAGGGACTAGAATGGTCACAAATCGCTGAAATGAGAACCTGCAACCTTTCCGCTGTTTTATATGTTTCAAATAACAGAACTTGACCACGTTGACATCGAGATGACGTGTCAAATCCCTACTAGCCACCACCCATCAGGTTTTGCGGTTCTCCGCCAGATTGAAGCAGCAACAACCTGGAGATGGGCAAATTGTCCACAACAGAGTGCTAAATCCTTTCCTTATATTTTGGACAATACGGAGACATCCCCTGAAAGGAGGCAGATTGGGGTACCAACGTGGAGTTTGAAGATGTTCGTGCTGACCAGTTGGTTGACAGGGATGTGGGTCGAGAGACCATTCAAGATCATCATAGTAGGATTTACATTGATGGTATGACTAAGGCTAAAGGTAGTCCAATGCACACGACAACCCCCCCAACTCTGGTACAAGTACTATTGACAACCGCTGAGTATGCTGGGGGGGGGGGGGCTGTGACAAATACACATTGTGATATAATACCTCCCGTGAGACGAATAACCTCAAGGAACGGTATCCAGGAACTCCTTGAAATCAACGAAATGCTCTGCCCCCATCTTCAATGACCGATCACGCTTTTTACTGCCCGCATCAACAACAATAGGTCGTAGTCCAAAGGCCTTTGCAATCTGTACAGCTTGGATTCGTGGCAGTCCTTTGCCTCTTAGAATACACAAAATATAAAAGTCTTTGAACATCATTTGTATTATATTACCCCCTTTTGTTGGAAAGAGAAGTGCAAATGTTGATTACCTGGACAACATTTTCGCAAGGCTGACCATCCATGGGGGATTTCGAAAGTTCTCACACTTTCGGAATGATCTGTTGAGAACCTTGTGATCTTGTCCGTCAAACCAAGGGGCCTATTTGGGACTAATCCAGTTGCATCAGTCACCAGAGTGATATATTGATTGGCAAGCTGGAAACGTTGGGCGATTACAAAGTCAAGCTCCTCCATGGAAAGATGCTGTAGTGCCGACATACAGAATATGTGGTCGACCCTTTGTGTTCTTTCGGCCAGGTATACTTCCATCCTCTTATGAACGAGCTCGGTATACAAATTGGTTTGGTGGCAGATATCCAATGATTTCTTGGATATCTCGACTCCTACAATTTCCGTAATTTTGTTCGCCGGATGTAATTTCAGACGGTAGCCGACAGTGCCAGTCCCACACCCAAGATCCAGTGCGGTGCCTTGGTAATATCCCGTCGTAATATTACTGGCAGCGTCGGTCGCTGAAACTGGGCCAGCATGAGATTGAACCAAGGAGTCATAGAAGTTTGCCACTTCAATAAAAACATATTGCGATTGCATTAAGCGCAGGAAAGGCTGCTGGTGCTGTTACGAGTCTCATGTGTGGCTCGGGGTCAACGTGCGCGTTCCTGGCGACAGATAAAACACATGCGAGAAGTTTGATGATAGAATTGCAAAAGGATCCAATTTTTAAGGAGGTACTCATGGTCTCAGGTCTAGTGGAGGGTGTTCGTGTTCTCGAAGAGATGAGGTAATTTTAATTTTTGGCTTCGCCTATGGCCGGACGTTAAACCAGACTGCCAGTGTGACATCTGAACCAATCCATACGATCTTGTTTTACCTGATTGTCTGCTCGTTCTATTCGATTCAGTTCAGTAATCCAGTACTTTCTCTTATTGTCATATTCTTCTCTATCATACTTTATCAGTGATTTCATGGCCAACTGTCATAGTTCTATAATACAATGCACACTTCAGAGACCACGGTAAATCATTAATGAGAACTAAACGGTGACAAGACGTAAGGATAATATGAAGCTTTCTTCACGACGTGGAAGGACAGGCAGATGGCCTGGGCGCCTTCCAGGACCTATTCATATGTAGTTAGCAGGAGGTAGCTTCCTGGATTGAACACTTTCCATTACGTAGAGCGACGAATTCATCTCTAATAGCGATATCAAGCACTTGTTGATCTTCCACTAAAGCCCTATGGTCTTGGGTCAAATATCTGTCAAAGAGAACTGCAATTGAATTGGACTGGTAAGTACCTAAAAAGGTCGTGGGGGCAGTCTCCCCGTGTTTAATGCGCTCATGATGAACCAACCCATGCATTACCCCATCAACTCCCCTTCATCTCAATTTCCATCTTTTCGATTGATATATACTCCTTTGGCCCCATTCAAGGATCTTTATATCTACATATATGTCGTTCGAAAATGTTTCGCGTCCCCAATTTCACGGCGGCACCTTCTTGGAGAGTCTGCCTTCATCCATCCCAATATATAAATATACGGGGATACAGGAATTCCACAATATTATCAATCTTGAATTTGATCGTCTGATGGATTCTTTGACTTGCGGGTCTCAAGATGTTAATCAATTCAAAAAGTCTAGGAATATCCAACACCTTAACAGCAATATTTTACAACACACCGATTACTCCCCAAAAAACCAGAAACATAGCAGTGGCAGAGGACCCAGGTCTCAGCAATCCGCAGACGGTCTTGTACTATTCACAATTGATACCAATTCTATTCGAACCGATTTCATTGATTCACCGACACTTGATTCATATATCGATTCTTTTGACATCAACAACCAACTCCTTTTAGTTAAGATGGCTTCTGCTATTCATGCCAATGCCATCGGAGAGATCAACACCGCCATCGATAAGGCGTTGGATCATATAGGACATCTCGATCATGTCAAACGTTTCCATGGTGCCCTGATCCGTGGTGCAGATGAGAACAATCATGGCAAAGGCAAAATTGGAGACCACGGCTGGGGGCTTCATACCCCGCCGGCCGGCTATCCCGACAAGCCAACCGTCACCTCAGAAGTCGGCTACTCAGAGTCAGAGAAGAAGCTGGAATCTGACGTGTCGTTCTGGCTGAACCCCGACCAAGGGTGTGCTAATGTAACACTAACACTTCGGATCGATAAAAAAAAGCCCGCTCTGACACTGAACAACTGGCAAAAGGCCGACAACCGCGTCACCAGAAATTCTACACACCACAGAGGGATCGAGGAAAAACAGAGCATTATGATGACAAGGGGTGATAATGGACAGGTCGTACTCAGCGGTCACCCTCTAGTGATCCCATTCGAGTTGTTTTTCCGACGGCAGCCGATTGGTAACCAGGAGAGGGATCTTGAAATTACAAAAGAGCGCCTTACAATCATGGCGCAGAATATATGGTTGTCTCAAGGATTTTGAGATTGATCCCCTGCGTTTGTACTTTGTGTCTCATTTTGCTTTTGCTTTTGTCGAATCATTTGGTGTATTACGGCTGATTTTGTCGAGTAGCCTTTGGGTGACGATTCTTGTTAGACAATTATACACTTAGGGCTATCTATTTATAGCCCGATAAAGGTTGAACAATAGCAAATATGTTGAGACCATTTGTTCCTCGGGTTCATACGACCTTTACGGAAGTCTACCCAGTATAGCCCCTAGGGAAAGCCGTTATCTATTATATAATAAATCTATACTAGAGTAAGTGTACCTGAAGATAATTATAGATTAAGAGGTTGATACGATCATAAGATTCTACTCTAAGGGAGACCCAAGTATATACTACAGTATGGAAGAAATCTTCAGATATTACACAATACCAGTAGCGATATAAGAACGAAAAGCGCGCCTAGTGACGCGTATAGCGTAGCTTTATTTAATTTTGTTATCTTTGCGCTAAACTATTCCTTGATGAAGCTTCCCAGAAGAATCATTGCAAATAATATCTAGACAGCCTCAACCCACGATATAGTCTCTTAACCTTCCGCTCCACACTTATTGCTCTAGGCTTCTATCGATTCTTCCTAGGCCATAAAACCAAAAGGCTAGACAAGAGATTTCGATAATAAGTTGCAAAACCAACTCTTTTGAATCACATTAAAGAATACTCAGGGTCAGCGGACCTTCAGCCCTCATCCGAAGAAAGGAAGTATGTTGACAACCTACATCTCCGGTGGCACTTTTTGATGCGCATCCAATTAAAGAGCCCCGGCCAAATTGTGCTAAACGAAAAAGAAAGTGGCAGCCACACTCGGAGCGTGTAAGAACTACTTTCGAGAATTTGAGTGATAAAACATTGCAGGGCCCAGAGGACTATTTTTTCACCAACACTCTACCAACTAATTTTGAAGATTTGGATATGATCTCCATAGAGAATTTATTTATGGAGTTCATACGCTTGGATGACAACTAGGCGCAGAGCGCTCACCAGGGTGATATAGTTGATACTGGCTTGCAAGAAACGCAGGTGGTTGACGCTACACTCTTCGTCATTCCTGGCCATGCTGGATTGACGACACATTCGTTGGTCAGAGACTTGGTGTTTAGAACTTATTTTCCTCCTTCACATACTTTCCCAAGCAATCATTAAGTCAGTGGTCAAGAATGGGAGTGATTGGACGTTGCCCTCAGGAATTACGGCGTAGAGTATCCCTGAATTCAACGGAGTCAAACCTTCATTTATTATAATTTCAACATCTGAGAGCAAACTAACGCTAAAATGGCAGGAGGGAATCGACTTTGCCTCCGATCCATCCTGCCATCCTGTTGAGGCTCTGCCCTTGTTGGTGCAACCATTCTCAAAACTGTCAAGGAACCCGAGATATCCCCAAGACTGGCGTTGACAGTTGGCAAAACTCGCGTTCTAGTATCAGAGATTATAACAAAGCGAAGCATCTGGCAATGAGTAGGGAATAAATTATATTCATTTTACTTTTTCACTCTGTGTGGTCCTTTGGCTCAATTGAACGAGCATGTGGCCAAGACATAACCCTAACCGCGCTGTAGGCCATCTTCATAACCCGGACTGAGGTTGAATACATGCATTATCTCCATATGTGTTTTAGATACACGGCATGTTGGCACCAAGGAATAGAAGGGGGAGAGATGCATTAGGAAGAAATACAGACATGATCCGAATCAACCATCTGGCATGAAGGATCAATGCCGAAGACATCGAGACGTTCATAATAGTGTCCATTGCAATACATGAATGTCAACACATCCCACAATCATAAAATGCGGCCTTCATAGAGACAGTTTTCCCAAGAATTCTTGCACCAAACGTTCCACTTCGCCCGGGGCCTCGGTCGGTGGAAAATGTTGTACACCCCGGAGCACTTCCAGCCTGCACAATGGCATCTCCTGCGCAATTGGAGTCATCAATTCCTCTGGAGTAGCCATGTCCTTCTCTCCCACCAACGCCAGCGCAGGAACCTTGATCCTGGAATACCGATCACTGTCCATTGTAAAGGTCATGAGGGCCTGGGCGTTATTCCGACGACCATGAGCGGGCCATTTGGCCGCTTCCAAGGCCGTGGCTTCGTCCAACCCCATATTGGTGTAAAAGGCGACGCATTGGCTTGGGGTCTCCACACCGGAGCTGAGCAGCTGCAGAGATAAAAACTTCTGAATACGCTCACCATCATAGTAACCGGCCGAGTAGACGATACCAGCGACAAGATCCGGATGAGTGAGGCTGAAGGCTGCGGCGATGTTGCAGCCCATAGAATGGGTCACTAGTACCACGCGATTGGCGACATTACAGGCTTGCAGCACCGTGTGGAGGTCAGCGGCATGACGGGGAATGGAATAGCTTTCGGGCGACGTAGGTTTCGAAGAGCGTCCGTAACCTCGGTTGTCGTAGGAGATGCAACGGTACTGCGAGGACAGACTCGCGATCAAGGGTTGCCAGATATTATCGACACCGAAGTAGCCGGACACGAATACAAGGATGGGACCTACATCCCCTTGAGCTCGAAAGTATATTTCCTGGCCGTCGTCTGTTGTTGTGAAGCACATGGTGAAGAATGGGAAATAGATCGAAGTGACTGTACTGTGAATTGGATTGTCAGTTTAGACCTCAATAAGTAAATCAAGCAGAGGGTGGTGTAATATTTTATATTGCATTGACTGTATTCTGATAAAAGTTGTTGGTGGGATGAGAGGTTAATGGCATTTTATTGGTAATCGCTGGTGGGATTGAACATTGACGTCACCCAACATGATCTATGGAGAGGCTGATCGGAGGTTTGACCTAAGAGGTTTCGGACCGAAAGCGGCTCCAGGAGACACCAGGTCCGAGACTTCATTCGCATTACATAGGCATGCCGCAGCACGAGTATGGACCGGGGCTGGTTTGTCACGCTAGATCCGAATTCCTGACTGATATAAATGAGTAATCACCATTTCGAAGACTAGGCATTAAGCCGTTACCCTAAGTGACATAACATCAAAACGAAGATATCGACAAATACTCCAGTCCATCAAGAAATAAAGTAAAAACCACAAAAGCAAATCCTAGTGGAGTAGCAAACAAAGGTAAAAATTACCGTACATCCAGGACCTCCAGAAGGAATTGATCACCCATTAGAAAAGACACCGAATAGCGAGAATGCTTCAGTTCTTTGGAAGGCCTGGTAATAAGAATGGTTTATTGAAGGGTCATCGAAGCCCGGTTACAGTACAGAATAGCGAATACCTGTAGTTATTAAAAGTTGATTTCAATTTTGATCTAGCATCGATTCGATCAGAGGGATTGGACATTTTAGATTGGAGCATGTATGATGCCCACCGGATGTTAGTTTAGTAAGTCTAGTCCGCCCACCGGACCCGGTAAAGACGTAGGAATCCCGAGTTGCAAATTGTCCCGAGGTCGCCACGTGGTTCGGATGTTAGAAATACTGTTAACTTCCGCCCCGGGACGATTCTGAATCATTAATACCGTAAAGGTGTAGAAAAAATGGGCATTGCGGCCGAAGGCAGTCTCAAGATTTCCAAGCCAGGGGCTCCCTTTTTACTCCCAACACAAACTATTACGTATCACCACATGAGTATATGAAGCTTTGTACCCTGTCGGTAGAATGGTCGAGAGGCTCGAGGTTACTAGCAGTGCATCCTTTGACTATGTTTATAGATTCTACAGTGGCTTGGCAGATAAATAGTGGTCCGCGTTGCTGAGACCATGTATAACGAAGACCGTAAACGAGAGGGCCACCAGACCGACGAGTTTTCTCATTTTCTTTTCTTGAGAAAGCATCCATAAAAATTTGACATGTCGTTTAAAGGTGAGACCGAAACTGGCTAGGTACCGTCACAGACTGTGTTGATCTTGTCGATAGTTTGCGCGAAAGAACATTGTGGGGCTACGAAGGGAGAGGGAGGAAGGAGGAAAACCCTGCTATTCAATCTATCAAGAACAGGGTCTTTACACCCTGCTAGCAACAAACGCTCAGTCTGGCAAACAATCGTCAGGGAAGTCTGATCAACAAACATGTATCACTTCAGGTTATGATTCCTTTCCGTTATGTCTTCATCTTGCCTGTCTATCCTCCATCGTGTAAATTTATCTTGGTCTTGTTAGGGCTTTTGACAGTATTGCCATCGTAGTACTAGAGGAGTAAGTTGTTGCCTATTTTACGTTTTGCCGAATTTTCTCCAGGTGACCCGTTCAATGCTATTTATGTAGATCGGAATTCTCGTGTCTCTTTGAAACGGCAATAAGGGTTTGAATGTAAGACATAGCGAATGGTATCGGATCATATGTGGGTATTCAAGCGGTTGCGAGCTATTTATAATTAGAAGAATAAAGCAAACCTTAGCATATATCGAAACGAGGCGAACAGGCATGTTCATACTTAAGACTGCCACACAGAGCTACTCTGTTGCGCTTTTCATTTGTATCTTGCAACCCCATTCTGGAGATGAACACCTTAGTCGACGTGCACGCGGTTTATACACTTGCCGGCTCGGCAGTTTATTGCCTCCGGCTGTTGTGGCATGATTTGACTCCTTCCCTGCTGTCATCTTTTTACCTGCTTTGCACAGGTTCTCTCTTTTTCGATATTATCCATCACAAACTCCACAGTTGCACCAAATCGTCCCATCCCCTTCTTCGACGCCTAGCACGCATCCATCAGTTCCACCACCTCTACTTCACACGACATTTGAAGTTTGAGAAAAAGTATCTTCGGGAGAACCAATTCCAAGCCTTGCCACTTGAACTCGCATTTCATATATTTGGAACTCTACTTGGGTATATCATTGCTAGTTTGGTGATGCCCTACAGCCTCGTGTGTGTTACGAGAAACCATCTTTGGTTGGCTGTTGCCTTTGAAATCCTGAGATCCTCTTTTGTCATTCTTACAGAGGGGCGCGACTCAAATCATCTCACATATAAGACCGTTCCGATGGACCCTAACTGGATATTCGCGGGCCCAGAATTCCACTCACTCCATCATATCTATCCGGATCGTTACATTGGTTCATTCGTCAAACTCTTCGACTGGATATGGGGTACTGCCTACTGCTATAAGCATAAGCGCTTTGTCCTCACTGGAGGAAGTGGAGCATTTGGTCGGGCAATTACAACACAGCTCCAGCGTGAAGAAGGGGTGCGCTGCGTTGACAAATTGAAATTTGGCATCGATTGGAATCATCGTCAATTCGAGAAAGCTATTCCTGCGCTGTCGAATTGTGATGTTTTAATCCTGGCCCACGGCTCGAAGGGCCAGGATGCAATTGAAGCAAATTGCGATTCGACTATCCGACTTATCAAATTATTTAAGCAATGCAGATTGGCCAACCCTGCCTGTCTCACGCTCCCGGAGGTATGGTACCTTGGCAGCGAGGCTGAGCTTCATCCATCGTGGGGAATTGCAACACTTCAACGTTACTCTCAGTCGAAACGAAAATTCCTGCCGCATGCTCGCTCCTTTTTCGATGACCCTGATATGATTTACCGCCATATCGTCCCTTCTTCGTTTCAGTCATCCATGGGATCCGCTGTACTCTCTGCGGATTGGGCAGCCAAGTGTGCAATGTGGTGGATTCGGCGTGGTGCCAGATATATTCCTGTCACATATACAGGAATTGCGTACTTGAACTACTTCAAATTCATGTATCGCATTCCTTGCGAGCACGATGTGGATCAAAAGTTAGCCAACTCTCTCAAATAGCGTTGGTTTAGATAAAGTTTAATGAACGGGAACTCAATTGCTCAATAAATGGAGATCACATACATAGCATTCATTTTGAGAGTGCTGTTAAGAATAAAGAAATCTCTTCAATTCGCCAAGTGACGTGCAGCTTCGATATACCGCATACAACTTTACGCGACCGCCTCTTCGGCCATACTGAATGAAGCACTCACTACACGCGCAAATTCACATAAATTAACACAAATCGAAGAGCAGTCGCTTCCAAAATGGAATGTGTCTAGAGATGATCGTCGAGTAGCCCTAGCTGTCTACCGTTCGAGAAACTGCGAATCTTCTTCTCACCGCGCGCGACTCTTCATTCTCTCATCGCAGTGCAGCGGCAAGTTCTCCATTGCCAGTATTGAATCATCCAAGGTATACAAGTCAACACCCCTAGGGCGATAGCTACGCTTCCCCACAATGGACCACTGCTTTTGTGTTCAAGAAGGCATTCTGCGTGTCAAACTCAGGTCAAGCGGCGATTCATGGACTGAAGTCCGGGAGGGCCAAACGCTAGTAATCACGGCTGATGAGGCCTTTAGGTTTAAATGTAGCGGGTTAATAATACTAATTAGTATGAATCTATGAACTAAAATACCATAGCTTAGAGATATTATCAGTTACAGACTTTCAGTGATGTGGCCATAAATTTGGTTTGTTGAGCAACGCCAAAATACACAATTGGCGTTTGCGGAAATGAGAGCTTTCACCTCCTGTTTTCGAGGAGTGACGTATCTGGACAGTCAAAGAGAACTAAACCCTAATATGTAACGAAGCGAGAATTGTCGCCACTGTTGACTTGTAAGATTAACTTTGATGATTTCTTCCATACGTCAAATAAATGAAGTTTTATTTGTCTTAGGGTGGGTGGGTGGACGGCATGTCTAATTCCATACTAGGATTTTTCACAAAGGCTAGCGACAATTGATGAACACAACTGATTGACTTACATGTTCTTTTACGTATTTCTTACGTATAAGCCGTCCAAAATCGAGTCACCGACCACAAGATATATATATCACCCAGCATGCTGGTCCATATCTTGTCCCGCTAACTAGTGGCTTCTATTAACATCCTCAGTTCCCCCCCCCTACCCATGAAGTTTTGTCACTATCACAGGCGAAACGCCTGAAACTTTGCGCTGAATATATCTTGATACGTAGAACTGTAACCTGTGATGGGAGGGAAAAGGGATAGCGAAGGAAAGATCTATGGCCCTTGGGATCCTGTTTAATTTGGCTGAGCTGAGCTCGGGAAATATTACACGTACAAATCAAGTTCATACAGCATATGGTCCCATGGTTCGTTATTGCTGGTCGCGTCGATTGTGCAACATAGAAAATTAGGTAATGGCGGGAAGATCCACATCGTCCCGTAAATCAAAACCTTAATCTTACGTTTTATTCGCGTTCTGCAATTTAATTGGCCGAAAGGCTCCAAGTGATCCATACGTCATATGCCATTATCAGTGGCGAAAAGGCGAAAAAGACGACCTTCCCATGGACATACTATAGCTCTTGACTTGGGTCGGCGACTATGTTAAGTTGCATCGGCTTCATCTTGACGTCGTGGACTATGTAGGGATAGGCATGGAGACAGAAGATGGGGGAATGAGGGTACAAAGAAGACAAGCTCCTTCTCCGGACTGGACTCAATGATCTTTCTCAGCATCTAATTGAGCCTGAGAATTATTGCCGTAATATCTAATATCTTTGTTATAAGCCTTTGTTATAAGCAAAACCCCCCCCCCCCCCCCCCCCCCCCCACACGACATGGCAGCGCCCCATGGTCTATCCCTGGCCTCCACTGCCCCTTTCAGTCTGCCGCCGGCGACGAATATGCCAGAGCAGCACGCGGCAGGGACCAGGGATCAGACAATTAGTCATCAATACCAGCAAACCACTAGGAAGCTTAGTGGAGGAAACACCACGCTCGCCGATGTGGTCAACTCGCTTGCGCGTCGGGGCAGCGACGACCTTCCGCCCTCCCGGGTGTCTAATATCGACTATGCTAGCCTGTTAGAGTGGATTCGGTGCGAGAGGATGAGGAAGCTACCGCCCGAAGGGAGCGCCTACGATAAGGCTCTTGTTTGGGCAGCCTTGTTTATCGAGCGTGTGCATTCCTTTGATTTAGAAATCGAGCAATTTGCGGGGGACAGCCATCTCGCGTCCCAATTATCCTACGGCTACTGTGCGAGCCTGCTTGAGGTGAGTAAAAGTCCCGGATTCAAGCCCATTCAAGTCGTTTCACTGACAGTAAACGCGCAGCTGGGCGAGGAAAACGCTTCCGCCCTTATGGACCTATTTGGGTTTTTCTACCGCTGCTCTGCTGGTCTGGGCAACCTGCTCGATCGTGCAGAACTCTTTGTGGTCTCTTCGGATATCAAGGATCAACTCATTCTTGCGTTAGCTGATCTGGTCACTCTCGTCGTCTGTGTGGCTACGCACTTCCATCGGTCGCTGCTTGCCTCGGAATCGGTATCAGTCGATGTCTATAGCAGCTTCCCTGGTCCAATCGACAATTTTCGTGGTCGTTGTGAGCACGTTTCACAACTTATGTGGCGTCATCAATTGACCCGAGAGGGTCTTGATGGCGATAAAGGTATAGTAGCTTCGCAGCACCAAAAGCTATATGGACCATTCTTACAATACCAACATAGCTGTCCGCATCAATACCCTGAAAGACTGGTTGCAGCCCGAAGACCCGGTAGTTACTCAAATCACTGAAGCCACGACTCCCTCTGCTCAGGAGCGCGAGGAGGCCACTTGCATGTGGGTGAAGCCATATCTGATGCGTTTCTTGAAAGGCGAACAGCAGATTCTTTCCATCACCGGCAAACCGGGCTCCGGCAGGACAGTTTTGTCGACTGTGATCAACGATTATCTGCAGTTTTCTGTCAGCGGGACGAGGTATATGTCCATATTGGCACCTATCAGTCAGTCGTGCTGCCCTTAACCCACATATTCACTCCTTTAACCAGTTATGACAGATGGTCGGATTCCCGCCAACACGACCCCGAGCGCGGTCGCCAAGATGATCATGTCGCAAATGTTCAATAAACGCATTGGCAACATGCAGTTGTATCAAATATTAGCTGATGCCTACAACCAGAGCAAGTGGACGGTAGACGAAGAGTCGTACGACGATCTGCTATGGAATGCGCTGGGGCGTGCTCTCCAGACTAGTGGAGCCTCCGCCAGAGAGCTAGTCCTAGTCATCGACGGCATTGATGAGGCTAGATGTGGGGAGAGAGCCCTGTCGCACCGACTCCAAGAGGCCGCATCCAAGACCCCTAGTGTGAAGCTGATCATACTCGGATCTCAGGCAGTGGACTCGGCCATCTCTCAGACCGTGGTGCGTGTCACGATGAGTCTAATCTTCGACGACATTGCCGCGGTCACTCGCACAGAGCTTCGCCAGAGCGATGCATATAACAGCATGTCTAGCGAGGACAAAGAGATCACAGTGGCTCGGATCACGGAAGCATCCGACGGCTCCTTCCTTTGGGCAAAGTTGGCCGCCAAGCGTGTCTGTGATGAGCACCAGTCGAACGAGGCCGCCCTTTCCAAGTCCGTAGAAAGTATCGTCCAAGCAGGATACACGATCTCCGATTTCATCTCCCACACCTTACAGTCCAAGCTAGATGAGGATACAAAGAAGATCCTGGTATGGTTGGCTACCGCGAACCGCCCCCTCTCCCAGCGGGAACTCGCTGCTCTTCTTCCCACACAGCCTGACAAGGCCACTGTCGCCGAATATCGTGACGTTGACATCCGTAATATCTTGAAACCGGTCGCCTCGCTTGTCTTCTTCCACAACAACTTGGTCTATTTTAGCCACGTACAGGTGCGCACCGGTATCCTCGATATCTTATCAAAAGGTAAATTCCTACCTGCAATCAAGGACAGGCATGTGGATTTTGCAAAGAGACTGCTGCTGTACATAAAGCAGACTGCAAACGACAGCCATGAGCCATCCTTGGAACCGCTGAATGGGCGGGCGACGGAACATCTATTGGAGAAGCATCCTTTGTTGGACTTCGCGCTTCGCTACTGGACAGGTTATGCCAAGATTGCGTTCGGATGCACCAACAGCCAACAGGTCACCATCGCGAGTAAGACTTTGCGATCTGTATTCCCTACCAGCTCCTTTGTACCACTCCTGGAGATGACTGTGTGGGCAAGCAAGGCGACTCCATTGCTGCGGTCCATTCATAAGATCCAGACCGCCCTGTACCGACAAATATTGAACAATCATCACCCAGCCACTTTGCAGGCAATCATCTCCCAGGCCCTATTCCACCGACAGATCTGTGACAGCGTGCCTATTGAGAGCAGTCAGATCTTCTACGAGGCGGCCAAAATCAGCGACAAGGTGCTGTCTGTGCGCCATCTCATCACTTTGAAGATGACCCAGCTATTCCTAGAGGCCACGGTCAATCAAATCACCGAGTCGAAGACTGAAATTATGACCCGGCGCGTCGAAATGCTCCAGCTACTGGTGGAATGCCAGAAGGTCCATCACGGAGCGACAAGTGAGATGGTGAAATCTACGTTGACGCAGTTGTCAGAGCATTATAACCTCATCAAGGAAGACCGCAAAGCGCAGGCAATCAATGCCAGTTTGGAGGGTTCCATTGTCGACAGTACCACCCAGCGGAAGGGATCTCGGCAGATAGACGAGTCTTTGCTAGTCCACCTCCACGGCCGGAGGCACACGACGACGGAGACAAACACTATCCTGGATTTGGATGGGATTGAGGCGGATGAGTTGCTTACATCGTCTTTGGGCCTAACGACCAAATCCGAGCGACACAGAGTAGAGGGTAACTCGGCGGACGCCGAACGCACATACGTTGAGCTATGGCAGCAAGCTAGCCAGGCATATCATCTCAACCACTCCACTGAGCACAAGGTTTCAATGCTGCGGACTGCGCTTGAGTATGCTCAATACCTCAAAGGCGAGAAAAGAGACAATGAAGCAGCCTCTATCCTTGCTGGGGTTTGGGAAGAGTACGACAAGACCACCTCCAGCCCCGAAGGCTTGGTACCCCACTTGCTCGAGCTAGGTCAGGCCATGAAGTCCGTGGGACTGTCTGTTTTGGCCCTCGAAGTGTACAAAAACTGCGCACGAAGTACTAGCAGCCGGAGCGCCGCCCACAAGGAAGCAGAAAAGCATATCCAGTCCACTTCCCGCGAAGTGATGCGCTCATCTTCTACAAAATCTCTGTTGACGGAGTCCACCCTCAAAGAAATAGTTTATAATAGCGCATGCAGTGACAAGGATTCCACCACAGCCACAACAACGCTGGTTGACATGTACATGTCTCAACACCGGTGGCATGACGCCACAAAGGTTTTGAAACGAGTGCTGCGAGATGTGTGGCCAGCGATATTTGCCACCTCACTCGAAAAGGTGGTCCTGCCCTCAGACAATGTTGAGTACTGCATTGAGCTCGCAGAGCGCCTCGCCAGCTGCTATCGCTACCGCCGTCGCCCGATCAAGGAGGATGATATCCGGAATCGGCTTTATATTGCAGTTCGGCGCGATCGGCCAGCATCCGGAGATCAAACTTTGGAGCGAGTCACGGTGAATCTTCTTCGTCTATACGAGCGTACATCCCAGACCGACAAAGTCGTCAATATTCACCAGGATATACTGCATGACTATGCGAAGCGGTTCGGCAAAGATCATCCCATTGTCATAGAAAAGCTCTGGACTCTGGCCGAGCTGACAACACCGCAGCCCATTGCAGTGGATTACTATCGACAGATTGTCGAGGTCTTAAGCAAGGATTCGGAGCACTGCCACCCGGATGCCTTCGAGCCACTCCTGATCGTTGCAACGGAGTTCTTGAAGCAAAGTCGATACGCGGACGCGTTGAAGCCCTGCCGGATGTTATTCACCACCCTGCAGAGCCCTCAGATCAGCCTGAAATTGCGAGAACCAGGATTTGTCAAAAGCATCTACGAACGCTACATTCATTGTCTACGCGCGACTCACAGTGACACCACCACCATCCATGATGTGACGGTACAATATCGCAAATCATGCATTAGCCTCTTCGGTGCGAGCGCGTCGATCACTATACAGGCAACCCAGACACTGGCGAACATTTGCCAAGAGTCCAAGCAATTCGAGGCTGAAGCTGTCCGGCTCTATGAAGAGCTCTTGCAGGTCAAATCTAGCGAAGTTGAAATCGACCAGCAAGACATTCGCGCCACCCTGGATGCTATCAACGAGCAGCAGAGCGCCTCCTTGACTGCCTCCCAAGTGGAGAGCATGTCCACAAAGGAGCTACAGAAGGCATTGTCTATTCGCACCCAACAACTGTCTTCCATCCGGTCCAGTTACGGATGGGCCAACGAGGAAGCCCTGTCGCAGATGGAAGAGATCGTGTCACTGTATACCAAACAAGGGAAGTCACAAGAAGCTGTTTCACTGCTACGTGAAGCAACAATGCAAGTTCTATCGACCGAGACACTATCTATCAAGCTAAATGCGGCTGCCAAGAGCATTGCATCTGGCTACATCGCAGCTGGCCAAATCGGAAAGGCCAAGGAGCTAGCAAAGGAGATTTATCATCATATTGTCACCAAGGATACCACGAACACCAGCGCATTTGACTTTGCCCAGACTTCAAAAGGCCGGTTGGGTCTTGGTTTCCTGGCTCAACTCGAATACAGCATCCGGGAATCCGAAGAAAACTCTACCACGTTCAACGAAATTTACGCCGCCCTGACCACGGAGTATATCTACTTTGAACAGTTCCGGGAAGCCCTAGGCTCAAAGACTGGGAAGCTCCAGGATACGATGGCAACGGTAGCCCGTCTGCATGCGTTCCTACTTGCTCGCGGCCATCAGTCGGCTGCCACTAAGGTGGCGGATCGGTATACCAGCTTCTTCCTGGCCACCGAGGGGGCCAGCCTGGATATTGACCCCAACCAGGCTAAGGTCTTCATTGAGACGGTCGTGAAATATTTCAGCACTCATGCCTCGCATGACTTTGTCCGTTCAGTGGCCATTGCTAGTTATAACCGTGTGAACCAACTGGTTCACTCTGAAGATTACCAGGCTGCCTGTCATCTTGCATTGGCGGCCACAAAATACATCGCTGCCCACCATGGTTACTCATCCCAGGCGATACTCAAGCTGGTGTTTAAGCTGGGCCTTCACATTGCCAGCCGAGAAAACCACGTACGCCCAGAAGTCTCGGCCAAGAATTACATGTCGAGCGTATCGGCGACTATTCTGCGTGATACCCTGGGGTATTTCAAAGAGCACAACATTGAGTTCGCAAACCTCAATCTGGAAAATATCAATAGCTTGATCAAGGTTCTCGATAAGCAACACGATTACCACACCATGGCCTGGGTTCTCACCTCCCTCTGGAACAGCCGGGACGCGTATGCTCTATCCCAGCCTGAACATGCGTATACACTTGCGCTCGGGCGCATGCTGGTCATTACCCGCTATCTGATCGGCGATTACACTGGAGCCGTCCAGCTTGCGGAGGGTCTTGTCTACAACTGTGCTCGAGTCCATGGACCACGCCATCCCAGTACCGTTGAGATGACCGTGCTCCTATCACAGATGTATACCGGGGTGGCTCAAGGCTATCAAAGCCAGAAAGGCCGGCGTGAGCTGGCCTACCGATACTATCGGAAAGCAGCCGCGCTGCACGAGAATGCTTTGCGTGTGTTCGTTGACCCGTCCTCGGCATCTATCAGCGATATGGACGGGGAGGTCATCTCAGGCATGTCATCCCCTTCGTCCGCCTCCAGTCCAGGTGAAAATTCGGAGGAAGGGAAGCATGTCCGAAAGCATCTTCATATGCTCAAACTTGCTATTGAGCGACTTGGAGATTGGCCAAAGGAATATTCGGAGTACGAAGGCCTTAATCACGATCTCTTCAGCACATTCCCAAATGATCTGGAAGGAGTCGATGGTGTCGACAAATGGAACTTGAAGTCGTTCGGGTCCGGCCGTGCTGAGGCCAGTGATGACCTTATCTCCTTCCAACACGAGCATTTGGCAATTCCTGTTTAAGCGCCAATCTACAAAAGTTGGGTCTGTTTTTGGGAGTTGTCTTGTTACCAGTCTGATAGTTTGACAATTTATTTAGTATCATTTAGTATGTCCTCAACTCAAATCACATGTTATAATATGCACCTTTTATGTGGTATTCCCCTTGATATGATCATATGGTTCTCTAGATAAATCTCTATAAATCGGCGTATTCCGAAAGGCTCAACCTTCACTTGACATTGTCATGGCAAGCGGCCTAACGGGCAAGTCATAGTCAGCGGTCACCCTCTAGTGATCCTATTCGAGTTGTACTACTGGTCCTAGGATAGGACTATAGTGCAAGTAAACCTTGTGCTATAGGGTGCTGGCAAGGGTAGCTAGTCACGGAACGGAAGAAATAATTACTGCGCAGTTTCTGACTTTTGCGGAACAACTCCAGACCACTGCGGTGACGGATGTCTTGCGAACTGTAATTATAAATAGGGTGTAATGTAACGAATCTCTGTGAAGAAGGCTGCTAGTAGTCGTTCCTGTCTCTCCATTTGATTGGAATGGTAAATTGTTAATTGATGTTCAGTAACGAATTTTCGTTCTGCGGACATAGTCCTGACTTTTGCGGCAAAAGACGTTTGTGTTATAGGATGCAAATGTGAATCAGAATGTCATCCCGGTTTGGAGGAGAATGGGCAAAATCAAAGAATTGTCCACTGAACTTGTGCTGCTCGGATTTTGTAAGTTGTGAACAAATGCTGACTTGGGTATCTTTAGGGCTACTGGGGAATAACAAAAGAATTTATATGAAATACCCCGGATATCTTAATATTTGAGGTATCAACTGGCATATTTTAATGCAGCACTAAAATAGGTAAGTATAAAACTTGCTCTAAACATCGCTACATGGATAAAGTCATTGGCCACTATGAAAGATGGGCCACTCAGCGGCCCTACCGTGATTTCCGACGAGCGTAAATTCCAGTCGGCGTCTATGGTCACATCAACTTTACATTCGCCACGATCGATCCAGATACCTGCAAAGTGTTGCCGCTTGGCTGCTCTGAAACACTACGACAAGGATCTTAGGGTGATGATCGCCAAGGGAACAGTTTTCCCTGATATAACAGCCTCCGAAGAGAAGCAAGACAAATTCATCGCTTCTTTGATCCCTTTTATGTCCACCCATGTTTTTGATGGCATAGATCTAGATTGGGAATACCCCATAGCGGACGACCCCAACGGAAAGCTGGAAGACTTCCAGAACTTCCCCAAATTCATGGGTAGGCTGAAGAATGAGATAAAAAAAAAACACCTAGGCGAAGTGAACTCTCTATCATGCTACCAGCATCCGACCGAAATCTCCATCATTTCGATTTCGAAGCCCTTGAAAAACATGTTCCATTTTTCAATATCATGTAACTGTATGCCTCTGGGGGCCTTCCAGGTCCATGCAGCAAGCAGGCTGGCATTCGTGTAAATAATGAAATTATGGATATCTCCCATGAGAAAAGGATTGACGCCAAAGCTATGCAAAGACGGGCCGACAAATGGAAGGAAGCGGGCCCTGAAGCTATATTGCCAAAGTGCGACTAGAATATTAACAAAGGCCCACTGCAAGTCTAGATGTGAGAGTGGAATGGTTAAGATCGCATTTTGAAAATCGAGAAGAGCAAGATGGCGAAGCTTCGAAGAAAATGCAACACATGGTCGCTCGTTGGGTTGATGATCCAGGCAAAGACGATAAGTACCAAAAGCCGACCCAGAAGGTTAAGCAAGTCCTTGCGGCATTGAGTGACAAAATCAGGGCTGTATTTACTTGGTTTGATTTCACATTATAGCCCATCGTAGGAGTGGTGGAAATAAGCCATCAGTGTTGATGACAAAGGTGTTTCTGCCACAAAATGAGGTGGTCATTCCATCTAAATAGCTGCATTTTAGGACAGACTCTTTGAATGCAGATCAGGCGACGCTATAGTGGCCTACTGCCGTCTTGGAAATGCCACTATGTCATAACAGGCCCCCCTTGAAGGCCAAACATTATTTTCTATCTAGGGTGAGATCCTATAGCATCGCTTTAGCTGGACTTGGACACAAAGGATACAGAAGCCATAAACCATTTTAAAGGTCTCTTCAATGACTTCAACTCGATCGTCGCCGTTTGCGACACCGACCGTGTTTAATGTAAGAGTCGTTCGAACCGTATCGACGTCAGCCACTACTGGAATGAACAAAACTGCTGGTTACCACGACGCTGCGACTAGGGCCTCCGTTGCCTAGTAAGTGGCCCACAGTCTGATAAGCAATCACCCGGGGGGGCACTTCAGATCCGTTTACTTGGCGATTGCTGTGATTTCTCCTATAGGCTCGTTGCTTTACGGTCGGCCGAGGCGCCCCATATTTCTTGCACTCTCTTGTCCATTACTTGCAAAGATCGACCACAGAGCTCAAACCTCGTTCCCGTTAGCCAGTATCCATCGACCAGCTCAAATATAGGCCCGAGCCGAATTAGGACAAGCTTTATAGGAATTCTACCGCGACTCTGAGACAGTGTCGCGGCCGGTGTGCCTAACGTGGAATCACATTACCAAGGATCAACGGACAATGAACGCCGAATGCTAACATTGCAGCAGCACTGTTTCAGGTTGTCCCTGAGCTGGTCTATTAAAAGGACCGAGTTGCTTATTCATTTAGAGCTTGGACGTTACTTTCAGGGATGGGATTTCTAATTAACCATCAGACATCGGTGGGAGATAATGCAATAGGCCAGACCAGGCATTTTCTTCATAAATTGTATTGGAGCTGCAGTGCACTGGGGAATTTGTTTCTCGGCACTGTGTCGAAAGTAGTACCGGCATTGGTAGATTTATGACAACCGGACTAGGGTATCAGGGACAGTGTGATGTGGAGTAGCCATGAAAATGCCCCTAGTTTGTTACTAGTATCTGGCTACAGTTAAAAGTGTCAGCTCGCCCTACTCTACTATCAAACTCATGCTTCCTCTTTCCCTCTGCTTCCAGTATTCCGCCCATCCTTTTTTGAAGAAAATAAAATGGAAACAATTGATACATCTCTCCATGAGACTTTTCTTCGTCATGCAGAATCAGGCACCCATAAAGAAGAATCTTCTTGTCGCTTCTCTACCGATCCACCCGTACTCGTTTTCGTTTTCAGGCCCCTTCAACAGAACGCACAGTATTGAACTAGGTGCTCCTTAAATCAGGGCTATTTATATAAATTTTCACTAGTTCTTAAAAATATTATGAGATAGCTATAAGAAGTGTGTTCTGGTATCTATAAGATGTTTGAACTTGAAAATCTACACTCAACATACTGGAAGACCGGGCGTCGTCCAAATTGACCACAATAACAAGACAAATCACGTCAAAATGCACGGCGAAATGTTTTCAATTCGCTCTGATGAGGAGACAAGCTTCGCTTTCTATCGCTATAACCCCAGCATGGGTGGTGCTGTCCTGTTTATCATTCTTTTCATGGGAACCACCTTCTACCACATATTCCAGATGGTCAAAACTCGGACTTGGTTCCTCATTCCGTTTGTGATAGGAGGCCTCTGTATGCATTACCTGACTAGATACGCCGGGTACCTGAGCTGACGCTAACAGTTGAGATTGTTGGATATATCGGGCGTGCTGCGTCAAGTAAGCAGAGTCCAGATTGGACACTAGGCCCATACATAGTGCAGACGCTATGTCTCCTTCTCGCTCCGGCCCTCCTGGCAGCATCAATTTACATGCTACTCGGGCGGATCATTCTGGTGCTGCAGGCAGAATCACATGCGATTCTGAAAAAGAAGTGGCTTACCAAAATCTTTGTCACTGGCGATGTGATGTCGTTCCTACTACAAGGTGCCGGTATGTATTGTCAACGAAATTCAACCAGCGTTACAGAAGAATTGTGCTGACTTTGCATCAGGTGGTGGTATTCAGAGTAGCGGAAGCCTTGACGGCATGAAGACTGGCGAGCGCATTATCATCGCCGGCCTTTTTGTCCAAATCATATTTTTTGGCTTCTTCATCGTCGTCGCTGTTCTCTTCGACTTAAAGTTGCGCAAATATCGCATTCCCCGGTGCTTCTCTGGAGAGGTTCCCTGGCGCAAGCATCTCAACATTCTATATGCAGCCAGCACTTTGATCCTCATCCGCTCTGCCTTTCGACTTGTGGAATACGTACAGGGTAATCAGGGTTACCTTTTGCACCATGAGATTTACTTGTATGTGTTTGACTCATTGCTCATCCTCATTGCGATGATTATTTTCAATGTCGCCCATCCCTCCGAAATTACTCGACTCTTGGACGTTATGCCGGATTACGAGTTGTCTCATAACCAGGCAGACCCGATTGTCAAACCATACTGACTTTACCCTGGAGCATGATTTGATATTTCATCGTCATACCTGCCATCTTCTTCTCTGTTTCTTGGCTCCAAGCGTAGGCAAGCTCCCTTTTTTTTTTTTTTTTTAGAGGCTTTTTTATTTCTCTTTTCCGTGCTCTTTTGCAAAATGTAACATTAAGATCCCATATGGTGACACATCTTGTATAAATATATCGAATAAGATTCTTTCCTCCTAGCACTAAAGATTATATGGTAACACAATTGCAGGTACTCATTCTCATTTTACCTTTCGAGAAAATCCCACCGACAATAAGATTTTCAAAGAATTGGGATTCCGGTTAAGAGAAACGTTGGTCGTGCAGATGATATTTCCCTGGAATAAACACAGCTGTGACCGGACATGGCAGAGTTATGGCGAACCTCGCAATAAGCCGAGTTTCAAACAAGGTTTGTGTCGAATAAGAATACGGGTGGGTCCAAAAGGTTCGAGAGCCATAGATTTCACATCGGGAGACCCACTCATATTCTGCCAAAAGTTCAATATCTAAATTAATCGTTTAAGCTTATACACTCAGAGCTTAAATCAGGGATTTGGCGTGCCAGATGAAATAGGGAGACCATGGACGAAGCACGCAGAAAAGGGACAATAACCTGGATAATTAGCGCATTCTAGGTGTATAGTAGGAATAGGCAGACAGTATACTAAAAGCGGTCAGGGATGTACTGGGCAAATACTCAAATGCATGTCGGGATACTTCCGTTTCACGAGTAAGCGTTCTGATGTGCCCTTCAAGGTATCAACAGTAGCAAACTTTATAATGTTTCCCCTGCCATTTTTCTGTCTACTACATTTCTAGTTGTCGTTTTATTCTTCATAACCTAGGGGTCGTAGCTTACTCGGTATTTCCATTCCAAGCGCAGCCCAATGCTGATCTTGACGTAAAAGTCGACCGTGATCCTGTTGAACTTCTGATGAGCGGCTCTAGGAACCTTCTCACATCTGATATCTTCTTAGCTCTAGGGCATGTTGGACTGTACTAAATGCCCCTCTGCAAAGAGAACAACCTCCGTTAGAAAAATCAAATTCTGTACCGAAAATGAGCTCGATGGCCCATGTAGACTAAGTAAATGGCAACCCTTGACAAAAACCTTAATTTGTCCTCTTGGGGTATTTCCTTTCGTATGCTCCTAGCTTTTGAACGGCCTCATGTTCTAGATCACAATTTTCGAGCTAGGTTTGGGCAGATTTACCACCTAATGAATTCAAAACTTGCCACGGGTTTGCATCACCTTGTTGAACAATTTCCCATCAAATTCCCTATAACTTGTGTGGGCCGGGAGTGGAGACCGGTTGGTGTGTACGTCTCTGGTTGCTGTGGCCCGCCGTACATCAGCTTGCACCGCATTTTATTTTACCCAAGTTAGTCACTCAAGATAGGCTGCAACTTTGCGCGAATGTTGTCAACCATGATGGATACTGTCTTTTACCACCAGGAACTTTTTTTATCTGAAAAATGGACCGAGACATGGTAGCTTTCTCAGCTTCCGATAGCGCAGACAATCGCGGAGTGAGAAGACATCGCGTCCGCCACACAAAGTCCCGCAATGGCTGCTATCCATGCAAATTCCGACGGGTCAAGGTACGCCTCCTAATGCGTAGTCCTGCTTGTGTCTGTTTGCCGGCCAGATTCTGATATCACAAAGTGTGACGAGCTTCAACCCGCTTGTGGCACATGTTCTTCCAGAGGCGAACCTTGCTCCTACCCTCCCCCACGCGTTGCTTCGAGGAAGCCGCCCAGATCGAGAGCGGACACGGAGATAGACAGTATATCACCAGATTATCTCGAACCGTCTCAGGAAGGTCCACTCGAGTTCCTTCGGCCCTTATCAATAAATGCAACAGCACCGACGATCATCTCGAACCCACCCAACCAACACCGGCATGGAGATCTCGATATGAATGATTTGAAGCTCCTTCAGTTCTATCATCTGCACACTGCAAGCCAAATGACCTCTCACCGGAGGAGATCTAATGTTTGGCAGCGGATTATACCTGAACTAGCGAGCAAAAGTCGATATCTGATGCATCTGCTCCTGGCATTGGGGGGCATGCACATGATTAAGCAGAAGGCCGATCCCAGCTGGAGTGCTGTTGAATGCTCAGATACGGTGGACTTGGAAACCGTCATGGAACATCATCAAAGAGGGTTGGAAGGGTTCAGAGAACAAGTGTCCCGCATCTCTCCCTCCAACGCTGAATCTGTTTTCTCGGGGTCTTTGCTTCTTGTTGCATTTGCCTTTGCATTCCTCGGGGTTCAGGACCTTCACCCTCTTACTGGGGCAACCGAAGGGATGAGCAGCGCCATGACAACCCCTTTAACAAATGACACCCCACGCCTCAACTGGTTATACCTCAATCGAGGTGTGAATACAGTGATAGGTGATCAATGGAAGGTTTTGAAAACCAGCCGGCTCCGGCCGATATTGATATTGCAACATACCGATGATTATTGGGAGGATTCATCATATGGATCGTCTCGGCTTTCTCGTTGCTCACCCCGCCTATTGAAATTTGCTGAAGGAGCTCGGCAAGCAGTCGCTTCCATCAAAGCTTCTTTGGATGCGCTTGAATCCCCTTTAGATGACTTTTCTAGCTGCTCGGGCACGCCCACATCCCAGCCTTTACCGCATACGACTTTAGACTGGGCTCTAGATGCACACAACGAGACAGTACGCGTACTGGACTCTACTTATTTACGGATTATATCCGTATTGCGGTGTGCAGCAACCGAAGATGCCACAGACAAGGAGATCCAGTTAGACTTTGAAGAGGCAGCGATTCTATCCTGGCCTTGTTCGATCCCCAGTGCATTCTTAGTGTCGCTCAACAGAAGCGACCGTAACTCCCTTTATGGACACTCGCTCGTCATCCTCGCCCATCTATATCTAGTAAACACCCTGGTCGATACTTGGTATATGAGAGGCTCTTTTGAAAGCGAGATAATGAGGATCAACGCGCTTATCAGTTCTCTAAATGGAGACCAACTGTCAACATACATGATATGGCCCAATGAGGTGTTGAGCTTGGGACTGAGCTGACAAATTAAACCACATGTATAAGAACAGTCGAAGAACCTGATAGCACCAACTGCGTTGGCTGCATATGTGCACGTGTAGAGCATATGTTGTATACTAGACAAGCCTGTAAGCCTGTCCATCGAAATATAGTGGAACCTTTGATGTCTGGCAAAAATCGTGGAAGATCCCCTAGGGTCTCGCATTAGGTTACCCACTGGTTCGAGACGGTTTCCAAGATAATTTTAAGATTATCATAGTCCCGAGGTTTATTTATCTCAATGGGGTAATCCATTGACAGAACTGTCATTAATATCATGGCTAATAATCTCGTGCACAGATTGCCAAGAAAATTTCCCCCTGGAGATTATATGTCTTGCAAATGAAAACGCGAAATCTCGACCAAAGGATATGGATTATATGAACCAAGGGCAACGTTCTTAGACAGTTTCTCTATAACCTAACATAGGCAGACATGAAAAATTAGTTCATGGCTCCCTACTGGTAATCTCCCCCGTTGCCACCAGGGACCATCGGCAAAACCGAGAAAGCGAATACGGGTGGGTCTACTCCGTACCCCGTACCCGTATCGGTACTGCCTACTGCCCCAAATGCGAGTACGATTCTTATCTGGAAAAATTTCTACATTCAATAACCATGGCACTCTCTTTATTCAACTAATTTATGCTTATATGAACCTGGGACATTCTCACCAGTCTCCCGATTCAACTCCAAGTTCCCTCAAAGCACTCCATACACTGTGCCACTTCCAAGTCGATTAATCCAACACCGGACGTCTATACAACATGAGTTCCAACGAGGACCAAGGGGTGGACTTTAAACTTTACCGCTATACACCTTCTCTGGTGGCAGCAATCATCTTCATTGTTCTGTTCGTTCTCGCGACTGCCTATCATCTTTACCAAGTCGTTCGTACACGATTCTGGTACTTTACAATATTCGTCGTTGGAGGAGCCTGTGAGTACCCAGCCTAGGTACAATGTCTTCCAACCTTTACCTTGGTCTCCGTGCGGTCCAGGGCATATCTAACAGGTGCTCTAGTTCAAATTATCGGTTACATTTGCCGCGCACTCGCCCACAATGACAAAGAAAACATCCCAATCTATTCAGTCGGAACAATCATGATCCTTCTCGCTCCTCCTCTCTATGCAGCATCGATATACATGACCCTAGGGCGTCTCGTTGTGCATTTGGATGCCGAGAGCTTGAGTTTGGTGCCAGTAAAATGGCTTACTGCAATTTTCGTCACGGGAGATGTGATCGCATTCCTGATGCAAGCAGCAGGTAATTATTTCCTTTCACTCAAACACTATCCTTGATCAATGAAGGCTAACTATAAATCAAGGTGGCGGGATCATGGCAAGCGGGACTCTCAGCGCGATGACCACTGGCGAGCATATCACAATTGGCGGTCTTGCCGTACAATTAGTGTTCTTCAGCGTATTCATCGTAGCTTCATCAATCTTCCACTACCGCATTCGCAATAATCCGACTGAGAAGTCTATTGGCCAATCACGCTCAGGCAGTTGGGAAGCTGTCATGGCCGGGCTCTATGTGGCTAGCATTCTTATTCTCATTCGGTCTATTTTCCGATTGATCGAATACGCTCAAGGCAACAGTGGGTATCTCATCAGCCATGAGGTATTTATGTATGTCTTTGATTCGATGCTTATGTTCTTTGCCATGGTTGTAATGAGCGTTTTCCACCCGTCAAAGGTTCTTGCTCGGCCATCGAGACTACCTCGCTCTTTAAGGAAGTCTCAATCAGAGAACACGGAGCTATACTCGACAGAAGTCTAGGTTTTCTATGGGTTAACGGTTTTCTTTTTCTTTTTTGTGCGCACATTAGAGATATGTGGTCTAAACCTTTCAAGTGAGCCAGTAGGCAGATTCTTTGACCATTTTTTAACTATTTATCACTATAAGACTCCAAATATAGAAATAAGGATTCCCATTACTAAAAATAGATTACTCCAGATCTTTTCTCCCAAGTGAACTGCAACGCTATCATTGATGGGTGACCGTTGAAAAGCTAGGCAAGCTCTTTATTGCGACTGCTGGATATTACATCACTACTTCAAGTCTGCCGAAGGGGCTTTTCTGTTATGAAAATGCTAGGCGACGGGAATCACGGACCATCGAGGTTAAAGCGCTAGTTAGACCTATATAGTCTTCCGCACGGGCCGGTAATGGGTCTGGGTCAAAATCCTTCACCCAGTACCGAGTCTGGGGCCGCAAAGTGGGTTATAAACTATACAAACATGCTAATTATGTTTATAATTCAGCTGATTTGAGGGGCTTATGACCGCCAAGACTCTGGTTTATGTCAAAACTAGGTTGAACTGGGCCTAGACTGGGTTTTCTGGGGCCGCAGTCACAGGGTCTGGGTTGGGTCTGGGTTATGAGCTTTCGACCCAGATCCAGACTATGTTAGGTTTTGGGTCGAGACCTTCACCCAAAATGGGTCGTGCGAAAGACTAGGCCAACATGGCATGTTTACATTGTATTGTTTAGGGACCATTAGGCGCCCCTGAATAGGCCGTGGACTTTAATCTTGGGCCTAAAGGCTTTCATGGGTCCGAGAATTGGGTCGGGTTGGGCTTTGGGCTCTTTGGGATCAGCGGAAGTCTAGCTAGAACGCTCAACTGAAGGTGAGAGGGGTAAATCAGATAACGTCTCGCGGGCTAGGACGACCAAAGCCATCCCGGACTTCGATAAGGCGTCATAACTATTCAAAAGTCGCGCACTATGAGGGCATCTTAATAACATAAGCGGCAACTACGCCACGATAGGCCTTTACCACGTTCCAAGTTCGTTTTCAGGAGGTGGGACATCATAAATATACGTACACAGATAATGGTTGCTGTAGCCTGTATATCGCTTTTCGAGAAGTCGGGGTAAATGAAACCTACTACTATATGAATACGCATTGTCGTGATTCTCCTAGAGTTTTGCCGTACTCCAGCAGATATAAATCGACATCTCGCGATGTGGGATTCATAATGAGCTAATAACCTTGGAAACAGCATTCATCTGACTAATATCTGCGAGGGAAATTTGGATTAAGTCTGTCACTGGGAACAGGCCTGTATTGGACCCTAAGGCAGACTTTCAGTTATAATAGAAGTCAAGTAGCCTCATCTGAGCTATAAAGTTTGAAATTTGAATGACGAAATTTAATTCCTGGGAACGCCTGGAAATTGAGGAGTAAATTTTACATGAATAATAGAAAATAGCTGTAGAGGTATTGCCTCATCCGGAAGATGGTCCACCCTCATATGGGGAAATACCAAGTTGCAGGTTACCTTCCAGTTATGACTAATATGATATTAGGTCTGCTCCAAATAATATTGTATGTATGTATTAATCGATCTCGTCTGCAAATATCCAAGTTGTATAAAAAGAAGTGATAGTACAAATTCACTGCTCATTGTGATGTTTCCGGTCCATATCAACCAACTCCACATCACTACTCGTTGGTGACCGGGACTCATAATTCACCGAGTAGGTAACAGACTTATTAATATTCCCACTCGCCTTGGACTTTTTCTGATAGTACTCAGCTGTGTACGCTTCTTTCGTTCGATTCGATGATCCGCCCAGCAACCCGGGGAACCACCGACCAATGATAGCTCTGAACGCAGGCAAGCAAGCGCACATGACAGAAATCTGGCTTTCAATGACAGACCAATGCATAAGGGGATATAGGCCGAGTGTCTCATTGGAGCCCCAGCGGTTGGTCCAGAAGACGATGACTCGGATAATGGCGATAACCGTCAGACTGTAAGGTTAATTAGCGAAAGGTAAATGGAAATAGACAAGGCTAGCGGGTGCATACACAGAGCCCACGATAAACATCGATGCCACAGCAAGCTTCTTCCGCAGAGGTAACTGTAACTTGATCACTTCATACACCGGCATGATGATCAAGATAAAGTCGACAAAGATGTTCACCAGACAGTTAACCAGAACGGCGGCGATGAAGTCGATACAGTATCCAGGTTCCTCCTTCATCCACCCAAGCCATGTTAAGCGTGTCGGCGTGCAGCGGAAGCCATCCACCGAGGCCCAAGTGATACCGATTGAGGCGTTGATACCGATGAGGGCGTACGCTAAATGGCGGAATGTGCGTGCTTGGAAGATCCGGAGTAGGAAGAGACACACGGAGATCTTAGCGAGGGAAATTTGAGCCTTATACATAACGGCCATAGCTTGAAAAAGCTGTTTTTGTTAGATTAGAACTGAGCATTGGAGAGATAGCCGAACCTGGTAGAACCTGGTGATTGTGGGAAAAGGGAGGTCCCAAATATTTCGACCGAAGCCATTGCGGATCACTGCTTGGTTAGTTGTTCGTTCTTGCAAACTATAACACCGGAGTGTCGGCTTACTATAGATATCCAGAACATATATGGCGGCACCTATGATCTAAGAGGCCGTTAATATCGCTCTGGAAAATACCCCCTGGGGAAGAAGTGGCTCACATATGAAACAATGATTGTATAATCATCCCATCCCCATCCACCAGCTAGGCCGTTGCTTTTGGCGATCAATCTGGCGACGAAGAAAACCGTCGCAAGAATAAAAGGTATTAGAGTCGAGACCTTAACCACCGGAGGGCCTTTGAGAGGCGTTATATCACATTCTTGTTCGTACAGACGTTTTGTAGCTACCAGAGTTAACAGAGTTAACAGTGGGTTTCGTAGATTAATCACGATCGAGACGCACTGAAGAATTCCTTTACCGTGCAATTACTTTCAGCACAATCTAACAGAGCCGTGGGACGAGAGCTGCTGGCACAAAAGCATGATGTATTGTTGCTCAATGAGCAATCGGAAAATAGCTGATCATCACAATTGATCTAACATATATTAATCAGCAATGAATACGACTGCATTAGGAGATATACGTACCGCACACGACGGCAAGACAGTTGTATCCGACTCTGCTGCATGGATCCCCACTATAAGCAAGGCCAGAAAGGCGACAAAGAACAAATGACCCCTCATGGTCGAGATTTCAGAAACAACGTTGAAGATAATCAAGAGGGTAGAAAATTCTCCCCCTGGGGGTAGTAGCTAGTTTTGGTTCCGACTTTTGATATAAATGGGCCCCTGGTTGAACGGCCACACATTAAGATTATTTAGGTACAAAAGTATAGATCTCGATGGCAAACACAGACCGAAAAAATCATGATTGGACTACCGAACAAGGAAACGCCCCGCTTTCAAAGCTGGTTCAAGTGAAACCAGCCATGTGCTGCCCCGGTGAAAACCAAAGAAACCCCTTTCCAGAATATTCCTACACGCGACGAAATCCACAGAATTGCTAACAGATCAATTGTTCCCAATCAAAATCTTGCTTTCGGCTTAATCAGGAATTCTAAGGTTGGTAGGAACTGGTTTTTATGACGTGGACAGCTACCATCCGGCAATTTTTCTCATCGCCAAGAAGCCCGATGCACTCCAGGCCTGTATCGATCGGCGGCTGTAAACGCCATCATTTGGCGAACGACAAATGCGTTGAAGATCAACCATTTTTAAATGAAACTACTGGTTTTAGTCAAGTAATAGCTTTGATTACCCGAAAATGCCGATTTATGTTGTACGGCAAAAAGCCGAAATGTCAATATTCGTACTGCGTAGCATACTTCTCTCTGCGATGTTGGTTAAATTATGGCCAGGGGTGGCCATTGCTTAAGGAATGCCCCATATGAAAGGGGCATCAAGACCCAGAAATGCTCCACTAATCGAGGAATCGAGGAATCGAGGAATCGAGGATCAATTGATTAATCTTTCATATCTCATACTCCACTCGGGACACCGGATGCCAAAGGACTACAACATATTATTACTGTAGGTGAAACCTACTGCAGGATTGAGATTTTATGGTTATGATGCCATTTAATATCCCAAATGTGCACATTTTACAAAAGTTATACATTTTATTGTATGGCTTGGAAGGTGACAGCTGAAGATCCAGTAAACATACTTTTTTTGAAACGTAATTGCGGAACTATTTATTGGACCTCAGAGGCAAAGTTGTAGATCTTGTTCTTACTCTACTTTGTACATGTAATTTGATTATGAAAAAAGGGGAGTGTGGAGAGTGTCACCCATGCGGCCGAACTTCGGCTTATATACTTTGTAGGTCGCTTTGTGTAACCTGAATCAGACGATCTCCGATGCCAAGCTCCCACTTGATTATGTGCCTTTGACCCTTGGCGTAAGGATGATCATGGAGATCTTTGAGCCCTAAAGTTCTAATGCCTAATTTTATACAAGACCCCGGACACTTCCCGAGGTCTAAGGGGGGTAGATTGTTCACGTCCAAATATCGCTTCATTCGTTCCTCAAGTGATGTTTATATATGCTACCGTACCTAATTACCGGTTTTTCTATCCTGGCCGGGATATTCTACCTAGGTATATACTTCTAGAAGAAAGATAGAGCAAAGACTTGTTTACAATTTGATGTAAGATTCCACACGCTAGGCGAAGTCACCTGATAGTTAGAGTAGACATAGCCCGTTACGTGTCAGCTCATTCAACAAAGAGTGCATTCAAACTAAAAAAGCAAAGATAGGGAGGAAGAAGAGAGAGGAATCGAGTAGTACATCCGTGACGATCAATATCAGAAGCTACTCCAGCAAGCAACAAGCTGCGGGCTTGGGGCTGTGGAGCGCCCTTGAAATTCCATATATCAAGCAGAGTACCATATTGAGCAAAATGCTTTCTAGGCTCACGGCTGTATGATCCTTTTCCCAAAGCCCTAATAGGGAGACGACTCAGGGTGTTGGTAACAAGTTCCTAGGTGTGCCCTAAATAGTTGATGGTCTGAACCTGCTGGTTAACATGGAATATCTGTTCAGCTAGGCGCCCTTGGTGGTCTACAGTTGTGATTGCAGTTTCAAGATAGCCGCTGGCATGGAAGGCTAATGGTACAAGTAATCTGTTCCGAACTGCGTTCACGCATTTCCACTCAAATCTTGCGGGATCTAGAGGTTTTCCATTTGCAAGCGACCGATTTACAATATAACGTTGATCACCGATGCTCGCAGTAGTTCATAGCGCCGGTACATTTGCTGTCGGAGGCTGCCCAAGTGCCATGGTGATCTCTTAGGGGACCTCGGGGGACGTTGGGTTCTGCTTCAATTGGGAGGTGAGTGGCTGTAGCTCCCTGCTGAATCGCACGAAGTTCTCGTAGGACATCACCAAGGTGGACTGTTTGAGCTCGAAGATGAGAGTTAGCATTGTGTCGAGGATTGATCAGGGCCATTAGGTGTGCATGTTCGCTTCGCTTAATAAAGATAGATAGTCCTTTGACCTCTCCGATGTACCGGAATAAGGTTATAAAAAAGCAAAAACATACAACAGTGAGGATTCGCTGGTGGTCACCCACCCAACTACTAACTCACCGGCGTGTGGCTTAAGTACGGCTGAGCGGACGGGAAGCCCTGTTTTCCACACCCTATGGTCGTATGTACAGTAACACAGATTGGAAAGCAATATAGGCTGTGCGTTGCTGGTGCTGATATGTTCAGTGTGAAATGGGTAGCGCCGCTTTACGGTCGCGCGACCCGGGGCGACAAGGGTGAGTGCGCTATAGGGTGAGAAGCTGGGAGAAGTGGGTGAGAATCGCCCTAGGTAGCCAAGGGTCAAAGCGTTTCAGGTTTAACTTGTAATTCAACCATATCGTGCTCCATGTCACTTGAGGAGGTCGGTGTGGGCATCACGCATCTTCACCTAGCCCCAAAATGAGATATATCTTCAGCTCAATTCGTTGTTGTGGCTTTGTTGCTGCAGACTCGCTACAGCTCTTCTAATATGTCCATGCTGACACCTACATCCCAGTGCAAACTGCATATATCAATCAAACTAATCAAACAAGCAAAATACACACTTGCAGTCCGGTCTCATATTTGTTGTCATAAGGTATACGTTGATTGGTTCCAGGTCAAGTAGTCTACACATCTCAGCTTAACAGTGTTCGAAAATTGTCCCTTGAAAAAAGTTAGCTTGTGCATTCTACTGCTCAGAATGATCCATAGACTGTAGACCAGCGGCATAATTACCCTTCTATGCATAGCGGCATCGATGACAAGCGTAATGTTGGCATTCCACTGGGCTTCGATTGGCAACTATAAGAACTATGCCTGCGCAAAATCCCCTGGACCGTAATTCCTGCTGTGGCAGTCACAGCATTCCCAGCCCATGCGGATTAGGTCATGGACAAAGCAAGCCACATCACCACATGAAGAATCCATTACAACATCTGTGACAGTTCTCTCCTGCCCACACATTACCTGTCTCCCTGTTTTTTTTGTTGACCCTGGCATAAAGACAACATGTTATACCTCGTTAAATAATCCGATGTCCACAACGATAGACTCGATACTGGTGACCACACATTGTTCTTCATAGACACTAAAGAAAATTATGTGCAGAATGACTTTGTTGATTATTTAAATCAAGAGAGGACCCTGGAAGCTTTCCTACTGCTTTATATACCTGTATTGTCCTATTTTTGGTTTAATAAGGCAGTACTGAGTGGTTACATGGCGGCTGCCGCTTCGAACCTATAGCGCTTAGGTCTGGAACGGAGAACTATCTTAGCTCCACTAATTATAGGATGCCAAGTTTCTCGTTATAGAATATTGGGGCGTTGTGGGTCATGGTACTCTGAGTGGCTGGCAGTTTGAAGTAATTATAGGTTATTAGTGACCTAACATTAACCGCCGAATTTGTAGCCTAATAACCGAAACAGCGCCAAGTACCGGGCATCACTTTTCAGAAGCCAGAAATCATAGCGAGGTTCTCGATTCCTGTAAAAGAAATATACGCAAAAGAGAGAAAAATCATATTCGACGAACGAGGATACTAAACTGGATAAAATTATATCACGAGATCTGACTATACTCGGTCTAGAAAATGCTCTCACCCGGAGGTCATGTAGATTATTGCCGCTCACTACCCCCCTCTTCCCCTGTGTCTAGAGTGGGTGTAACACGCGGGATTGAATTGTCCAGATAGTTGGTGCCCGAGAACTCGAGATTTAGCAGGAGCTCAGGCTGACCAGGATTATGCCTCTGGCATCAAGTAGGCAACGTACACAGAATCAAGATCCAGACATAGTGAATGCATAGATGATCAAGTATTGTAAACCAATCACAGATTAATCTAAAAAGATAGTAAAGGAAGTTGTCTTGGACGGCTGCCTTAGCCTGCACAAGAGTGTAACAACTAACAGTAGACAGTATGCGCACAGAGCGATGGTAGTCATCTAGTATTCATCCAAAAAGGTAACGCTTAATATTTTCAAGTCTCTGGAGATCTCCCTCGGTTGAGTTGGACTTCTCCTTCTCAGCCCAACCTTTAGTATAACCTCCTCCAAAATCAATCAGATATGCATCCTCATTGGCATCAATGAGCACGTTAGCTGCCTTCGTATCCCCCCAAATGATATTGTATGAATGCAAGTGTTTTATTGTGTGCGAAATCTGATCAGCCCATTTTTGTCGGAGCTCGGAAAATTTGGGATCATGTCCATCAATGCAATTAAGTGTAGCTCCATCACAACTAATGTATGATAAAACCAATCCCATGACATACCCATCATTATCCTGGACCAGCCCTTCCAGTTGTGATGTGAGAATCGGGGGATCGAATTTAGCCATGCGAATCTTTGAGTAAGTGAGAATCTCTCTTATGGTAATACTCATGTCATCTCCGTAGAGTATATTGAAGAGGCTAGGCTGCGGTTGACGAATAAATACCTTGTGAGGTAATCCTGATAGTGCAGCTGAATCTGCACTAATTGGAACCTGGACTTCCCTAGGATGGTGGACAGGAAAAGGAGAGTAGTCGATAGAAGATGGTAGAAGGGCCCCGATGAGATCATTTTTCATGTTCTTAGTGTTACTGAGATAAATGGGAACTAGGTTATCTCCCACTGCCTGCGCAGTGTAGTGAAATTCTTCTGCAGACAGGCAGTCCTCGAGAGTGTACTTTTGGCTCAGGTCTAGGGGAGCAATTTCGTGGAAAATTGGCAAAAATGGTTGTAAGACCCAATCATGCTTTTCATCAAGGGGGTCTTCAAACTCCCCATCCATATCGACTTCAGACTCATCAGCAATCCATTCTGGTTCTTGACGTTGAACGTGTCGAAGATACTTGGCCAGGAGGGCAGGCGACCTTTCGAAGTTGGAAGTAAAGAGATCGATTTTAAAGCGTTTGTTCGAGACATAAACATTCAACTGCGTGTCTGTATTTTTGGTGCTTGATTTAAATGGACCAATATCATAGATGGGTTGCTCCTTTGCCATTGTTAGCCGTCGAGGAGTCGCGGCAGAAGAAAAAGAAGACATAGGAGTAGGAATCTGGCAGGTCGGGGGAGTGAGCGAAGTACCAAGCCATGTGACTGTTGGCCAATCGCAAATAAATAGTCATCTTCATCGCCAACTCTAATGCAATATGTAATTGGAAGGAAGAGTTGTAGTGAAGGGGGTTGGGCTTGGAGACTGAATGGCGGTATGCTTTTCGGCCTCCGACGCCATGTGAGTAGAACCAATGAACTGAAACCAAAAAAATGTTTGCTGCAAATGCCGCAGAAGGTACATGATTACTCCGTGTCCTCTCTTCGCGAGGTTGGTCTTCTCGTCTGTTAGATCATACTCGACCCTTCACTCTATGTTTGTTGAACTGTCGACTGATTTCAAACATACTTTCCGGCCACCAATCCTCGCCTGTCTTCCACAGGGACATACGCCATCCTGTTTCTCGCCTAAGGGTGATAAGTTGCCCAAGTTCCCAAGCTCCAATACCACCAATCCACCACACCTTATCTAGTAACATAACCAGAACGAGCCAATGGGAAAATATGTCCACAGCTAACTGATGTGCTAGACTCGGCTCCGAATTCATGGAACTTAGGGGAAACACTGTTCTTCCATAGGCTCCTGGTGCTCCGCGTTGCATGAGACTCATCATGTCTTCAACCAAGTTCAAATACTTGGTGGGGGCTTTGTGAACAAATGCCATAATAAGCCTTCGCGGAAGCCTCGACGGTATAATTGAAGTGATTCTGGCTGTATATCTCTGCATCCAGGGCGAAACTTTCGAGACTTGACCCACCGGATTAACGTCGAGTTCAGAAGCGAGATGGGAATGACCTGGCGTGTTTGACATCAAGTTGTTATCACGAAAGGTCTCAGATGTAATGTTTCTGAAAAGTTCCAATGCAGCAAAACATGCTTGAACGTCAGAGTCGATATGAATAGCTGGTGACACCTGGTCTCCACAGCCCCCCATCTCGTTTTTGATGATTTCTCTGGCCGTCCTCCCCAACCTTTCCAATGCGGATGCCACCGTAGCAGCCATAATGGAATACAAAGCATGATCTTGGGGACCTTTGTGTTGGTCAATCTGAGATGACACCTCGCATTCGCAATGTATCTGAAAATCACAACCTGCCACAGGTTCAATGGGTGGGGTGGCCAGGGTAGGCTGAGCCACATCCTCTGCTTGAAACCTGTCGTTGATTATTCCGGTGTATGCCACGCGGACAGCACGGAACAAGCTAATCCATTGACGGCTTTTTGGCATAAACCGGTTCCGTTCTATGTCGTCGGAGCATGCTGTTTCCACTAGCCATATTCGGATGCGGTGGCTACTTGATCCATACATCCCCATCATAGCCGCATTTGCAAGAATATGGTCATATTGGTCAGTCCCAGAGAGAGTTGCTTGAATTTCCCTCAGTGATTCCATGTGATATTGGTCGGCGACAGATAAAAGCGCTACAACTTGCCCACGGTCTCCGTGGGATATTGAGGACTGGTTGATAATATCACAGCATCTACAAACTGCCGAGAATGCGAGCACAGATTTCATGAGAAACTTGTTCTGGAAAGCGAGATTCGGAATTCCGATCTGTAAGGTGTATTGGTCCTCGTCGTCAACAGTCTTATCTCTGCTAGTATGTTCGAGATAGTGATTGAATAGTGCGAATTCTGTGGGTGTAAACATCTGTGATGTCTGGGACTGCAAGAGCGAGCTGGGGTGTTTATCGTCTCTCGGCAGATTGAGTGGTGATTGCACAGAAGGAACTGGTGATGACCCTAGGCTTCCGACCGCTGCGGACGAGTCACGCGAGCTTTCAGAGCTATCCATACCGTAGTCTATGTGTGAAATTTCATTTTGCAAAAGATGCTCCGTTTGTTCAAGTTTGGCCTCGGGGGCTAGTATGCTGGATCTGCTTGGGTATTGACAGATCAAATTCATCTTACTGCATCTTGAACACTTTGGCTCGAGTTCATCGCACTGTATATATTAGAAAAGGATTTCTTCGGGGCCATGGGTTTTGATTATATATCACACATACCTTGATTCTGCGTGTCTTGCATTTTTTGCAACCGTATCGCGACTTTCTGTGTGGCCTGCGCGTTTTGACCTCGGCCCAACTACTGTCTTGTTCTAGTCTATCCATGTGTGACGATCCAAAGACGATAACAAAAAATAGAACAATGAACATCCAACGGGGCTTATAAGGATGAGCACATTGAGGCTCCTTTTCGGAATTGTCAATCCGATCACCTAACTAGCTTCCTAGTGTCTTGAGAGCCTAACTATGGAGATTGATAATTCCAAATACTTTGTCCCGAGGTCATGTTTAGTGTCTTACTCAGCTATTCATTTTATTAGACACCCCAAGACCGTTTGGGCGGTCGCTAACTAGATGGCAGTTCGGTGGCGTCAAACAAATTCCACGGCCTACTTTACGGAGTAGGGCTGTCTTACTTGGAATGTACTTGCTCCACCACATCGGACATCAAAGATATGGGTACAAATACGGGAATTGAGGCTGTGAACCTTGTGGAAATTGAGGATCTAATTACATTGAAGCCCGTGGCGCGCTGCGCCCCCCGTGTCAATCCTTGGCATCAAATGGGTGACATCTTCCCTGATTTATCAGGGTCACTACAGAGCACACTTCAAATATTTCCGTAGAATATTCCAGAAATCTTCCATCTCGTAGTGTAATAACAATAAAAATTTCGTTGAACAATACAGTTTAATTTCCCGTGTTGGATGCCAAGATATTAGGCGTGACGGCTTCATGCAAGTGCGTATTCGCCTAGACTTGTCAGCCGGTTGACAAATACTATTCACGTATAGGATTACTCGCAGCCTGAAGAAGAATGCTCCAAAGTCTAGAGACCTGAATAAAGACCACACGCTAATCGTTTAGAAAGCCTAACGTGGATATTCCATTTTGCAAGCATCGCGTATAGAATACGCTCTGTGGCAATGATCCCAGTGCTAAATACGCTCGTTGATCATGAGTTGGTCTAATATGTTACAACAGACAGATATATAAAGGCCCATATATGCCGAACTGGAGAGACCAACACATCAGTTTCACATCAGTTCCACATCCTAATTGACCAACCTACGATACCAATATCAATTCAAGAAGCCATGAAGACGAGCTTGATCGAAACAGTTCTTTTCGGCCTTGCGATCGGTTCGTACGGCTGGGAGCATAAATCCCATGACTTCCGTCCACCACGGATAGGCGACAGTGAGTTATTCGCGATAATCTCTTCCCACTCTCCCGGGAAGCGGCTTAACATATGTCTTAGGTCGATCTCCATGCCCTGGTCTAAATGCCTTAGCCAACCACGGCTGGCTCCCTCGTTCGGGGAAAGACATAGATCTACCCACGTTCCAATCCGCCATATCTGGCGGCTATAACTACGAACCCACCACCATGGACGGGATTTTCCAGCTGGCATTGAACCTCAACCTCTCGACCACTGGAAACCAATCGACCTTCAACCTCTTTGACCTGGCAAGACACGACAATATCGAGTTCGATGGCTCATTGTCGCGCAATGACATCTACTTTGGCGACAACGTGCACTTCGACCCCATCATCTGGGCGACCGTTGCTAAGAACCTCAATCTTTACAGTACTCTGGGCTCTGAGATGAATCAATATGTTAGCGTCGAGAGCGCGGCTAAAGCCTGTGCAGCACGCGCGGCCGATGCCAAGAAAGTCAATCCCAGCTTCAATTCTTCGGCCATGCAGGTTATGGGCAACCCTGGGACAACGGGTCTTTATTTGGTAACATTGTGGGATGAGAATGCAGGTGCCGCTCCAAAGTCTTGGGTTCGGGCTTTATTTGGTATGTTCAGACTTTGCTTTCGATACTCAACATACTACGAGACATCGATGCTTATTATTTGACAGAAGAAGAGCGTATCCCTTACCGTGAGGGCTACAAAGTGCCTAAAGTCCCAAGGACGATGGATGATGTCAGTAAAATGGTAGACAGAGTGTCGAAAGTGGGGGTTAAGGACTAGCAAATTCGGTGCCAATTCGTTAACGAAACTGTTAGGCTACGAAGTGAGAGGGAAGAAGGAAGAAAAACCCCGCTATTCAATCTATCAAGAGCAGGCAGGGTCTTTATACCCTGCTAGCAAATAAGCAAACGCTCAGTCTGGCAAACAATCGTCAGGGCAGTCTAATCTCCAACACACACCCTTACACTGAGCATAAAAAAACCATATCTTTCTCGTTTTCATAGTAAAATTCATCGTCGTAATCTTCGAAGCCAACCTTCGGCAGAGGTTTTGTCAGAGCGTCTGCTGGATTATCTTTACTGCTAATTAGACGTATTTTAACCTCTTTCCTCTTTATAGCATCTCTCACAGATTAATATTAAAATAGATACTTATTTTGGAAACATTCCTTGGACCTAAATTAGGCTTTAGAGAAGCTTAGTTATGCGGAAGGCTGAGGATGCATAATTCGGGAACCGGCGACTTCATTTTCTTTGAGGTCCCAGTATTACTCTTGAGGAGTGGGACCTTATTCTTCGCGAAACAGGCTTCAGTGGCATCGAAACCAATTCGCCCATGCGCGACCCAGTAGGCGTTCCCGGGTCCATTATCGTTTCTCGGGCACAAAATGATGTTATCAGCAAATTGAGCATGCCGCTCAGCTCAACTCCGAGTACGGATAGAATCCCCTTGTTGGTTATTGGTGGCAGCAGTCTGTCTGTCACACCATTCAGGGACCAAATCTGCCTCACGCTGAGGCCCCAGTTTTCAGATATCATCAAGCTGGAGAATTTCGACAATTTGCCAGGACTGCCTGAGAGCTACCACGTTCTGTGCCTCGCTGAGTGCGATGCGAACTTGTTTGAGGATATAAAGGAATCTATTTTCTCGGACCTAAAGACAGTTATAGGTTCTGCAGTCAGTGTACTTTGGTTGCTCAAGGGCCGTCGATCGAACAACCCCCATGCTGGAACTACCCTCGGTCTCTTCCGGACACTGTTTTACGAAGCTCCTAGAACCCTGTTCCAGACTCTGGATATCGCTTCCATTGATATGAATGATTATTCAGTCATCGCGAAGTCAATGTGCCAACTCAGGCTCCAATCGGAAATTTCCAGACGTGGCGAGTCGGATAAGATACCTTGGGAGTTCGAGCCAGAACTGGTCCTTAAGGATACCCGGCTTCATGTCCCAAGAGTCCGTCCGCATGATGACCAAAACAATAGATACAATTCATCTAAAAGATCTATGATTGACGAGGTGGACACCCAGACGACACCTCTGGCGCTGGATTTCGTCGACAACTCGTACATGCTACGGGAACATCACACCTTTGAGAAATCCTCACATGGCCTTGTTACCATCAAGGCGTCTTGCTCTTTCTTGTCCTCCATCAAGACTCCAGTAGGATATGTATTTGTCAGTCTTGGAGAAGATGTCAAGACAGCAGAGAAGGCGCTCTGCTTCTCTAACCGCAACGAGTCTATCGTGAAAGTTCCCAAGTCTTGTACCGTATCCATTGATGAGGTCGAGGTTGACGGACAATTCATGTCCTTTGTTATTGCTGACCTCACGGTCCAATGGGTATTGGAAATGCTGCCACCCACAGGAACTGTGTTGGCATACGAGCCAGATCCAGTTGCAGCATCTCTGTTATCTCAACAGTTGAGCAAACTTGGCAAAAAGGCACTTTTCCTGACATCTAGTCCCGAAATGTCTGGCCGAAACTGGGTGTATATTCACCCTAATAGTACCAAGAGAGCCATCACTGCTCTCTTACCATCCGACGTTACCTTGTACGTCGACGCCTCCGGAGCCGAGCCTGAATCTCAAAGACTTGGATTCAAGATTGCTACCTCCCTGTCATCGGTTTGTAATAAAGTCAAGATGCCCAGCCTGACTGCATCGGAAGCGTCCGTTCTTCCGCACGATACCCCCGAAACCATCACGAATCTGCTCCGTCGTGTTACTTCCCTCGCCTCCTCACTGTTATCCGCACAAGCAACTCCAGAGGGCGCACCGCTTGACATCCTACCATTGAAACGAGTGGTTGCAAACTTTGTTTCTCCGAATCCCAACTCACTGGTTTACCGGCAAGAGGATCAATACGTACCGGTCTCTGTCGAACCTATTTTCCAACGTGATGACTTGTTCCGTCCCGATCGCACCTACTGGCTAGCTGGCCTCGCTGGAGACACTGGACGATCCCTGACCGACTTCATGATCGCCCACAATGCTCGCAACATTGTGCTCAGCAGCCGCACGCCCAATCCCGACACAGACTGGGTTCAATGGCACAAGTCGAGAGGTGCGACAGTAAATTATTTTGCAGGGTAGGTAACAGATTATTGGTTTAACGGAACTCACCACTTGAAAGAAGACTGCTAACCAGGTTCCTTGCTTAATAACATCACCAGCTTCGAATCATGAAGCAGATCTTTGACACCATCAGGGAGTCCATGCCGCCCATTGGGGGTGTTGCAAATGGTGCTATGGTTCTACGAGACAGTTCGTTGATGAAGATGAGCTTCGAAGATTTCCAAGCAGTCCTGCGTCCCAAGATCCAAGGCACAATTAACCTTGACTGGCTCTTCTCCGATCCCAGCCAACCACTCGACTGGTTTATCAGATTTAGTTCGATCGCGGCAACGGTCGGTAACCCTGGTCAATCAGCGTACACTGCTGGAAACTGTTTCATCAAGGTACTTATCGACCGGCGCCGTCAGCAAGGTCTGGCTGGATCATCAATTGATATCACTCGATTAGTGGGACTAGGCTTCATAGAGCGTGAGAGCCACGGCCGCCTAACCAAGGAGCACCAGGAGCGGCTAACCACGCGATCTGGCACCATTGCGATGAGCGAGAATGATCTGCATCAGTTGTTTGCTGAGGCCATCTTGTCCGGACGACATGACTTGGGCCTCAACCCGGAGATCATTACTGGTCTGGCACCCATCTCTGTCGAATAGTCCAAGGACGCATACTGGAAGACCAATACCAGATTGTCGCTGTTGATCCGGGAGGTGGGACAGGCCGGCTCTCAGGGGGGAGAAAGGGGCAACGCAGTCCCAGTCCGACAACTGTTGGAAGCGGCTAAGAACATGCAAGACGCGGTGAAGGTACTTACAGGTAAGTAAAATTAAGTTTCAAGACTTCTCTCCTGACCAATTGAACATGGATACTGACAATTCCGTTTAGGTGCTTTCAAATCAAAGCTGCAAGCATTGAAATTCCTTTCAGATTCTGACAGCCTCTATGATACCACGCCTCTGGTGGATATGGGCGTTGACAGTTTGGTCGCAGTGGAGGTGAGATCGTGGTTCTTGAAAGAGCTCGCAGTGGACGTTCCAGTGATGAAGATTCTGGGTGGTGTCTCGATCACAGATTTGGTGGAAGTTGTGGCACAGAAGCTTCCCCAAGAGCTACTGACTCGGCTTGATCCCGAGGGGAAGCAAAACCGCGGCGGTGACAATGTGCCAACCCCTGCTGCCGACAAGAAATCCGAAGAAACGGAAGAATCAAAGACCAGCGGTCTGGACAGCGCTCATGAAGTCAACGGGGTAAACGGTGTCAATGGCACTCGTGATACCATTGATATCGCGAACGTCACCAACGGGACTATGATCACCACAGAGGTGGAGCTCAAGAGCACAGATGGCGTTCTCCCGATCATTATCAGTGGGCAGGAGGTCGCCTAAGATGGAAGGCGTGATATGCCCGTTCAATTGTATTAGTTCTGTCGAATATCAAGGTTGAATACCCTGGCGAAATACGAAGTACAGGGCATCGAAACCCCGGAAGAATCCACGGACCGCTTTTATTGCGAGCTCCATACAAATTGCATATAGCAAAACGCATATAAATAATCGTAATTTATTCTGCTGTATTAGTAGGTTATGCATCCATTTTGGGTGACTTTATATAAGTATAGGCACGTAGGCATTGCCTAACATAGGTATGCCCATAGGCCTTGGGTGTTTCAACTCTTAGGGTGCCCGTCTAGTTGAAACACCCAAGGCCCACCGTGGACGGGCCATAGTGAAAAATGGCCTCATAGCCTGTTGGGCTACGAAGGGAGAGGGAAGAAGGAAGAAAAGCTGTGCTATTCAATATATCAAGAACAGGGTCTTTATAACCTGCCAGCAAACTAGCAAATGCTGGGTCTGGCAAACAATCGTCAAGACAGTTTGATCTCTAACAGAAACTATTATTGTCGAGGGCTTGACAATCAATAACGTGTGAAGAAAGCCGACATATAAAGGTTGTGCAAGCGAGTCAGGATCTTGTCTCAACAATATAGCAATAATCAAAATTCCATGCTAGGATAGAGTGTAGTATATATATTTTCCAACAAAAATCCAAAACAATACAAATGACCAAAAAAAGGAAAGCAATGTGAAGCTTTTAAACACGTTTCCCTTCAAAGCCCTCAGCGGGCCATCCCTGAAGTGTGTCCCGGTTCTCAACATGGTCACCCGACAAAACCAAGGTATGTTCCAAAAGACAAGCATCTTGGCCCATCGAAGCGCCGGACATCAAGCGCGATCCAGCGCGTAAAATACTCCGGTCGCCAACATTCAAGGTATGCAGCTCAAACCCACCACGCGAGTTCAAGTGACAAACCAAACTGGCATCGTCGACAGCAACGCGGTTACCAAGAGTGACGAGATCAGGCTCTGTGAAGAAGATGCTGGGACTACCGTTGGCGTGGATCGCACAGTCCTTTCCAATGTTCGCGCCTAAGAGGCGGTAGTACCAGGAAATATAAGCAGAGCCCGAGATCATTGGCTGAAGACCTACTCCATCATAGCAGTCTTTAATCAGCGTCTCGCAGGAGAGGAGGAACTGCCAGCGTTGGTTGTAGCTGCTCTTGTCCCAGTGGTAGGCGCCTTCCTTGCGGCGGCCAACGACCGTCCATTTAATGCAGAGAATAATGCCAAAGGCAAGGAATACTTGAGCAGCGGTAATGACAGATAGGATTGAGGCGAGAAGGCCATACAGAGCGAATGGGCGCCAGGCACCTTGCTTAAAACCAGCCGCATCGCTGTAGTCTAGGACAGCACGGAGAGCAAAAAGGGAGAACAGCACGGTAAGGAGCCAGTAGACAGTTGTGACAATAACTGAAAAGACAGAATAGATCACAATTTGCCACATGCGGAGGACGTAGTAGTTGGCCTCGCGGCGGTAGAAGGCACGACCGAAAGGCTTGCAGGTATCCGAACCCTTTTCAATCTCGGTAACGGTGGCGGTCTTATTCTTACCACCAACATCGGTCTCCTTCTCGTTGATGGTATTCTTGCTGATTGTGCTCCCGTCTTCGTTGTCGCTGCTGGGGCTGCTGCTACTGTCTCCGATGATGGTTGGAGCCGTCGAACTGGAGGGCGAGGTGGAAGTAGAACTTGGGAACTGTATAGCCTCGCCACCCTTGCTCCCAGTCCAGACGGTGTTGGCAGCATAGTCACCGTTGCGGCGGAGCAACGCACCGGAGCCGATCATGGCTTCACGGCCGATGGTAGTACCGGGTAAAGCGACGACACGATCACCGACCATGCTACCGTCACCGATCACGATGCGGTCACGGCCGTAGCCATCGGATGTGACCAAAGTCGAGCGAGAGCCAAAGACAACATCGTTACCAACCTCAATGAGATCAAAATCGACAGTGACGGGACCAACACTGGGCCAGTAGACATGCTTGCCAACTTTGCCACCAAGGGCACGGACAGCCATCGAGACGAATTCATAGTGACGACCAGTAAGGCGGGTGAGTTCATGAATGTCGCCCGCAGGTAGAATCTGCGCAAGCACCGCACTCCGTACCTTTTGGCGAGTAGTCTGTCTCGAGGCAGGTCCAGGCTTAGGCTTGCCACAGATGAGATCTAGCAAGGACTTTATAATCAAGACCGCAATGAAGAGCACAATTGGACCACCAATAGCACGACAGATCCGTGCTGTTATATGGAATGCAACCCGTTGATCAGATGTGTACCAATTTAGGGTAGACCGGAACATGTCGGCCGCGGGAGTAGGGAATTCGAGAACCATAGGGATGAGACCGCCCATCCAGGTAATACGAGCAGCCATCCAGGTGATAATCTTGATTGGCTGAACAATCAAGAGAATCCAGATCCAGTGAGGCTGAGGGATCTGAGAAGTGAGCAATTGGCGATTAGACTCATCGGCGTCCTGGAGTTCCCAGCTTGACGAGTTGGGACCAATACAGGTCCTCTCGGGGATATCTGCACCAGGCGCTACAATCGACTTAATACCAATAGAAGAGTCCTTGCCAATGCGAATGCGCTTCAACAGCATAGAGGTGTTTCGCTCCACGCCGAAAGGGCGACAAAGGCAAGTATCCAAAACGACATTGTCACCGATCTCAATGAGATCATACTCACCAAGCTTAGCGGATGCAGACATGGTGACATTCTTTCCAATCTTTGCGCCAAGTAGACGGTAAAAGAGAATCCGGGACCAGTTGTAGTTGTTAAAGAGACCCTTTCCGCACACCTGCAATGCCTTCTGGGTCAACCACCAGCGGGTATGGTACGGGCCCCACATAGGTGATATGCCCTCCTTATAGCGACCGATGACGAGCCACTTAAAGACGATGGCAAGTATAGGAGACACTATTTGTGAACATAAGCGAGCTGACATCACGGCGAAAACAACCAGGATCAAGCGACCGATGAGATTATCACGAATAGGGAATCGATTTGAGCACTCAGCCATGACGTATGCAAACATCATCCACTGGAAGGCGCGCTTCATGGGGAAGAAGAACACAGTTGGGAACAGATGCAGGATCAAGATAATTGGGTTCGTGCTGCTGTATGTCTTCTCGCAACCAGGCAATTCAACTTCCCCATCGTCACCCTTCGCAGCCTTGACATCAACGGCTTCAGTGATCTTGTGCTCTATCGCTCCGATAGTGCTATGGTGGAAAAGAATGTCACCGGCCAGGAAAATGCTGAATTCGCGACGAAGTTGCGAAACCATACGACCAGCACTAAGACTATCACCTCCAGCAGCAAAGAAGTCGGTAACTGCAGATACTTCATCTGGTGCACAAGACAAAGCCACAGCGAAGATCTCCCGCACGCGGCGCTGAACGGGCGATAAATCGCCATCCGAGTTGCGGGAGCGGATGGCCTCATTGATAGCGGCCTGGTCGGGTTTTCCGTAGAAATCGACCGGCATGGGACCCTTGAGGGGGATAATACGACTAGGTACGAGATAGCCATCAAGCTGGTTGTGGAGCTGGCCAGGTGTCACATAGTCATCATCTGGGTTCTGGACAAACAAAACAACCTGCGCGAGCCCGTCGCGCGGGTTGATTTGTACGTGCACCTCAGGCGCATTCGCTTTCTTGGAAAGAACCGAGCGAATGATTTTATCATCGATTACACACGCCTTTTTCGGGATCAATGCACTGAGTGGAGCGCCAGCGGGCGGGCACGTAGCTTCATAGTGCCTGTTTGCCAGGGGCGTGGCCGTGGTTAAGGTCTCCAAGGACAACCGCTCTGCGAGCTTGATGCGTTGGATCTTGTTGTTTGCCTTTGGCACACCATCCATGTATACTACCAGAGCGGGCCACTTGGGCTGATGGAGAATAGGCTGCAGCGCTTCGTGTATCTGGCGAATATCCGGCCTAGTGAGGCCTGGAGGTGTGACGATAACCACACCGACGACTTCCTGTAGCACCTCGTCTGGGACCGAAAAAGCCAATGTCTCAGTGACGCGACCATACAGCGAGGATTCAGGATCTTTGGCTGTGGCCAGCACGGCGTTTTCCACTTCGACGGGAGATATAATTTCACCACCACGGTTGATGACCTCCTTGCTACGGCCAGTGATGTATAGGTAATTGTCGGCATCGAGATGTCCAAGATCACCAGTATCAAACCAGCCAGATTCGTTGAACGCGCTGGTATCAATCTTGCCGTCGGGGGTCAGATATCCTTCGAAAGCGGGTGATCCACGAATGCAGATGTGTCCGAGCATTCCACATTGCAAGACAGGCTTGCCACTTTCGGTCAAAATTGCAACCTCAGGACCAACAATCCGTCCCGAGGTTCCATGGCGATCAAGTTTATAGTCCCTCGGCGGCGCAGCAATAGGCATACATTCAGTCATGCCGTAACTGGGGAGGACAGAGCAGTGGAAAGTATCATGAAGCTGCACAGCAAGCGTTGGAGGAAGACCACCACCAGCGTTGCAGATAAACTGGATGGCGCTTTGCTTAACGGCATCGGGACGGTGCTCGGCTTCCGCAAGGATCATTTGGTGCATCGTGGGTGTGGCATAATACCAAGTTGGTGTCATATGAGGGGTTTGTATGGCATCCCAGAACATGCTGGGGTCAAACGATGGGCAGCATATTGTGGCACCGCCGGCTAGGATGGGGGAGAAGATACTGCGCATGATGCCACCACTAATGATATTAGCATTTTCCTATCATATAACTTGGCAGGGGACATACACATGGTTCAGCGGCATCATATTAAGACAGATATCTGTCGTGGACAGTTCCACCGACTCTATCGTAGCCATAGTACCCGCGATGAGGTTATAAGTTGTAATGGGAACCAGCTTCTTAGTACCACTTGTACCACTGGTGAACAGGATAATGGCAATGTCGTCCCCGGAATTGGGGGGAACGTCACACGCACTACAAGCGTTTTGTGCAGAGACCACCCGGAAAGTCATGTCTTCAAGCTGTTCAATGCCAAACACTGGCCGACTACCATTGTCCAGCTGCAACTTGCCAATGTCAGCGTCCAGCGCGACAACAGCATCAGCTTTTGCGTTTTCTATATCCATCTGCAACTGCTCTGGCACTGTGTTTGATGTCATAGGCACAATGGTATACCTGTTGACGAAAGCAAGAACAGCCACTGCCATAAGAGGGCCGTTAGGCAAGATGACAGCAATGCGAGGCTTTCCATGACGGGAAGGTCCCACAGGAATCTGGAAACTCTCCAAGAACTGTCGGATAGTATTATGTGTCAGATGCCGTCCGGTATTAGCATCGATGAGACCGGGGCGAGAGTCTGTCCCGATTAGTTCTGCAACGTTGGGTGTGGCTGCTTTGACTTGTGCACGAAGGTGTGTAATGAATTCATTGTTGTTGGTCTTGGTGTATTCTGGAATGGACTTGTAGATGTCCTGAAAGGTTGTTATTAGGTGACGAATAGGCCAAGAACCGGTGTGCGAGGATAGTAGGGAGGAGAGGTGGTGGGAAGCGTCTGGGTGAGAGGCCTCACTGCGGAGGTGTAGAAGCTGATCTATAAGTCTATCTGACAGTCAGAATTGGAAGGAACTTCAATTGAACAGCCGAACAAGAAGAAAGAAGAAGAAAACAATAATGTGATAAAGCATACGATGATCCTGGTATTTGTGCCATTCTGTAGTATATCCAGTGTAAATAGTTCTTCAACTCGATATGATACACAACCTAGAAGGGGAAGTCCTTCACAATTTATATGCTACCACCACACGCTATTAGCATTAACCTGGCGAACCATCCACCATGAACAATCCTTCATAACACATGCTACATGCCGGCACCGAATCCTAGTAATACCAACCCAATGTACTACCCAAAAGGAGAACTCCTTCACAACGCATACCCTAGTAATATCCACTCGGTCCACCAACGGCTTGCAAATCACATTACACAAACTTAATTGTTATCATGAACTCTTCACACAAAAATACGACGACAAACCAGGTCAGAGTCCAAAGCAGAAAGATCCGCACGGCTTCCAGATCTCCAAACCCTGGCCCGGCTCGTCCCACGGAATTCCGTTCATGATCGGAGAGATCAGCTCAACTCTTAGTGCGCTACATTGTGTAGCTAGTTGGGATGGTATTGGTCAGAGATAGAGCCATCATCACGTTAATCATACATGGGCCGTGAGGTGATCAAACCCTAGGGCCTTGATAGAGATTGGAGTTTCCCGGAGCACAAATGTCACAATCCGGCCCCTGTTTCAAGTGAGCTTTTAGTTATTAAATTTTCTACTTAATATCTGCGAATTCCCTTTACCGGATGTAGTAAGATCACCCCCATGATTATGAGGAGAGATAAGCCCAACTCCATGGGTACTCTCAATATTACTCTCTATCCCGAACGACCTCGCTTCATTATCTAGATATTCCAATATACACATCTACTAGTATAGTATCTGTATATAGAGATTTCATATAATACCTTCGAGTGTCTCTACATGATCTCTGATCGGCAATTTAAGGCCAAGCCAACACCACAGATCATATGGGTCTAAGACGGGAAACTCCTGTCGGACTCCGTACGTATCCACGAGCTTCGGGCCGTGTATAGATTTAGAGTAATTCCCGGGGACGATCAACTAACCCTTAACGCGCTAGATGTATACATATGCCAATGGTCCACATGATGACAGCAGTGAACCCCACAATGTCCCATACAAATGAAGTTGGATTTGGCCATTTACCATATTTGGTCCAGGTACTACTAGGATCTATTTATAATGGTCTCTAATGTGGTGCAACCTGCACGTAATCGTCGTACCTCGAGGGAAAAATCAATCCAATCCTTCCCGCTTCTGCAGTATAAATTATCCGTTCCTTGCCAAGTAGCCCTAACCTTTTGCCAAGGTACTTGGCAGGGACCGTGCACATCGATGTAACCCATTTCTTCCAATTGATATTCCATTGATCGATTTTATAAATGGCATTATCACCAACAGTCGTTTCAGGAACTGGATCATGCATATTCTACAGGCTCTAGTGAGCCATAAAAATTTGAGTTCATCGGTGGCATCGAGGTCTCGACATTGAGACCGCTGATCTCAATGAGGCCAACGTGGCGAATACGACACTAGCCTTAGCTAGCGAAGTCCTCAATGCGGAGGTACTTCCTATCACTAAGAACTAGGATAAATGTCAAGCCTACTGTAACAAATATAACACATACAATATTTTGATCCTTACTACCCATGAATACCGCGTCGATGTTGCCATTTGAGGAATTGGCTGCAAGCTTCTACTCTTAGGGCGAGGATTAGAGTTCCACAGGGTCTAGGTACTAGAGTGAATTCAAAGCAGATCCAATGAATATTTCCTCCCCCTGTACGGAGTATACATGGTGCCATTAGTCCAAAGTCTAGGGTGCTCTAATTTACATTGCCAAGTGAGGCTATATCGGTTGAAACCGGGTTTAATTAGGCCATAAATTCCGATAGATAATCCACCTTCCCTATCTGGACACCTTTCACCCTCAAAATTTCATACACCGTCACAACATGGAAGTAAAAATTGGGGATCGCAAATCGCACCGAATAATCCTCTATCGTAAAGTCGAACTCTTTCTTCCCAACTGGAGCCTTGAAGGTTTGCCCTTCCTTCAGAGCGGTCTTAGCCGGATCGACCTTTTCGACCTCCGCGAGTGCCCTATCAAGACGCTTGTAAAGATCTTCGTAGGTCTCGTCGGGTTCTTCCTGTGGCAGAGGATCGACGAAAGCTGCGCGGGCGATGGTCTTGGAGACGATGCTTGTTGCGGTCACAACTTGGAAGGAGAGCGGCTTCATATCCTCGACAAGGCGGGCATTGAGAAGGTCATCGAGCGGGATGTTGTTTTCTTTCGCGAACTCTTCAGCTTTTTTGAGGATGGCAGCGATGGTTTTGAGACCCCTGGTGAAAGTGGCGATGGTGTAATTGTAGAATGGAGAGGCCATTTCGATTTTGAACTTCGAGTTTTGTACTTGAGCTTTTTAAATTGCGGGTTAACAATATCTTATTGGGGGGATTATATGAGGCCTTATATGTTGTCTGCGATATGCTATGTTGCCCCCCCAACAACAGAAGTTCTCATGCCAACCACTGAGTTCTCCGCCCGATTTGAAATCCACAAAATCCACAGATTACTAATTTACTTGCCAAGCCCTGCACACATTTGCAATCAGTTAGTCAAAGGAATGATTATATACCATGCCTTACAAAGTGAACCCTCAATTGGCAACGTTGAAAGTATAAGAGGCACGTTGTTTTCTCATGAACCCCTGAAATCGAAACAATGAAGACAACTCCATCCGACCATGAGCTCATCAGAAATGCAATTGCGAACATTGCGATTGCATTTGACACCAACGCCGCCTACACGGAGGTTCGAAGTTCGTTTACAGAAGATTGTGTGGTGGACTATACGGGATCGCTTGGCCTCATGAATGGCATCAACACTGTTATTGAGAAACTGCAGAATACCATCGGCCACGTTACTACCTTTCGCAGATTGAGCACGCAAGCTATACATCTCACCGGCAAGGATACGGCTGAGGCTACGACGTGTTGCTCCGCGAGTCATTACGTCGGCGGTAAGTCGTTCTTCGCTGAAGCGACATATTTCGATAAGCTCGTCAAAGTGACTGAGGGAAGCACTACAAAATGGTTGATCAACTATCGCTTGACCACGATGATGGGCGTTCCACAGGGCGATGTCTCCATTTTCAACATGGACTTGGAAGGATGGGTTGACACCTTGAAGGCGTGAGATGATTCCGATTTTTGTGATCGAGGCCTGTGGCTGCCTAGGTGAGATTTTGTTTGAAGCCAGTGGCTGACGTGTGTTATTATCACACTTAGGTGGCGACACTATAAGTCTATCCCAACTCTCTCCTATTGAGTTGAGGTAGTGCTCGATGGCTTGTTGCTTTCTCAACCATTTCTTTAGGTTTCTCACAGCTATTGTGATGTTTTTTATTTCTTTCCTCCCACGAAGCTATGCAGTGAGAGTGCTCTCCATCATTAGGATATATTTTAATTTGGTTCTGCCTCCTCGCTTCAACTAACATTGATGCTCTCTAGTAATTGATATACCTCCACTTTTACGCTTATTCCGGATGGGCACCTTCAACGGTATCAAATGGAACATTGGATGTTATGACGGACCAGGCTAGACTTTCTAGACAATATTGACGCTTTATTTCAAAAGAAGCAAAATTATCGAAAAGAAAAGTCCGCGACTCACCAGTGGTTCCAGGCGATGCCAGTGCTTGACTTGAAGACCCAGCAGCTCTGTCGGAAATTACCAAGATATTTGTAGAAAGGACAAGATGGGAAAGAAATCATGGATTGCGCTAGGCTGTTGACTGGGAGAGAGAAAAGGACCTCGGGGGGAGGAAAAATAATCTAGGTGAAGAGCAAAGCTCATATCCGCCATAAGTAGAACAGCTTCATCACCATCCCGCGGTTCGTACTCGCTTCGTACTCGCTTCGCTGCCCCGTATGAGCAAATAAGATAAGTCACTCAAATCAAGTGGTTCGCAGTTAACGGAGGTGTGGTGTGATTTAAAGGATCGGGATCCAAAGAGTTTACGGTTTTGAAAGTATGAAGTTCGCAGGAATGAAAATGGTTGGAAGAGATTTCAAATATATCTGAATAGGTTTCTTATTGGGGGGGGCGAATCCCGATCGTTTATCAAAAGTTCGTATTGGTCTACCTAACGTGATGTTTTTTTCTTGGTAAAAAGCAATGATATTTCTATAAAATAACTCAAGGTGATGTTTGTTCAGTTGATGAACAAGATTGTTTTGATTGATTAGTTTTTGGATCCACCGGGTATATACATTGTGTCAGAATACTGAGATTAATTACTTGGTTGGAACAGGTATTATTACCCGGAAAATGATGTGACCATTGATACTCGGGTTACTATGCATAAGTGTATATTATAATTAGTCATTATGTCCGCACAGATTGATACAAAAAGCGGTTTTATCATTTTAGTTAGAGTCTTCGATGCCTGTCATATTGCCCTAAAAAGTTGAGATTTGAGTCCCAGCGTATTTCCCGGATTAGGTGTAATTTGGAAACCGCAGGGCCTGTGAGGAAACGGGAGTATCCCCGGCTATTGGCTGGATAGTGCGTTGGCGCGTACCGAAGGTAGGGTCCCACGTAGCGGGACTGTATTGCCACGGCGGCTAGGTCGTGACCGCCTACCAAACAGGCTATTCTTGGTATGATCCTGTCAGCCTGGTATAATTACCTAAATAGGTAATTCTTGGCATGTGATGCTAATTGACGTTCCGTGACGTGGTATGGGACTTTCGTCCCTTGTTTTTTTAACTTTGTTAACTATATTTTGAGTATCAAAAATGTCATATTCGAAGAAGACTCCCTACAAAAAGCGCAAGGCTGACTACCGCCGCACCCCTGCGAAAGCAAGTTACACGAAGTCCAACGAAGACCGCGGTACACCTGACAAGTTTATTGAGGAGAAAGTCAAGAAAGCACTTTCAAAGGCCAATTGTGGGCCTTTACAATCCGTCTTTGTGCGGCTGCTGCCGTGCTCGGTTGATCGAACCGTTGAGAATCCCGAGTTTACGGTTTTGCAAAACAACGAGTGGCCTGCGTACCTTAAAGGCCCGTTGGCTGAGCGCAATTATGAATTCGGAGCCAACGGTCTCCGGCGAGTGTCCCCGACGACGGACAGCATCCTCATGACACTATCTTCATTAAAGGAGTGTGTGTGAGAAAGACCGTATCTCACGCCGGAGGCGTGCGATTGTTGCTATTTGCGTTCCGCAATGGCAATCGGCAGGATCTCCCGGCCACGACTGTCAGCCCACAGTTTCAGGTTGTGAGGACGGCAGCGAAGTTGCCCGCCAAGTTTCGTATGAACTCTTGACGAAGGATAAGCTTACGGATGTTGTTGATACTTCGGAGAAGCATGGTTCAGCTCGTCATATTTGGTACCATGACGGGCCCTTTGCTGTGCATCACAACACACAGGGTGAGCCTGTCTGGAAGAGCGTCGATGGGACAGCGTTTACATCTCGCCTGAGCAAGGAGGAGGGTCGACCTATGGGGAAAGTCCAAGTTCGTATGGGCAACTCCGGCACCAAGTCGCTTGGGTCAGTGTGTAACATGAATTTGTCATCGACCAGTCCAATAAGGACATTTACAACGCCAGGTCAAGTTAGTGTTGGTTCGTCGTTGGTCGGAATGAAGTTCCGATATTTGGATTTTTTCGTTACTATTAACAGGTATGAGCGGTTTCCGGCAGCGAGTCGTTCTCAGTCTGTTAGTGAACTGCCGTTGGAGTTATTTCTAGAGTTTGACGGACCCGCTCCAATCGAGATTCATTGTGCAGACAAGGCGTCGTCGTGCGGAGCGATAACTGCAATGGACATGGAATTTTACTATGAGTGGGTCAACCCTAGCTCTCCCGTAGCTCCCGTTCTGGGTCCCACTCGGGGCCCCGCTTAGGCTCCCGCTTTAACTTATTCAAGGATCTGCCTCTAGCTCGAGGTCGAAATCTACTTGAATATGCGGCTCTGTTGAAAGTGGTGCCTGGTCGAGAATTGCGACGTCGAAAGTGGGTCGAAAGTGGTTTGTCGAAAGACGGCAAAATACGTGACATGTTGAGAGTGACGTCGAAAATGTCGAAATGGCCCATCATGCGCGTTAAGATAAGGACTGCTAGCATGTTAGATTAATGAAAACTGCGCGTGGCTTTGCCAAAAGAAAAGTGTTATCGTCGAAAATGCGATAGCGAGGTTTCTCCCTTCCCATAAGTAGCAAGGCCCGGTGACCTGCTCCCCGGTTCCGTTTTTCAATGTATTGTATAATCAGAGTAAATGATGAGAAGTAGAAGGAAACCGTCGGTTTGAGTTTAGCTGCTGACCAGGAGAGAGACAGAGAGGAAGAAATCCCAATCTAGGTGAGGAGCAAATTTTAGAACTCCTGTCGGCGCAGTGACGCCCTTATACCGGAGGATACATTTATCCTACATGTTTTATAATTTATGTTACGCAATTAAGGCTTTACATAAATTATTAACTAGCAGAGCTTATACGGAAAGACAGAGAGTGGAATACCATTGATTGGACCCTCACATTTTACGATACAGAATACACCGACACTTTCTATCCGCCTTAAGACAGAAATGCTGCCTCAATATTCCATACGGCCATATTTTGGAATCGAGGCAGAAGAACTTATATAGTTGAGGTCTGCGAATCTAAATGTATTCTATAAAGATCAAAGGAGCGGGATCCAAGTACAATGATAACTATCGACTGTACTCAAAGAGAAATCCTGATGGCCATATCCCACAATATGCAACAACACAATGGTCCCCTGATGCACCTCGAAATAAACTACTGGTTGAGGTAGAATTCTCCACCGTTGATAGTCTTGCACTCAGTATCAACATTGCCAACAGGGCCCGTGTAAGGGCCACACTGATACTTGTAACCAGACTCAATGAAGGTCGCAGCTGCTCCAGTGGGGCCCTCAGCGGCGACTTCGTACTTTTCGACATCAAAAGCACCGGTGGGGAAAAAGAAGGTGTAGGCAGGGTCAGCGCAAGGCTCAGGGCTCTTGGGACCGGCAGGAAGTTTGCCGTTGGTCCTAATTGGTTTGATTAGTCTCTCGCTATTGGGGGCCAACAAACGTTCTAGAAAATAATAACAACTTACCAAGCAGTGTGGCAGGTGGTGGTCTCAAGGGCCTCTCCCGCGGGGTTCCTCGATGTAAGGTAGAATGTCAAATCCCAAGTGTCGCCCTCAATAGTGTGCTTGAGGGAAAGGTCGCCAATGCTGTAGGGGTAGGCTCGGGACTTGGTCGCAGGGGCGGTGGAGGCAGCACCAGCAAGAGAGACAGCAATAGTAATGAAAGAAGTCTTCATTTTGATGGTTTGTCAAGATATCTTGGGTCAGAAGAGAGGAAATTAGGCGGAAGCGTTCGGAATCAGTGATTCTTTCATAAAATTGGATTGTGATATTGTGGCAATGAAGACAGATAGAAGAAGGTCACGGAGTCCTTTATATATATATATATATTTGAAGTGACCCATGTTGTTGCAAAGAGTACGGCTTACGAAGAATATGTCTCAGTCTGTTCAGCTCACTCGATCGATCTTGACGAATTGTACATTAGATAGCCAGGAAGGGGCTAAGATTTTCGTCTGTTAGATAGGTGGCGCACCATTACCCACTGTTGTCATTGCCAGTGTCTTAGTGCCTACTACTAGATATATCTTAAATGGACATAACTCGGAATTCCGGAGTAGCGTGCAATACGAGCTCTCAGACTTCCAGGGTTGGAATATGCATAATATTAGGTAATAATGTAGAGTACTCGGAATTCCAAAGTAGCCTATAATGTATTCAATCAGCCGCTTGTGTCTAGAGCTTACAGAATACTTGGCGCGCTACTCCCTCCACTCTAGGACGCCTAATTCTATAAATGGAATCTTTCAGTGTATTTTAGACTGATAGCAGTATACAATATCGGATGTTAACTACTGAGTAGTTGACTGGCTGGAAGTCTGGTTCAAGGATCATGACTACGACGAACGTTTGTATTCCTAGATTCTAATATCTGATTGTTTATGGCTGATCAAAAGTCCGTCCTGTTTAGATGATTAGCTCTACAAAATGGATGGTAAAGCCATAGGAGATGGTGATCAAAACTCCGTCTTCGATTGCAAAGGCCTCTATTTCTCGGGCACCTGTAGGGGTCCGAAGTGCAATGCAAATATTGCTGTCGCTCCGTGGACCGGAGCTGCAGGTCACAGTTGTTCTTACAATCAAGGTTACTCGAAATGGAAACATCACGGTCGAGTGATGAATGCTCGACTAAACAGTTCCCAGGACTTTTGTTGAGCCTGTACAAACAATGTTACTCACTTGGAAGTGAATTGTTGATTCGAACTACCACTAGACCTCGAGAACAAAATGAGCAGAAGACTGAAAATTACCTCTGCGGAGCTGCTACTAATCTAACGCTGACGCCCTCCGAGTCATCTGACGCTTTTGGACGACTGGCTGATACCAATTTAACGCTGATGCCCTCCGAATCACCTGGTGGACGCTGGGCTACCATCCTGATTTTGGGGGCACTCAAACGCTCTGGTCGGGCACTGTTACCGCTTTCTCGTGTACTGCGTTGGGTCTTGCCTGCCGTTTTGTATCGTGAAATTTGCTCAAGAGCACGGCGTTGGCAGTCAAGAGAACTAAGTGTGTCCTCATGATTTGCTCCAAGCGCTACTTTACGCCCTTCCCATGCATGTCGGTATACCACTTCTGCTTCGGTGTACTTTTCCAGGGACCTAAGTGCATGACCTAGTGTTTGAAGAGAGTCCAGCGTCTCGGTATGATTCTTACCAAGAGTTCGCTTTTGTCTCACCCACACGTCTCGGTATACGACTTCGGCCTCGGCGTACTTCTCTTGATCATCAAGGGTATCGCCTAGCGCAGTAAGAGTATCCAGCGTATCAGCGTGGTTCTTGCCGAGAGTTCGCTTTTGTCTTTCCCAAGCATCTCGGTATGCGGCTTCGGCCTCGGCATGCTTTTCTTGCTGGCTGAGAGCATCGCCTAACGAAGTAAGAGAGTCCAGTGTGTCGGCGTGGTTCTTGCCAAGAGTTCGCTTTCGTCCTTTCCAGACGTCTCGAAACACGACTTCGGCCTCAGCATACTTCTCTTGATTATCGAGAGTATTGCCTAATAGAGTAAGAGACCTCAGCGTGTCAACGTGGTTCTTACCAAGAGCTCGCTTTTGTCTCTCCCAAGCATCTCGGTATGCGGCTTCGGCCTCGACATCCTTCTCTTGCTCGCTGCGGGCATCGTCTAATGCACCAACAGAGTCCAGCTCGTCTCCACTTGACCACCATGAAGGGATAGACGAGATGGTCGTACTAAGGGATGATATGCTGTCCGACGGACCGGAAAGTTCTTGTTCGTGCAGCGCGTCTCGACTTGACCGCCGTGAAGGAATAGACGAGATGGCCGTTCTAGGTGATGATGTGCTGCCCGACGGACCGGGAAGTTTTTCGGGATCTGAATCTTCAAGTTCGTAGATATCCTCGAGGGATCCCTCATGAACAGCAGTGGAAATTCTATTTTTGATGTAATCAAAATTTTGAGCGAATATCTCATGGGTTATTCCGAGGCCTTGCAGCTTTTTGCGAATAGCCCTCCAGGCCTCCTGCTCGGTCATAGAGAGAGAGCCACTTGTGATAGTTGAACGAGCCGAGCTGTGTCCTTTGCCAGACTGTTTCCTAATAAATTCGTTCAACATGCGCTCGACCCTAACTTGTGACGATCTAGTATTATTCCTTTTAGTTAACTGTGAGCTTTAACATGCCATTCTTTCATACCCACTTAATCTCAGTCATATCAACCAGATTCAAAGACGCTATTTTCGCTCTGATAACGTCCAGCTCGTCGACACACCATCCCATACGATCCCGGGCGGTTTGATCTTGGTACCCGACACCATCGAATTGTTGTTTAATTTGAGAGAGATCTCCCAGCACTCCGTGGCAGCTCTTCATAATCTCATCGAGCTCTGGGCTTTGACTTCCGCCTGATTGACTATCCGGAACTTTTTTTTTGTGTCTCATCAAGCACTGGGACGAGCATCCCAAGTCCATTTCGAGCCTGGCTGAAGACATCTGACGTGTGGGAGAGTGATTCGTAGAGAGTGTGTGCTAGTGGACAGACTGTTGTAATATGATCTGACACATCACCAGGGTTAGCATTGTCGTACATTCGTCCAACCAACCATCCAATGGCCTAAGCAAGAGACATGATCATAGAAGGAGTAACGACTCGTACTTATTTTGATGTCTCTTGCTGCAGTCAGATTGCTGAACACCCCACCGCCTTGAGTATAAGTGTAGTTAGTGGCTTGCGCCTTATGTCGGTCTCTTGGTAGACTCATGGTATGGTCCGGCCAGACAATACAATTTTTGGCGTTGTATAGATGTCAAGACGAAGTTACACGGCTTGACAGGAAATGAAGTTGGACCCCTGCGTGATTCTGCGGGTGCATCACATATAGGCTGCGCCAAGACGTGTCTCCAGTCACATGCGGGCTGGGTACGGCGGTTCACGCGCACAACAAATCAACAGACTACGCGCTAAACCGAAAAAGAAAACGGCAGAACTGAGCCACATGAGACGAGGTTCGCCATCGACATCAGCCACAGAAGCCAATACTATCACGTCCCTCACCTCTGTCTCGAGGTGTCGAACCCGACCTGAGCAAAGTACAATGGTTTCAAAGTCCAAGGGACCACAGATTGGTCTGGCTTCGGTCGATGAGAGAAAATTGTCCACACCGAAGAGGCGCAAATTGAAGAGTCGGAAAAGGAGAAGAGAGAATATCTAGACATGAGGTCAATCTTCAACCAAATTTCTCAAACACTCGCTAGTAGAATTGTATGTAAAGAGTTTCAAAAGAGGTGTTTTCTGAACACTTTTTGGGGGTTGTTTTAAATCCCTTCGTGCTCTGACACCAATTATATATTATCCTCAGGTGAGATAGTAAAATCAAACATCATTTCTTTTTTTGGATTTTTATAGGAGGCTAGAGGTAAGAAATAAATAATTGGCGAATAGGTGTTCATCACTCGTCCGATCAAGGATAGATACCACCAGTAAGAACACAATAGTATCATAGTTTATTGCGGCATATTTCATGGCCTTTTGCTTCATTTCCCATATTTATTGCGACCCTAAGAGATTAGAATAACTGACATCAATGCCTGATGTTATTATTAAATGTAAAATCTCGTCCCGCACTCATGTTCCCCAGCATCACTGGACCACCGCCTGACTGTATCATGTATCCTGATCGAGAACTTCGGTTTCCAGCTTCCACCGGTACGGGGGCTTGTTGACTTTCGATTCCATCTACCCATATCCACAGCTGGTTGCTCACGGCCATGTATCCGGGATCCTGAGGACTGTTGAACCGCGTCATCTGCATATGGTTGCCATGAATGGAGCGGTTTGGACACGATGCTAGGATAGCAGATTGATCGGACACAATCTAAATGAAGTTAATAAAGAGAGATTTTAGTGCGTAGCCACCTAAACAACTTATACCTTTCCAACACCAGTCACTTCAAGCTCCTCATAAAAGCAAAACATTTCGATAGTTTTGTTATAATTTTGGCGATAATCCTCTAGCATTGAATGGAATTCTTGTTGGAGATTGGCGAGCATTTCTGACCCTGGTGCTAGCGCTTGAACAATCTCTTTATTTGCTGTGCGAAGAACATTGGCTAGACGTGTTAGTGGTAATGCCCACGCAGCCTTATTTGATCCGAGATGGGGGGTCCCCATAAAAGCGATTGCGGCTGTTGAGTCAAGAACATCTTTATAGTACTGCTGGGCTGATCCGCGACAAACCAGGAGAGCTTGTTCCGTCACGAGACCTCCGAGGCTATGTGCGACGAATATCAAGGGCCGATGATTCTAAAATAATTCCCGAGGTTAGCATGGCTAGATATAGCATAGCTAAGCGGTCAATGTCTGTCTTCTACTAACCGACCTAGATCTCTTCCGCGATACTGCTAGTTCATGTGCTAGCGTTTTTCCATGATCGCGTAAAGTATTTGAGCCCGCAACTTTAAGAGCCCCGACGATGTCCCCATCGTAACCGAAGGTGATGATATGCGCATTCGGAAGGTCTTCCGGCAAGAATTTCTGGGGCCAGAACTGTCTCGTGGGCTTAAAGGTCCATGTCGTCTCACGATTCCCCGTTAGCCCGTGAACGAAAACAATACTATTATGGTTAGATATATTGGATTAAACCCCACGGTGGTGCAGCGCGATCATATCTTACTCGACGATTGCATCCTTGGGTTCGTGTAGGGTTTTTAGCCCGTAGTCCCCTGCAGTTGAGTATTCCTGCGCCATGTTAGGGGATATGTAAGACCAGAGACTGGGGCCTACTCGGGTATTTACACCTTCGAAGGACGCTAAGCCAGATTTGATGGCGGGGCTACGTGGAGGCTATGCCAAGGCTATTCTACATATCTTGTTGAAAGGACTCATGCAATCAATAACTTGTGCCTCTCTGGGATGTCACATTGGAGGCTCTACTTTACTGGGCATTGGCGTCTAGTTGGGCATGAGCATAATTCAGACATAATTCAGGCAACAGCCCTCAAAATCAGGCTTAAGATGCTTGGCCGATATGCCTCGGCGGATAGAAAATCACTTACGGTAGATATAAAAGAACCATCCTTACATATGTTTGTCGAGCAAATACGGTTGATTGGTTCCACAAGACAACCTAGCCAGTTCAAATAACAGGAGAACGAAAAAAAAAAAAAGATATCTGATAGACAAGGTACAAATACCACCAATGGGCTCACCCAAGCTATATCAAACGAACGATTTTAACGGTGCAGTACTCGGATTCACAAAGCTCTATTGTAAGGTCAGTCCCTTTCTATCATATGAAGCCTGAATAATCCTCCCATTCTGATCGCCCATAAGAGAGAGAACCAAAACCTATACAGAATTTAGATACTGACCACTTGCCACGTTTTTAGATCTTGAAAGCCTTCCCTGGTAACAGGGTGTTCTTCTGTCCGGTCGAGTATATAAGTAGGTTAGTTTCATTTATTACCTTCAGACCACATTTGCTGTCTACTTATTCCCACCATTCTTAGTCCCTAGGCTCTTCAGGGCGGCTGAATTGGTCATAAAGCCCTTCCGCGGAAGTTCCTTGCCTTGAAACACTTAGGTGACAAATTATCATGTTCTCTGTGTCATCAGCTTGGTCAAAGGCAATGCGGTCTAGGTCATATTCATTGCAATCCGTCAATGTGAGATTCTCAAGTATTGGAGCAAATTCAGGGGGATATTCAGCTGGCCATTCGTTCGTAATGTCCTGTACGCTGTGCACATGATCTATCGTCTGCATTCCTCCGGCTCGAGCTCGGGGTGCAGTGGATAAATTTCAAACAATTTATATGGGTGTGGGCTGAACTTGTCAGCCAGTCATTTCAAAAAGAAAAAAGAAAAGAAAAAGAAAAAAAATGTGCTTGAAGGATGAGGAATGGGGCAGAGATGGAGAAATGAAGAAATGAAATATGCAGAGAAAGAAATAGCGTTGCCGACACAGGAAAAGATGGCGGAGTTCAAATCAACGTTCAGACTACTGGGTCCGAGAAATTTCCAAGGTTTTAATATGGACTTTTCAGAGGGCTCCGAATAGCCTCATGATTTCTTCTTTCTATCCTGGAAGGGGATTATTCCACATACCACTATGCGTCCCTCAGCTCACCCCCGTCCCCTCAGAATATCTATTATATCGGCAAGAACCCAGGACGTTCCTTTCACAATAGGTTCTTGATGGATTTGTACAACAGTTGGCGTAGCCTTGAGATGTTTCTTTTCAGTGGTCTTTTTCTAGAAGCTTAGTAAAATTCTTGTGCCCCCCTATATATGTACAATCAATTTAATTCTCGCCAATAGCTTCTTCCAATCTATCACTTTTTGAGTCCAATGACAGCCAAGTTACGAGGGCTTTCACTGTAGTCAAACACTGGCTCAACCCAACATTCTTTGACCGAATCCTGTTCGCGGAGGAACTGCCACCGATCCACGACGATGATAGCTTCGACGATCTGAGCACTGAATGCCATTAAGCTCCACACAACACTCATATGTTTCCTCGCGTGCAGGTACTGAGCCTCGTAGCAGTGAATCTCCTCATCGGTCAGGGTAGCAATATGCTCCTGCACCTGGGGACCATATATCGGGTCTCGGCTCATCTTGATCGTCGCAGCACGAACATATGCAGTAAAGGACTTGAATGCAGCTTTGGGTACTGCTCCAATGATAATAGATCTATCTTCTGGGAGAGTTCCGTCAGGGGCATCTTCCGGCACAGAGGGTTTAGGAAGAATACTTCGATCAACGAGAATACGCTGGAGAAGAGCACGGAAGAAATGACGGGTAAATGACACTTCACTGTCATTGACGCCCCAATTGTATGGAGCTTGCACGGCCAGTGCACGAGCTGTGATGTTAAGCTTCATGCCGGTCGTTGCGCCGGGACTTCGATAATTCTCGTAGTATTTAGACATAGGGAACCCATGTGGATCGTAGGATGTTCCAGTCTCTTTGAGCCGAGGGTGTAGGGATTGAAGGACAGGGAGGTTATGTGTGGTTGGACCGAGGCGCTCCGTCAACAAATTGTAGCAACAACCGATCATAGCAACAGCTACAATTGAAGGATTCAGAATCAGGGATCGTAGACCATGGTGGACAAGATTTCCACAAGAGTGAAGGGAAACGACCATCAGTCTAGCATCGCTCTCTTCTTTTCCTTTCCCATCACAATATTTAGTGGGGGATGGATGGATGATATGGTCGATAATGGGCTCTAAATGGCCATCTTGAATTTCATGCTCAATATAGCTGAGAGTACCGCGTATCTTTGGTTCAGGCAGCTTTTCTTGTAGTGGGCTTTTGGTAGAGAATCCGAGTAGCTCGTCAGATTGAAGGCTAATCTCGCCCATCTCGAGAACAGGGACATCCGAGATCTGCGAGCCCTCTATCGTCGGTTGCGAGGTATCCGTCGTTTCAGAAACAGTCACTTGCGGAGTATCATTGCAGCCATCGCGTGGATTTATGTCCTTGCGAAAATATTGAGCCTTCGGGTTCTTTGCCAACTTGGCTCGAACATCCATGCTCTTGGCACCGTTGATGTACTGATGCTTGCGCTCAATTGCGATGATATGCTTGTAGTAAGGCGAGCTGGCCAGTGTCCGTCCAAGATAGTTCTGTCCAGACCCAAAATCCACAATATGAGTGACCGGCTCGCCTCGGCACGTATTTACAGTGTCTGATAGAGATGCGACATGTTGAGAAAGGCATTGAACCTCGTGTACTTTTTTTCGGTTCATGTGCATAGCAACTTGCTTTGGTAATTCGATCCTCTCCGGAGATGGGGTGCGCATTTCTCGTTGGAGTGTCAGTAGACGGATATTGGAAATATAGTCTAAGAGGCTCTGGGGAGGGAATGCTCCTCCATTCCAAGTACGGCTGTTTTGATCTACGGAAGGCTCGCCGGCGCCTCGTAAGTGCTCAATATCCTCTCGTAGCAGTAGACGGATGATATCTTGAGTATTGTGTTGTTCGAAAAAAAATCTCCAATCTTTTGGTAGAATTTGTGTATAAAGGTCGGGCTCCCGGGTCAGAAAGTCGACCATATGCACGCCACCGCACAAATTCATAAAGAGCACCGATGTAGTAGAGAAGCAGAGGAGGGCCTCAATGTAGGCATCTGGGTGCGTCCATGCCCCGGAGATGGGTAGGGGGCGATTGGAAGTCATGCGAATTAGTGATCAATCGTCTCACCAAAATCACTATGAGGATTCTTCGCGGGAAGTCGTTAATTATGGTGCTCTCTAGGGCTCTGGATATTTTTTTATTGTGCTGAGTCATCTTCGGATCCTTCCGAGGTCCTGCAAGTGGACCCAGAAACGACCTTGCTCCATGCCAAACGCAACAGCTTGCATTTATTTTGTTGCATAACAGTTCTATAGGCAATATTCTCAATGGACTTTTAGCAATAATTAACTCCTTATCATCGATTAGCCGTAAATTGGCTTTTTTCACAAATATCCGGAGTGAAGAGCCTTTCTCCCATGGACGGGGACTCTGTTTATAGTTAGTACGAGTACTCATGCGATCGAAGGGAATGGGTTGGACTATACGTTTAAAAATAGACATGTAACATTTTATCCCGCAGCTTCTGTTTAATCACAGCATTATGAATCTTATCCGCATCCGAACCTCAGCCCAGAACCTGCGTGTACAAGCGCAGCGAATAGGAATCGATGGCTTGCTACAACTTGATCTCGCGGCCAGGGCGAGAACGGCGGATTGTAGACCGACAAGCTGACGTACTCAAAGCCCGCTTCAATCATCCAGCTCTCCAACTTATGGTGGATGTTCAGCTCCCGGCCACTCTTTCCCCGGCGGAATTGGCAGCTTGCAGCCATTCCATGGGCGCGGAAGTTTCCTTGAGAAATTCATCGCCCCTCCGGGCTGACATGGCTCTCTCGTGTGATTCAAGGTAGCCACGGGGTTTGACGTGGTCGTGGGTCCGGCTCATAAACTTAGACCAGTCGGCCACGCATCTGCTCAGTGCGTTGGAATGTCAAGAAAGGGGATAGGTGGCAGGAACATACCCTGCCAGGTATCGTGCATCGATAACGTCAAAGTGGTTTTGTTCGTGCTTCCATTCGCTTTCAAAGTGCTCCACGATGGACTCGATATTTGGGGCCATCCAACTGGGCTGGATAGGACTGATGTCATTCTTAATGACGTGGGCGTTAGGAAATCTTCCAAAATTCAGAGTCAGTCTTCCTGGCATACAAAAATAGAGGATGGAGTATTTCATGTACTCAGCAATGTCCATAACCCAGATGCCTGTTCCGGTTCCCAGGTCAAGAATGTTCTGTGGCGATGAGATTACAGGGGCGTTGTAGAGCTCCCCTTCAAGTAACATCAGCTATCTGCGCCGCTCTAGTAAGCCAGGCTCGTTCACCAGAGATATATTGCTTCACGGATTTGTGGGTGTGTCTGAAGGGAGACTTCAGTATAACATAGACAGTCACTAGAGATAGCGCCTACTATATTCATTCAATCCTACTCCTCTTCATCATTCGGATCCTAATTTAATCAGTCTTCCCAGCCAGGGGCCTCTAAACGAAAGTTCAAAAGTACATATAATTTCCCTAGTGAGCCATAGGTCACTTGGTCATTGACTTGAGTACCAAGGGCAGTTTAGCAACACTACTTACTGAGCTACTACTGCAATACCGCCGACCATCCTCATATTCAAACTCGATTACGCTATCTGACAGGGAGGTAAGTTCATGGGAAGTGGAAAGCATTCTGGTGGAAGTAACAAAACAGGAAGATTTCTAGATAAACACGCAGAAGGTCTAGTAGTCTCACCTGCTGGGCCGAAAAATCCAAGAAAAAGGATGAACAGGTCCGATATGCCCTTTACAATATGAGAGAAAGCCAAGGCAGAGAAATTGGACTGCTAGTGCACAGATGTGGAGGCACCACTTGATGCTCGAGTCGCCTGGGACTTTCGATATTTCAGGGCAGACGAGTCCGAGGATTTAGGTGGATGTAGATAGAAGCTTTTTGTGGTCAGAAGACTTAGGGCACCCTGATTTGAGAACTAAGTAATTGCAGCAAATGTTGTTTGCCTACATCAAACTTAATTAAGTCCGCCTAGAGCTCGAGAGATGCGAGACCAGATTATTCTGATGCCTGACAGGTTACTTTCTTCAGTAAGCAGCGCATATAATACTGAAGTACATCATCGCTGTTATCGAACTCAACTTTTCTAATCCAATCAGTCATTCTTCGCGTGGTGGGCTTTACTCCAGCCAAACCACAGAGCTCTTCGATCTGAAAAATTATTTCTTCTTGATCAACACCTATTAAATGGCTTTCAAAAACAGGATCTGGAAGCTGCGTTTCCCTCAATTCGCGGGGCGACACAGGATGGCAACATCCTGGAACATGTCAACCAGGCTGGATTTCAGAGCAGGGGAAGCAGGTTAGCTCGAAGAATATCCAGGGGTAATCATTGCCGTCTTCTTGACGAATCTCAATAATCTCCTAGGTGCTATAATCCACCTTCTCCAGTTCCCATATGATATCGTCCGAGATCTTGGCCCTGTTCTGTAGAAGAAGAGGCACCATCTGATCCTCCATTTTACTCTGTGCTGCCGCTATGAGAATTTCTTTTGTGATGGTGGTTTATCTTCATGTTTCTCGAGAATTAGACTCATCAACTTGAGTCCTTCTGGAATTCGGAAGACGTTTTTGAGAACTCCCTCGTTGATCGATATTTTTGTCTCCTTCTTGAAAAAGAAGGAGATGCGCCATCATTATGGTTCTAATGAATGCAGCACTATGGAGAGAAGTTCAATACTTGCCTCCCTGAACAGTGGCGTCTGCGCCTTTTTCATGAAGTAATCGAACAATATCTTGGTGTCCTTAGGCTATGGCGGCGCGAAGAATAACTGCGGCCCTATCAACAATCAGAGTAGACTAATCACATCAGAATTACACACAGATCATAAGCAGGCCTACATGATTCAATACCATTGTGTGTATGTTAGATTGTAGCAGCCTGATACGCAATCAAGATCAGAGACATATTTTTAGATATATGTGAGGAAGATGTATTGCACACACAGGAACTGGTTAGGCTGATATGTCCAACTTCCAACGAAGTCTTCATCCAATATCCGATATAGTGCAAGTTGAGGTGACAACGGAAAGGCCATGACTGTGCGTGGGTTTCCCGGGCAGAACCGTGGCGTTCCCGTGTAGGGCAAGTACCTGTCTAGCAACATGGGATTGAACTCTAGAAGCTTTTCGACAGATCGGTAATGAGTCCGTTTTCTAGGCTACGCGGATAACTATTCTATTGTGCATTTATATAAGACACGGGTGGTTCTAAAGTAGATTTTAGGTTTGATGTAAAAGCAATATTCCGCACTACGACCTAAGTGACATACTAATGCTTCCCTATGCCTTTGGCTTGGATTTAAATACCGTGCTAAGGGTTCGAGCTTAACCTTTCCTCGTTATTCGATTATTTTTGAATCCACTAAGGACGCGCGCATAAATGCACTAAGGTCACAAAAAAAGGTGATATAGATCAATACAACAGATACCCTGGTCATTGGAACCCTAGCTGATAGTCGTCTCAGATTCAATTCGAGTCTGTACTCGTTGACATGGGTTACAATAGGCTTGTGCTATTAAAGCATTAGTGATTAGCATTCAACAAATCATTAACCTGAATAGAACAACGTACCAACTTGTATCTTCTGCCAACGAAACTTATCAAAACACCGTTCGTATTCTTTAAGTTCCTGCAATGCCTGTTCTGTAATACCTAATACCTCATCTGGACAACCATCACCAATGCCATGCGGGAGATTCGGTTGAGGCATTTTATCCCCAGGGTTCGATATCCAGCGGCCGAAATCGGTTACTTTTAGTAAAAGGAGCAAGTAGCAGCAGGCAGGTAATAACGTACATAAGGTATTTTTTGGATAATAGGGCTCCGAAACGCTTCGCGTCCTGTTAGTCGCTGAAGAGGGACGTGTTTCAGAGCAAAATGCGAGGCTAGGTGATTCTTGATCGCATATTAAATAAAGGCTTAATGATTCCAGTTTCAGCATGATCAGAGTATGTGATCTGATTCAATAAGTAGCAGCCCCCATTATATTTATATATAAGGTCGAAAAAGAAATACGTAATATACTAGAAGATACCAATATAGCTACGAAGTAATTAAGAGGCACTATTGGCCGGAAGAAGCGGCCACTAGTAATGATTGTTCAGTGGGGAAAAAGACTCCGCTGTTTTAGGTCATTTTCAAGCCACTTGCCTATAACTGTAACGTTACGCTACATTGAAATTTTTCTCTCTGATAAAACATTATACCTTGCGTCATGCATTTTATAGGTACTAACTTGTTTTTTAGAAGAAAAAAAAACCAGATATATATTCCGGTAAACGCGACAACACCGGAACGGGCGAGAGGGGGTGTCGGGTGTATGTGGGTAGATGCACGGAAATCAAACGATTGGCTGGCCGATAAACATGTGAGGCGACGGATCCGCAGGTCGATGCAGCATACCAAGGACAAAATTGCCTCATCTCAAGCGTAATGGAGGAGCTGAGGGAGACGAGGCTAGACGAGTAAAAGCAGCGCAGATTGCGCTCGAGGGGTTGTAGACACTTGTCGAGTCGCGCCAAGGACAATGAGTGTGGTGGGGGTCAGTAATCCGGATCAGTAGCAAAATTGCCGCACTAGACATAGAAGAATAGAAAGGTGGGAAAACGGTTGTAGATTCGTAGGGCCGAGTAGCTGTATTACCTAGAGTCTGAAAATCTCACGCTGCTGTTTTGGTTTATGTAGCCAATAATTACTTTGCTTTAAATTAATAGATCATATTATCAAATGCTAAGTCTCTTTACAGACTACTCTTCTGGCTGAGAAACAGCAGGAGATTACCTCAGGCCTATCCTTATATCGGATAACAATATCTAGCTTTTTGATAAGACTAGGACTAGACTTCAACCACAGACGAGTCGTTCCCACCAGAAAGGTGCTGCCCACGTCATTATGCTCTTCGTATCTCTGCTCTAATAGAAGAGTAACAATATTATCGCGCTTCCTCGCGATCGCCTCATTAGGCAGGCTTGTCCAAGCTTTATCAAGCAGGATGGAGGCTGCTCTGTCTAATGCCTTAGCGATCGGTAGCATTTCTTCTGTTCTGGAACATATTAGCGACTGCTATAAGAAGAGTAACAGAAGTGTAGATAGCACCTAGCTCCTTCACGTGGGCCGTACGGAAATTATTACGGAGGAACTGTACCCCCAGAATTGACCCTAATTCTCTAGTTAAGCGCCTAGCTTATATGCCCGGCGATCAGCACGGGAAGATGCGGTCAATTCCCAACATGTGATCTTGAAACGGATTCTGTACGATTCAACCTTCTCTGGAATACTTATTGTATGCACCCTAGTCATAATCAGTACCAAAAGCAGAAGGAGATAAGCTTGGTGATTAATTGAATGGACGACAAGGAGCAGATTGATTAGTTTGGTGATCAAAAGCAGGTTGATCGGTCGATTGGTAAAGACTGCTAAAAGAGCGCTTCAAACTACATTGCCGCTAGATACAGGAAGCCTTCTAAGCTCTGTTGAAACTCCGAAAGCTCCGAAGCATTGCTGGAAGTTGTGGATAACTGGTCTCTGGGAGTGCAGAATTCAGCCTTGTTCAAATAAAACCATATATTCACCGTACTCTAGGCGGCGTGGCATGGTGGTTTATTCTCGTTTTAGTCATGTCCCGGGGAGTGGAGGTATAGCCTGCAGAAGAGGGTAGGGGTGCGTTGAGAATGATGTGTCGTGTGTCGTGTGTGTTGATCGGAGCTAGCCTGACTCGGAGAAGTCCTGGAACAGCGCGGTAGCTCTTTAAGAGTGTGGAAATGATCTGCTATAGACAGGATGGTACACCACGCACGCATATTCAGTCGGCTCCTGTGCGCATGACGGGCTTCATTTGTTGCTGAAGTGCGGGTTAATTGGTTGTTTCAGAAACAAGAGTACTGCTATTTAGACCATCGCGTTAGCATGTCACTTGCTCGCCATAGGAATAATGAGTTAAAAGAGAATTGCATGTCGGTTTGTCCTAGCTTCTCTCAAAAGGCATGGATCTTGGAGAGGTACTGGTCACCAGCACTGCTCAGAACTGCAAACCCATCGCTAATGCACCACCCCCGAGAGGGCGGTGCCCAAGGAGGTGATTGCATCTCCTTGGGATGCCTGTGGGTGCATCACTCACTATGTTTTTTTCGTCCCTATTAGGCTTAAGAACGAGTAATATGCGGTAAGATAACTCCCGAGAGCTTTCGTAAGATTATGGCCCGTCTTAGACACATCGAGGTGTACCTCCTCGGGATAATCAGCATATTCGAGGAAAAAGAGTTTCGACCATTCTAGCATTAAGACTAGATCGAACATATCCCTTAGCATACCCACAGGAAACTGTCCAGAATCAGTATCGAATCTCTACTAAAACACATGTGTACCTACAGGAGTATAAAGTTATTTCAGATTATCATAACGGACATAAAGGACAGACGCCCGTCCATCGAATTCATAAACGGTGGGATCGAATATGACTTCTATGTTTATTTTATAATAGTCTAAGAATTGCTAACTGAAATTGGTCCGACTGTAAGTTCGTTGTGCGTTGGCATGCTTGCTTTTCTTTTCGGAATAGGGTATGAGTTACCCGCATCAAACACGTACCAGCGTTTCCCGTTATTTTAAACTACCTTCTCACAATTTTCCACTCTACCTGGGTGTAATAACAAAACTAAATTCGTGAAAATAATTGGCATCCTCTCCATCTAAAGATGATATATATATAGTATGTCAGCATTAACAATACTAATTTGGAACTTAGTTTTAGTGAGTGATAATCAAGCATTAATCATGATGTCAATTTATGGCCATGAAGCATTCACTATGACATCGATTATGAAAACGTCAACTCCATATTATCAAGGAAATTTCAACGTTCTAACATCATTCTCTTCGTTATGGCCCATCCATTTGCTTCTACTGAAGGTGTTCTACCAGTCCCAATTTGTCTTTTATGCGGGGCGAAGATCCATATGACGGACAATTTGGGAATACCCAGTTCAGGCATCGAAGGAGCCTCGAGACTTGACAAAAAGCATTGGAAAAAACTCTGGAAGCCCGGTCCGGAACATTTTATGATATCAGCACACGAGGTAGAAACTGCCTATATCGATAGGTTCCCTCTGCTATGGTCATGCTTATATCGAGCTCGTAAGCCTCTAATAAGTGAATTCTCATTCAATCATTTCCGGTCTTCTAATTAGCTCAGTTATCAAGGATTCCGATACTAAGTACCACTTGACTGGTATCAATTCGATGGAAGATTGGCAATGGCCTTACTATGCTGTCAATGACCCTGCAAAAGCAAGAATAACTGGGAAGAAAAACCCCGACTACCATACACAGATGTTTACCCAATTCTATGCTGCAGATATTAAGAGACAACCTAAAACATTGAAAGACAAGACAATCGGATTTGTGATCCATGCCCACTGTTGGGCCCTGTTCGATCGAGTCGAAGGCCTAAGATTTAATAATACCAACCTCGCTAAACTTGTCCGAATTTGTCGAAGATACTGGCGGGAAAGCAAACGGTGGGGGATGTCCGGGGATGTACCGAATGTCTCTCAGAGTCCACTTATCGTGCCCGCAATTCTACAAGCCATGGCATCCGCCGAGGCCGATTACTATCACCCAACCTCTAGTCTCGGCATTCTTCCATTAGAGCTTAGGGTTTTAATCTCCGAATTCGTCTGCCCTATCACAGATTATACCATGAGTGATGTTCAAAATTTGAGAAATATGCTCTTAGGGTTTGGATGGAAGTTACCTAAGTGGTTCTGGCGAGTGCGGGTAGACGAACGTTTGTTTTTTGAGTTGGGGAAATATAGCGAGAACCCGTCAGTGGATTGGAAAGTACGGCTTGAATTTATGAGTCTTACTGCAGATCGAACTAGGCTCGGTTCTAGTGGTCTAGCAAACCGTGAGCGGATTCTTGGGATTATGCTTGCTCTTAGGGATGCCTACACAAAGTGATACATAGGTTAGTGAGGGGAGAGGAGTCCTATTAGGCACATGTTACTGGATGTCTTATCATGTAATTAGCCTTTGCTTTGCTATTAATATGCGTATCGCTCCAAACTGAAGATTAAGCACGTTCCAAATATTCAAATCGAGCTTCCTGGCTTCCCGTTTTGCATGCTTTGCTCCGTCAATTTCTCCTAGATCTGGCATGTGCAGTAGATCGACCCTTATACCTAGAGTACGCTGTCCAATAGCGTTCTCTTCTTCACTAGGTACTTTATCTATGTGATATTGCGAGTATTGTGCAGCTTCTAGCCATTCGATGGATAACAGTATACATGTAATCCATGTAAATTCTTCTGTTTATCTTTTGTCTCGCCATTTACACATACCCAGGCACCTAGGTAGGTATTATATATGTTTTACCGTAGGGCTTTTTGTACAAAGCAAAAAGAAGGTGATACCTACTGTAGTGGGAGAAACACGCATAGATCTGATTAGATGCCTTGGGCATCTAATCTCCCAGATAGTCTCATAGGCCTCACTCACCACAGGCACATTGCAATATCATCTTATCATCTACCGTCATTTCGCTATTCCTGTTCATCATGGCTCCCACTGTACTATTCTAGGCCATTTACACTGCCCACCATACTCAGGTACAGGACATCACTCTTTTCTGCCGTCCTGTCTGTTATGTCAGACCGCCAGCGCGCTCTTCCTACTTCACTACATAGGGGTCACTAAGTCTTTACCCATTGCCGTTTTCCCACCAAAAATGACCACGTTTGAACCCTGTATTTTGTGTAACCTATAGGTTAATAATATTTTATTCAGCTTTACTTAAAAATATAACTACTAAATCAACAAAAAACTTCTTTCCGAATAGTCTATCATATATAGTTGTTAAATAGTTACAGATTGAAATGTTGGAGTTAGTTGGAATGTCAATTATATAGTTATAGGCGCCAATACTAAACTCGCGATTTTGAACTTTTGCTTAGGGTTGAAAATTAACAAATCTCTATTAGTAATTCCTACTAAGATATTTTGTACATGTAGATTGATATTTTCCTAATTTTAATTTATATGAAAATAACTAAAAAATACATTAACGTAGTTCACATGCGAGTGGATCACACAAGCGAATGGATCACCGCAGAACACCATAGTTAAGGCGATAAATTACAATACTATATCCCAACAACAGATGCTTAGATAAATTCTGGAATTCGAGGGTATATTTAAGATACTTAGTATAGCACTTTGACAAAGTTTAGAGGAAATTTATAATAAAATATGAAAAATATATATGTTTACAGCTGAGATAGCTTAATTACAACGTAATTTATGGTATCGCCATTATTAAGCCTTTCAATTCACTTCAAAACTCTGCAGGCTATATAAGATGGTTATCGATCCATGGAAAAAAAAATTAATTCAGATTCAAGTTGTGGTTGTCAAAATATATAGATATCAAAAAAAGCCTTAACTATGGTGTTCTGCGGTGATCCATTCGCTTGTGTGATCCACTCGCTTGTGAAATACGTTACTGTATAAATTTAAGAAGATGGATAAAGTTAGTTTGGTGGGGAAATGGCAAATGGGTAAAGACTTATTGTCGGATTTATGCAGGTAGAGAAGGGTTGAGAATAAACCCAACGGGGCAAAGATTTCATGAGCTGCATCAATGATTATCGCGAATGTGGTCTAAAATAAGTTGGACCTGCTCGTAATTTTCCTCCAGGTGCCACAAATTCCCCTTTTTCAATCTCCGTGGATTCGGACTCCAATTGAGAACCGATTCGTTCACATCATCGTACTTGTAAACCCTCATATATTTTCCTACCGCAACAATCCCGTAAACAGGGCTACGGTCTGAAGGACGGCGTCTGCCATGGGTCGACGACAAGTACTGACAGAGCTGATCTACTCCTTCCGCCCACACAGAGGCGTGTGTCTCGTACCCAGCTCTCTTGCACTGTACTATCAAGAACTTGTCTGCAGTAGAGGAATTTTCTTGATAGTGGAAGGTAGTGGAACCTACGTAGTGGGGTCCGGCAAGAGAGGAGGGAGAGAGTTGTTTTAGTCAAGAGGAGCGAGCTCCCAAACTATCTATCTAGCAAGGGTTGATGCCTGAGGCACCAAGGCTCCGACCACCACAACAGAAGGTATGCAAGTCGGAGTATCCCTTCTCTCCGGACTGTGCGGTATGTTTATCCTGCGGGCGTGTTATGTAGCCTTCGGACACAGGGAATTGGAAGCTCAAAATAGCGTTCCATACACCATAGAGGATTGACTCTGGGTCGTTTCGTTCAATTCGATCAAGCTCCTGCGCTATGGCATGGATGGAGCGATACTTAGACCAGTTAGTGGGTTTCATATAATAAAGTTGACGGTGTATACTCACTGAAGACATGATGATAGCTTCGCTGGAGAAGGAAGAGAAAGTATTTTGATCTGAAGTGGTAGATATTCTGCAATATTACACGCTAAGACATCTTTTGCCTTTTTATTGCTAGCTTACAATCTAGTATTGTTCTTGAAAGCATTATTCTCGAAAAACATTTCAAGGTTATTGTTGAAAAGCATCATTGTTGAAAGTATTATTCACGAAAAGCGTTATTCACGAAAAGCATCATTTTTGAACAGGCAACTTTTTGAATTGTTAGGATTGATAAAATCGGGAAATGTAACGTCGTGTAATTTCCTATTGAGAGAGACGAGGAGGGAAGAAAGAGAGTGAGAGGGAGAGATCTGCCTATGTAACACTACGGGTCTGACCCCCACGAGCATCGCTCTCGACATGAATATATCAACAGACAAGACATTCATCACTACTGTGCGCGAAGGCAGATGCCTAGTTGCATAATAGTATCAATGGCATATCATTCACCATTGTCCCCGGATTTGGAAATCCTATTGTCCAATCTCGAGATTCAATGTAGACATTTTCATTGCCCCAACAGAAAGCAGAGGGGTGTTGGAGCCATTGCCCTGCGACTCTCTTTCTGCCATTCCTCCTGGTCTCTCTTTTCCGTGGTTTGCAGCAGATCAATACACTTGTTGGAAGTCAGGTGATCTGCTACTTCCGAATTCTAGCTCTCTCCGATCTCTCCTTCTTCCTCATTTTCTCCCTGTTCCACAGATATCATCAAACAGAGACACCACTTTTATTTTTGAGATGCTTCCAGAAAGTTGGTTAGTGAGGTCGATAGCTGGATAGAGGGATGAGCTCAGACATTGGTGAGTCTTCACTCCAGTGCTCGACAGCATACCTTTCGTTGCTCTGTTGGTGAATAGAACTGTCATATCTCGAACTCGGACCCGGAAATTAATTCGAGTTTCTGCGGACCTTCGTTGATGATCTTCTTTCATTGGAAGGAAGGCGTATGCAGGTCCAAAAAGTAGGACCCTGAAGAGATTACCGACACCCCGGCTCATTGCAAGGATATCGAGAAAGCCAATGCGAGATACTTGTATTGTTCCTTCTGTGAAAGAAAGTAAAGCCGCTTGCTCTGATCTTGTGGTCGCCTTTTTTTGAAGTGGTCGACTACCTCGCCGTTGATCTTTATTTCTTTTAAGGACAAGATTGTGTGGAAAGAAGAGTGCATAGTACTGAGGTGTAAGGCGGAACTAAATAGAGCCGCCACGCTAAGAGAAAGAGAGGTAAGAAGCGCTATAGATCCGATTGCACTAGTGTTGGACTTGTTAGGTGTGTTTTCCGTTGTCTGATAAGACGTCTAAGAAGAAAAGCTTGATACGACCGTGATTCCTATGATGATCAAACCATTAGAGACAATTCGGTTATGTGCACTGTTTGCAGATTCTCTTGCCGCAATTCTTTTATTCTCTTAGGCAGCGGAAATTGTTCTGAGTGCTATAGCAATGTCTCTTAATATTTCCTCTTCGTCTTTTCTATCCTTAACCTTTTCTAAGGGTAATAGAGATAGAGAATCTTTATTAAGCTATAGCTCGCGTGCTCTATGTTAGATAGCCGCGCGAATAGTGAGGGGGACGTATTTAGCGCTAGCTTTGTCTATACCCCTAAAGTCTAGACTTATACAAGGTATTCCTTAACCAAGCTTCTAGGTGTCAATGATACCAAAATTGGCTCTCTCGAGTAGACTCTAGGAGGCACTAGCAGCTGCGTTAGACAGAAAGCTTAAGTAGATATACCACATAAATAGGAAGTGAACTAGGTAAGAGACGGCGTAGATAAGAGTTACAGCTAATCGCGGATAGCTATCGATAGTCTTTTCGTTTGTGAAAAACCTATTATATATCAGCGTCCTAATAAGCATTAGGAGCATTAGCCAGAGGGACGACCATTCCCATCTTAGCAACTAAATAACACTCCTAGTCAATAGGGAACCGCTAGTAAGCTATATGGTAGGACGCTCTTCTAGACCTTCTAGTATAGCGGCGCATTCTAAAGTACCTTTTGCAACACGGCTGTGGTAATTGTCGCTAAGCATCTTTCCTAGGTAGAACAGTTTAACCTAATAAGACGTTAGCAATATTGCGACATTTTTTGGTTATATATAGCGTTCGATAACCTATTGTAAAGAACTAGAACTATCTAGACTAGGCACTTCTAAGCTGCTGCTAGGCCATCCTCTAGTCAGAAGCTCACTTAGATTGGTTTCAATAGGCTAAGAAGGATACATTGACGCTGTCGACATTAATAATGCTCGTCGTATCAACAGATCGTAAATCAATACAGTCAATGTTACCGATATAATCGCCAAAAGTGTTTGGATCAATTTGATTACCAGGGGTTAGCTCATGATCTCAATTTCAGCTAAGCTAGCTACGCTGTCTCGAGTATAACTAGGCACTAGGCCAGTTAGCCACGCCATGATATGCCCCACGAGGAAGATAGCCAAAATTATGATCGTGGTCCTCATGACAGTAACTTTTCTGCGTTCACTAGTGGTAGGAAGCAGTGGGCCATGACTAGTTTCTTCGCCTCTGGTGAAATATCTCATCTTTATTATTTCCTGTGTTGATTGAGCCGCACTGCCTTGCGCCTAATTCGGGCTATGTTGTAGAACGAAAGCCGGGGATTGGATACGTGTGGAGGTTGATAATGATAGCCACAGTCTATGGCACATGCTTCAATTATTTGACCAGAGGCCATACCGCCTCATCATGCGACCACAATTACCTCTCATGTTGCCTCGTATACGTATCTGGCTGTGGAAGGTCCGAGCTGAATATAAGTACTACCAAGCTAGTCCGGTAAGGCTCTGACTCAACATTTGCGCAGAAGACAATCGATTCGCTGACAGGGCGCGAGCAAGATGATGACTTTGCTGCGCAGTTTCAAGGGCTTTGTGACTGGAGGAGAAGTTTACCTAGCCTTGAACAGGTGGTGGCGGAGCTCGGTGATCCGAATCAATAGGGAAATTGACTCTCGCGAGAATGTGCAGATGCGTGGAAAGAAGGACGAACCCTGGGGAGTAAAGCAAAGGGCAACAACATGTAGTTGCCCACCTTTAGTTCATAATACCACACATTATTATTCATATCATCAACATCCGATATGGTGTAGTGGCTAACATCGCCGTCTCTCACACGGCAGCCGGGGGTTCGATTCCCCCTATCGGAGTTTCTTTTTTGGTGTTATATCCTTACTTACTTTGGATATTGAGAAGGTTATGGATATCCAAATTTTTATTCAAGCTTGCGTGTTGGGGAGTTACCTGGCGAAACAAGAATTAACGATTTTTTAAGGTTAGCCTACTGTAGCCAGGACAGTGCCAGCCAAGAGTCTTGATCACCTGACCTTATCATATCTAATCGGATCTTTTTTTAAAAAAGAAAAACTTCAAAGGTACATAACATAATATTAAAAAAACCCCCCAACTGCACTACCGTATACCAATCGCGGAGAGGCTCAAAATAAGACAAATTAACAGCTCCCATCATTACTACCCAAACCAAACCTGCCCACTCCATCAGCAAGTGCCATTATCTCCACCGAGACCGCGGGGTACCAATCGTCGCAAAAAAAAAAAAAAAAATCGCAAACCCACCTCAAATCCAACAACCATATAAAACATAACCTCCGAAATGGCGACAACTTCCACGCCCCAGCCGGCCATAGATGCCGCCTCTCACCTCGACCTAGCCATCACCCTCGCAATCAACAGTTGGCCGGCCCTCTCACTAGCCGTGCAGTCAAACTGGGGTGGCCCCAACTCAAGCGAGAAGCGGGACTGGCTTTGTGGCGCAATCTCCGAGATGCTCACTGATCGACCCGAGACCGACGCCGAGGATCTGGAGGAAGTACTTATCCAAGTGATGAACGACGAGTTTGACGTCGCGGTTGACGACGAGAGCGCCGCGGACGTTGCGGACATGATCATGGAGCTGAAGACGCAGACGGATCGCGGCGAGTTCGGCACTGTCCAGCAGATGTTGGAGAACTTCCAGAAAAAGAGCCAAAATCGGTCTGCTGCGGGTCAGTTCCAGAGGGTTGAGGCTGGGGATGAGGATCAGGAGACGGATGATGAGAGTGAGGAAGGCGATGTTGAGATGGGTGATGCGCCTAACTTGGTGCGGGCTCCCAGGGAGCGGGCTGAGCCTGAGATTGATGATGATGGGTTTACGAAGGTTGTTGGAAAGAGGAGGTAGATGTGGGCTTTTTGCTGAATATTTTGGTTTTATTTTCGTGCACCCCTCGGATAGATATCATTTTCTAGTTACATAGATGCATTTATGACCAATAATTGATCATTCATAAGATCTGGCTTGCGTGTGCTACCCCCTATGTGGCTGAAGATAACCCAAGAATCCGTATACGGTTCAACCGCTGTGGATTCATAGATGGAGCAAAATCTATGGAAGAAATAGCGTGGAAAAAGAAATATTCATCATCGTCAGTTGTGGACTGTTTGTGGTATCATTACGCGACCTCTGCCCACCCGTACCTCCCTGTTCAGGGTTTTTCGCAAGCACATCGCTGACGCCACTTTTCTTTTGTGATTCGTTGTACTTTTGAAAAATATGAACATTCAGGTATTCTTGGTGGCAAAAGCGCTTTACTGGGCCTCGGTCTCGGAAGTGATGAGCTTGGTAATCATACCAATAGCAATGGTTTGACCCTATAATCGATATGTTAGCGGATATATAATATTAGGAAGAGTGTGAAAAGACATACCTGGTCACGCAGGGTGAAACGACCCAATTGGTTGTATTCGTCGTAGGTCTCGACACAAACCGCACCAGCGGTGCTGGTAACCTCGAGACGAGCGATAATGGTCTGGCCTTTGCTAGCGAACTGGGGGGGCGCTTGCTCTTGCGGCCAGTGCCGGGCTCGAGCTTGTGAAGAAGAGAGGCGAAAGTAACCTCCTCGACAGCGGAGTGAACGTGCAGGACACAGTTGAAGCCAGCCGTCAGAATGCTCTTCAGATCCAAAATACGGATCTTAGCCTCGAAAGCAGAAACACAGTGAACGGGACGCTTAGGTGAGCAGAGCACGAAACCAGGGAAGAAATCTTCTTCTTCGATACCACGGAGACGCAGGCGAATCTGGTCACCAACCTTAGCGGTCGAAATCTCCTCTTCTGTTTCACCGTACATGGCAGAGATTTGAACCTCCTCGCGGTTAGGCATCATGAGATAAGTACCACTCTTCTTAATGATACCGGACTCAATGCGGCCTTCTGCCATGGTACCCATGTCACGGTACTTGGCGCTGATCGGCATCATGAACGGCGCGTTGACCTTACGCTCGGGGAGCTGGAACGCAGTCAAGTATTCGAGCAGTGACGGACCGTCGTACCAATCGCACACGTCTTTGGGAATTCGGTCCTTGATGCCGATGGTGCGCTGGGCAGAGATAGGCATGCAGAAGATGTCCGACTTCTTGTAGCCCAGGGCTTCCAGGAACTTGGTGACCTTGATGGTGCATTCATCGAATCGGGCCTTGCTCCATTCGACAGTCGGGTCGTCCATTTTGTTAACAGCAAGAATCAACTTGCTAACTCCAGTATTGCGCGCAAGGAGTGCGTGCTCACGGGTCTGGCCACCTTTCTCGAATCCAGTCTCGTACTCACCCTTACGAGCAGAGATAACCAAACAACCGAGATCGGCCTGAGAAGCACCACCAATCATGTGAGGAACATATGACTTGTGACCAGGGGCATCCAAGATGGAGAATTGACGCTCGATATCACCCTCTGGGTGCGGGATGGTGACCTTGAAGAAGGCACGGCCAACTTCGACTGTCTTACCCTTCGAACGTTCCTCCTGGGTCAGATCGAGAGCCCACGAGAGGTACCAGGTCTCTCGGCCGGCTTCCTTGGCCTCCTTCTTGTATTTGTCCAGTGTACGCTCATCAACCATGCCAGTGGCATGCAGGAGGGAACCTCCCAGAGTGGACTTGCCAGCGTCGACGTGACCGATGAAGACAACGTTGACGTGCTCTCTCCGCTCACCGTAAATTTCCTTTAGGGTTGCGTCATCAACATCAGCCAGCTGTGACTTTGCGACGGCACTGGCTTCGCGGGCTTGCTTGGCTGTCTCGCCGCGGGCTGGGCTCGAACGTCCAGGGCTAGAGCGACCAGAAGATGGCGTGGGAGAAGCCTTGCCAGCGGCAGCGGCCTTGTCTGACTTGTCAAGGGACTTGGTGGCCGCCACCTTTGAGCCTGCCTCAGCAGCAGCGGGGCCCTTGGTATCACCATTGGCTTCCTTGGGGGTGGCGTCAGCAGGCTTGGCTGCCGGAGTAGGAGTGCCGATCGAAAGGACCTTGGTCTTGGGGGCAGCGCTGGAGGAGGTCGCGCCGATAGACAGAACCTTGGTCTTGGGCAGGGCGGTGGTCGACGCGGGCTTGGGAGCGGACTGAGCCGGTGCTGCAGCCTGGGGTTGTGCTGCTACAGGCGCATTCTGGCGAGGCTGCTGGTTATAACCACCATATTGCTGCTGTCTCTGTCCATTGTTGTACTGGTTGAAGCCACCGGGTTGCTGCGCATAGGCATTGTACTGGCCATAGGCTTGCTGCGGCTGCTGTTGCTGGTAACCACCATAGGCCTGTTGTTGGCCGTACTGAGGGTATCCCTGCTGGGGATAGCCAGCATACTGTTGGTACTGCTGTCCGGGGACGAAGGCAGAGGCTCCAGGTGTGAAAGAGGCGGCTCCAGGCGTGAAAGAGGGTGCTTGGGCCTGAGGGCGAGATTGTGCGTTCAGGTTAACGCCCTCAGCCTGTCGGGAAAGATCATCCTCCCAGGATTCAGGGGTTTGGTTTGACATCGTGAAATAAGATTCAAGGTTGAATCAAGGACACGAAAATACTAACCGGACAAAAACAGGTTGGGTCAATAAGAGGGGCCCCAGGGCCTTTTGATTTTGCACAGGTGAATGACTAAGACCCCGCGATATTTTCTTTTCACGTGATACTCTATTGAACGGTTTTTCTTTGTGAGAAGGTGAATGAATACTTGCTAGGAAACCGTTCTGGTTTATGTTTTATGACTTGTTCAATTATCTGATCTCACTACTTCGTCTTTTTTCAAAAGCACAACCTTGTCGGAGAGTTGGGCTCATCTTCTTTGACCTTTCTCTTATCGATAAGCACCCCCCCCCCCATTGTCTCCAAGTGCTAAGGGGCCTCTTATATCGCTTGCCAATACAATCTACACTACAAATTTTAAAGGCCATTGGCCTTTAAGTTAAACCAAGATGGATGCTTTTCTAACTGGGGTTGGTCGCATATATTACTTGTAATGGGACCAGTAGCTAATTTTCATACAGCTCACCCGGCAGGCCATGAATTATGCCATTCGGTATGAATGATGATGACTGAGAAATGACACCTCCAATACTAAAGTATGTCATGCAGGTCGGGAATTGCGATAACTGCCAGCTACGCAATGCGTCAGTCATCGCGCTTGCTTAGAGTAAGTATCATCCTTGCAATTGCGGGAAGAAGTCAGCGCTGATCAGTTCCAGAATGTCAAAAGCGAGGACCGAGATGAGCTAGTCTCCTTGCAACAACGCCTGGAAAGCAAGATACAAGTTATCGCCCCATCAATCGACATGATTGAGTTGATGTGAGTCACCCGACACTGGGTTATTGCCAGAAAGCTCATAATTTACCCAGTGCTGCTCGAGGCAATACGTCATTGGAATCTGCAGTCGCCCTCACAAAGTCTCTGAGATGGGACATTCAAGCCCTAGGGCAGCGGCTGGCAAGGGCGGCATCATCTGAAGAATTAAGACGCAAAGGAGCCAGATCGGCCAAAGATCAGACAAACAGCGAGAAAGAAATCAAGCTTATTATCAAAGATATCAAGAAGCTGTTGGCTCGAATTGAGGATACAGTGCCACTGATGAACCTGGCCATCACCACCTCTGGAGCCAAGTTATCTACCAACTTGCCCGCAACGGTGTCGCCATCTCGACTCCTCCAAGCAAGCACGTTTCTCACGGCAGGGGATACACAATATTCAATGACCCCATCTCAGGCAGTCCAAGTAGGACCGACTTTTACCTTATCGATGTATATGCTATTTGCCAGCCACTTGCGACCTCACGATGAAGAATCCGTCCGCGAGGCCACGTGGAAGGAAGTCATGCACAAGGCACGTTTGAAGCTGCGTCGTGTTCCAATAGACGCATTGCAGTCTCCAGACCAACACCCAAGAACGGAACTTCCAGGACCAGCCGGGTCCGATGAATACACCTATCAAGTCCTGATCATCGAAGACCTAGATGATGGCCGAGTCCACACATTCGACGAGAATGATCCGCAGCCCCAAACCTATGAAGGTGTTTCCACGGCAGGAATCCGGGAGATTCTTCCTATTCATCAAATTTCAAAAATCTTCTACGCAGACACCGGAAGGATCCTCAACATCAGCACAGAGGGCGAAACAAACAACCCAGTCCTGCTATTGAAACGGGACATAAATGCTCTCCCACCACGGCGCATGATGGAACGTGACGAGGTGGAGGAGGACTTCCCTCAAACAGAATCCGACAAGGAGCCAGAGGACGAGGAGCAAGCTCAACTCGATGCACAGCTGAACGGAGGCGGCAGTCCAGAGACTACCATCTTTAATCATCTGCATGAAGACTCCATTCCCGAAGAATGGCGTCTACCTCCCGGACTAGACCCAGAATGGATCGCATTTGAAGTCTACAACGAAGATGAAGCCTCCGATGCCGAGTCGGAAGCTGAAAATCCCGAGTCATCCACAGATGAACCCTCAATCGACCCAAATATGATGGCCAAGCTGTCGCTTAATGAAAAGGGGCATCCATCCCACTCCCCATCTCCTTTAAACCAGTCATTTCCATCCGCCGCTGCCACAACAACGGTCTCCAACCCACACTTTGAGAACATCCGCACATCCCTCTCCCTCCTCGAAACCCTCCTCCGCCTAACATCCCTCCAGCAATTCCAGCAACAATCCCACCTCTCCATCAGCGACGAGCTCCTCAACTTCTTCCTGGAAGAATCATCCACCACCGGCGCTGGCGGCGACGAACAGCATCGCCAGCGGCTCCGCTCCGAGGCCCGTCGTCGCGTTGGATGGGACCCCTACAACGAAAGCCCCGTCAAACACCGCGGCGAGGATTACCAGTACGGCTGGGAGCCCGGTAGTGGCCCCCACCAATATGGCGGCGATACTTACTCGCCTAGTGGGCGGGCGCAGGGATTCCATATTCGTTCTAGGGAGAGTACACCCGAGACCCCGGTGCGGAAAGGCTCGCCGAACGTCCGTCCAAGTGGTCTGCGTGGTATGAGGCCTGCGTATGCTGAGTCACCGCTTTCGAAAAAGATGGGTAGGTCTCCGAATGATGGAGATCTAGAGTCTGGCACGACAGACTGATTGGAAAATGAATGAACTATCATACCTTGTACATGTATTATGATCATGATATGAGCTAACGAATGCATTACAAGATTGATTTTTCCCCTACCCTTCGAACGAATCTTCTCCTAGATGTTACATTGTTCCGGCGAATGCCAAGCGGCCGTCGAATGTCGGCAAATAGTCTACCTAGGAGCTTAGATAGTCAAAACCATGTGTTGAGATACTATGTAGATAGAAGGAATGACGTGCGTATTCAGCCGCATAGACAGATAACATCGCTCACTGGAAGCAAGTTGCAGAAAACAGAGCTGGGAATAAAATGAGAGAGAAAAGCCCGAGACGCCAAAGATAAAAGACCCAACATTCCTAAACTCCAACCAAAGCAAAATCCTCAGCAGGCAATTGGCCGTGTTTAAGCTGGCATAGTAGCAAGATCACGCTCTCGGGGGTATATGGTATAGACAGGTGCCCTCGGAACTAACTTCGATTCTTTTGCTGATGCGTCCTTGAAAAGAGATAGGTGAGTTACTCCCAATCTTCGTCGCTCTCGTCCGCCTTCGCAGCGGTAGGACTCTTCTCCTTGGGACTGCCAGGTGTGCGGCTAGCAGCGCCACTCACAACATCGTAGCTGGATTCGCTGTCGGCTTGAGAATGCTGGTCGTGTGACCGGCGAGGCTCGGCTTTCAGGGTTTCTTTGGTGGGAGCGAGAGTCTGGGCCTCAGAGGGGACCTGCGGAGTAGAGGGGGACTGGGACTCAGAGTCGGAGTCATCGTCCCAGCCGACTTCTTCTTCGTCTTCGGCAGTGGCACCTATAGAGTAGAAGTGGTTAAAACTGAAACAAAAATCACCGGAAAGTTGGAGTCTATATACCCTTCAAAAGTTCCTTGCGCTTCTTCTCCTCGGTCTCCACGACGAGACGCAAGAAGTAGTAGCGAGTCCAGAATTCCACGTATTCCACCTGTTCCGGTACGAGCTTCTCCATGGCCGAACGGAGCTCGGGGTATTTCTCCAGATCGGCGGCGATCTCATCCGTCTTCCTTTCGACATTGAACTCCTTTTTAAACGCAGGCCACTCGTCACTGGCCGGATCTTTGCTGAAACTTTCCAGGTTCGAATGAATGACGTGCAGCTGTGCCTCGAACCGTGTAGCATGAATGACCCGCTTTCCCTCGGCATCCTTGCTCTCGAAAAGAAGCTTGCCGGACTCATCGGCATCGGGAGGCAAAATGCTAACAGCCTCACGCAGCTTATGGCTGATGTTCATTCCGAACCGTAGGATCGCTTCATCAGCTGCTTCCTCTGCCTTTTCAATCTCCTTCAGCCGCCGAGCGGCTTCCGCCTTCAATCGGGCAATAAAGCTTTCTCCACTGGCGCCAGCGCCTTCAGCCTTGTCGCCAGTTTCTCCTTCTGTAGCAGCCTTGGGTGTGGCCGTTTCATCACTTTGTTCCTCGGCACTGCCCGTCACACCAGCTGTGCTGAGAGACAGCCCCTTTGTCCGGTCGGCGAGTGTTTCCTTAAGATCTGAAAATCCTTTCACAGCTTCCTCGCTGGCAGCTGCATACTCCTGGCGAGCACCCTCGTAGTAGGTCTCTCCTTGTTTGCGTACATTGTCCCATAGTCCTCCAATTCGGGAGCCCCACGGACTGTTGGAGAAGGCGCGGAAGGTCTCTTGTAGCTCATCGTTGAGATTGGGGTTGGGCTCCTGGGGTTTAGAGTCAGAGGCTCCCTCTTTATTGGAGTATGCCTCCTCTAGAATGTGATCGTATGCGATATCCATGATTGGGAAGTTGTAAGAAGGAAAAGAGGGTCAAAGGCTTGCAAGAAGGTTGCAGGATCTCCGCGTTCGCCCATGGCCCGACCGCCCCGCTTGCGACGATCTTCAAAACCACCTCAACATTGGTTAAAGATTCTGCACGCAGTAATCACATTGAATATTTTAGCCTTTCATAATTCATAATCTATTAAATAATAACCTCGAAAACACCATCATCCTTCAGGTAAGCTATAAGGCTCTCCCACACTATCCTGACTCCCCATCCAAAAGTTCGGGAGCGGAATGCTCTCCATGACGCTCGATGTAAGAAGCTGGCTCCGAGAGAGGACTCGGCCCTGCAACTGAGGATCTCGGTCCACCGCCTGCGAAGACTCAACTTGGACCACTGAGCCAGGGGCACGTGATCGTTGGAACGAAGTATCGCCCGACAAGATTCCACGTTCTCGTTCCTGGATGGGCGACGACTCGGGAACCTTTTCAGTAGATTCTTTGTCGCTTTCGTGACTTTGTGATTGTGTCTGCGAGGATAGTCCCGGTGCCTGTTTTTGAAGAGAATGCCTCCATGGCTCCAGATTTGTGTACTGGGTACTGCCTCCGTGAGGGAAAAGCTCGGACATCTTCTGCGTATTCAGCGTTGGGATCGGCTCGTGCGGGAATTGTGTAGCTGCATGCATTCTTTGATAGCAGATTGAGGCATCAGACATTGGACCTTCAGGTGGAGGTGCATCATCCAATCCAGGGCTCGATTGCGCAGCTGGTAGAGGAAGGACTTGGGAATCATCCTTGGGTGACTCTGGGGTGTGTTGGGTCGCCTGTGAGCCATCCTGTGGACCATTCCCCCGGTGTGTTTTCTTTGGAGAAGGTGTCACGGAACGTCTATCGGGGCTGTCCTCAAAGTCTCCGTATTCTGAGTCCGCATCCGTTTCGTAGACGACTGTCCTCTCCCTCTTGGTGGATTCATTTCTCGAATTCCCATTTGCTTCTGTGGGGGATTCTTGGTCAGTCGACTCCATCGGAGGTGCAGATGAAGGGAATTGCTCGGTAAGAGTTGGATCAGGATGGATCAAAGTGTTATAGATGCCTGGAGAACCGAATGCTGTTGGCCGTGGTAAAGATTTGCCTCCATGGTCTTGTGAATCCTCAGTCACTCGCCGAACCTCCGAGTTTTCTTCTTTGATAGATTGCATGGGATTATTGATTGGGTTTGACAGGTTCTGTTTTGAAGGAGAGCGAGTAGCGCTGCGAAATTGAGATGAGGTTATAATAGCGAGACCAGGGCTTTCGGGCGTCTGTGAAGAAGGTATCTCGCGCGTCCGAAGCTTTCGTGGTGTAACAGGAGCTGTGGATCCCGGTTGGCCCACAGCTGCACTTCTAGAATTTGATTCTTGTGTTTCTTTTTGTTGAGATATAGGTTCCCCGGTTGAAAGGTCCAGCTCTTCTTCAAAGACTCTGTGCTTTCGTTTGGCGGGGGTCTGACGTTTCGTAGACTTTGATTGATTCAATTCGGGCGTATGGTCGACCTGTTCATCTTTTATGCCCTTCTTCTGCGGTGTCGGCTGGATATATCCCATGTTCACGTCGTCGTCATCATCATCATCATCGATGGTAATATAACGTCGTACAAAGTCCATCTGAGTTAATGTCTTGTCCCGTTTCCCCACTGACTTTTCCAGGGATTTTCGCCCGCCCCTAGGACGAACACTCGCCCTTGGTGTTTCGCTCTTTCGTGGTCCATGGCTTCGGTATGCCTCTCGATTGACGATTGCAGAGCTTCTCCGCTTCTGCGGGCGTTCATCCGAATCACGTTCTCGTTCGCTCATCTTGAATTTTGAGATATGAGCTGACCTGACTGGCGGAGCAGGGATATAGTCTGAATCTTTGTCGGACCCATCATCTACAGCTGGCCGCTCAGTTATGTCTTGAGTATCGCTGCGATATTTGTGCTCGTCAATGTAGCCAAGCTGATCATCATTCGCAGGTGTGGGTTGGGTCACAAAGTCAATCTGGGTGAGAGTAGACTGTACTCGTGACAACGATGTTCGCTTACGAGTGCTCGCCGATGTCGATGACTGTGGTGATCGGCTCCGTGCGGTGACGGTTTTCGTGACAGTTGAAGGACCCCGTGTACTAGGTGTTCTCGGAGTGAGGAACTGATTCCGAGGAGTCTTTGGCAGGTTCCTGGATTCATGCAATTCTTTCATCGCAACAGCAATGGTTCAATGCTTAAACATGAGACTGGGGCCTAAAGGTAAAAGAGATGACGTTAGGGGATTGATGCCTGAGGCGGTTCGCGTCGACGCGTCGCTAATATCGACTTAGTACGTGCGTTATAGTTTCGCTCCATGCAATTCACCCCGTACCTAGACAATGGAATCCAGTAATGACACAAACAAAAAGCATAATGCATTTGTTCCATTTCGGACTATTGAATGCTAGCTGGGGATATACAAAAAATTAAGGAGCAAAAAAAATGAAATCTCAGGTTTGGTTTTTAGGAATAGCCGAACGCGGGGGTCGAACCCGCAGCCTTAAGATTAAGAGTCTTACGCTCTACCGATTGAGCTAGCCCGGCTGGGCTGTTGAAAGAACTCGGGGTATAGTGCTACACAAGCCAGATACAAGCGAGCTAACTACAGAACACGACTATGAAGCTGTTAATGAAAGCAAAGTCTTAGGTCGCTTTATTCTTTGTATTGAAATAAATATTTCATGTTCAACGTATATAGGTAACAAACAACAGATCTGATTGTCAAAAGCTAGCCCTCATCAGACATCAACCATTCGGGTATTGCATCCTCGTCTTCAGGGTCCTCAGAAAGCAAAGAGCCCTTCTCGATCTCGCTATCAGTATCATAATTGGGCACTGGTGACGGTGGCCGGGAGACAGTGACCACACTTGCAGATTTGGAGCCACCATTTGCGGATGAATATACTGAGATAGGAACTTTGTCAGATGATCCTGCGAGGGCTTGGGGTGCAGATGTCGAGTTTGGGCCGTGGTTTGGGACAACCACCAGCGAATAGCGAGGCGTTTTCGATGCTCTGTTTCTGGCAATACTCTCAGGGATCGATGTCGGATTTATGGCCAAGCGCGTAGGCTTTGGAGGTTCCACCGGGTCCGGAGCTGGATCATGATCATCGGGAAGGGATGCCCATCCAAGAGTGTAATCCTCCTCTTCCGGTGGCGGTTCCATTTCCCTTTCGGTGTAGTCTTCGGGTAAGTGCTGATCATGTACCATTTTGCCCTTTCCCGGAGCTTTCGGATGCAGACTATTAGCTGGTTGGTCTGGTTCAGGAAAGAAACCACCACCAGCATCTTCAACATCCATTTCGTCTTCAGTGTCTTCAGGCTGTTGTTCATCGTCATCGCTAGCATATTCTTTGACTCGTTCTGCGATCCTAAGCTTCATCAAAAAGAGCCGCCAGAACCGCAGAGCCTCCGCAGTTCTTGCTTCCAGTGCAGCATGCCGCCTCTCATCTTCGAGACCCCTCAAAACCTCCTCAAGCGCCTCCTGATACTCGACAGCAATAACAATTCCCCCGAGTACGGCTGTGCCACGGCGGCCTCTGAAGTCAAATCCAGTGACTGCGTCGGCATAGTCAATGCCAAGGATTCGAGCAGCTCGAACTGCCTCGGGCCGCTTGATGTGAACTCCGCCAGACGGAACCATACTGGGCACATAGACATCAAGATTCCCATATGTGTTCTTCGGAATTCTTCCCCCAACCACCGGTGGTGGGATGTAGATGTCTGTCTGAAACTCAGCGTATAGTGTAATCTCTTGGGGCTCGTCTTCATCTTCATCATCACTGAAGCCTCCGCCCTTGTTCCGACTTGCAGCAACACGCTTGAGAGGCTGTTCGCCAACTCTAACGTCCCGCCCAAGGCGATACCATTTGTCGGAGCTTCGCACAATATACACGTCAGATCGACGATAAACGGGTTCTGATATCTCACTCCGTGCTGTGCTTTTTCCCAACCCCACGTGCCCAATGATTCGTTTGGGATGGATCACTTCATTGCGACGAATGTGTCGCTCAAGCGCATAGACGGGATGGTCCTTGAAGTCCTGTATATTGCGTGGCATGGGCTCGGCTGCTGATTTGGATGTTAATTCACTAATCTCTGCCTCATCCCGGTCCTCAAAGAAGGGTTTTTCATAGGCCTTTAGCGCCTTGTCCCACCACTCCTCGCCATTACGTGTGACTTCCACGCGGAGTTTCCTAGTCTTTGCATTAAATGCTTTTACATAGCGACGAGTGACGTCTCTTGCAGAGGCGTCATCTTCAAACGCAACCACATAGTTCATCAAGTTTAACGAATCGCTCGCGGGCGGTTCAAATTTCGAAGGTTTAGCAAGAGATTTTGTTACGATGGGGTCAATTGGAACCCATTTCTGTGCAGCTTGGTTGAAGGCTTCCACCCAAAATACCGGAAATGATGAGTTTCGCGATGTCGGAATCGGACCTGTGGATGTTAGTTAGGTGTAGGCTAGCAATCGCTAGAAGTCACATGCCTGAAAGAAATTTTGGCTGAGGAGGACGGGAGGGAGTGAATTTGGGTTGTCCAATCCGTCGAGGCCTTAATGCTGCAGATAACTTTTCGCTCTTGCTGCGTTCATCCGTTGAGGATCCAGGATCATCTGAGGATATCACGATGTATTGATGCTTCGGTTTAGACGGCGTCATGTCTTTCACAGTACCAGAAAATGGCAACGGTTGCAATGAGCATACAAGTCTCGCCTCTACGGCTACAGACCGCAATAGGGCACAAAATAGCTGGGCCCCGAAGTCCCGGGATCCTTCCATTGTCTTCGCTTGAGTTCGAAAATCCCCTTTGGATAGAAAGACTTCAGCATTCGACATGATTGACTTCTATATATTCGTGTCAGTAAATAAATGTTGATAAAAAATATTGTGAAGAATACCATTTTCTGCTTCAACTGCCATTCATCTTCCGCCCAGTGAGCCCGTTTCATTCCTGGTTTGGTGATTCGAAATCTGCGTGCGAAGGCATCTCCAGCCTGGTTGAGACCGTCCATGAACGTGGTGGATCTGCTATAATTTGGTTTGCCCTCATCTGGATGAAGAAGAGCGACTACCTTTCTAGGCAGTGTCTTCTTTAAGAACTCCTATGTTTCTGTTAGGCCCCCAATTGATATGCCAAGGCAAGCCAACGCTCACCTGTAATTCCTCGTCATTGCACCACATGTTGCGCAATTGAACGTGGCCAAGAAGGCAAAGAACGTGACATTTGTGCACATCCAATCTGGCTTTTCTCTCAGCTCCATTTAATGGCTTCCTTCTTTGGGCTGCTCTTTTCTTCTTCTCAGGTTCTTGCTCTAGTGTGATCTGGAGCACATCGTCGTCGCCTTGAGACGCGAGATGTCTATTCAACGAAGACTGGGGTGGTTGCTGTAATTCAATATCTTCCCAAACGACGTCTGATTCTTCTGATGTCGATGAATCGTAAACTGTTTGCACTAGTTGTGTGCTATGCTTGTCTGCTTCGGCGTCCCGGTGTGTTTGTTCCGAGGTAACTAACCCCACAGGGATAGCTTTCATATCCCTGGCCTTGCGCCTTTTTATTGGTCTGTCTGAGGCAAATTGCCTAGGGTCTCTGGCTTCAGCCTCCTCCAATAGTTCTTGATAGACATCTGGAGCATGATCATCTGTCTGCCTCTGGCGTTTAAATTGACCGTCGGGGGTCGCTCTACTCCTTGTGGAACGAGCTGGTGTTTGGCGCACCATTGCAATCCAAATTATTGAAATGTAGAATCACGCGGCGAATTTCTGGGTTTTTTATCTGATGAGGCTCTACGCGTCGCGCGTCAGCACTCAAAGTGGTGTTTTAGTACCCTGCCCTCCTCGGAGATTCAATGAGATAAAACATCAAGAAAACAAAGCTCAAAATATTCACTATTGCTTCGAAGTGATATTTGCAGAATAGATATATGTCCTCGCCGAAGCTTTGCTGATGCATTGCACTTCGAGTCCTTCAAGATCACAAGGTGCGTCATGACGGACTTTTAATTATCCGTGCCGATATCAATATAACCAGATTAGGAAGTAAGCTATTTGCATCTTGTCTTCATCAACCAATTTAAATAAATATTTATTCGTTGATATCATTATTATTCTAGTTACTGGGTTAAACGTGTACATGTTTATGGTTTATGGAACTTTCACCAAGTTATGTGTTGGACAACCAAAACTCGCGAGAACACCATTATATATATCCACTTTAGCATTCCCTTAAGGTCCTTCTTGACCGCGAATCCAATAAAACTCAACTTTCATGGGCGAGACAACACCAACTCTACCATATGCCAAGCCAAACAGAATCCCGTGTCCAAAGAAGATAATGAATTTTCTGGGACATGGGCTGAAAACATGTACCTAGTTGACAGCGAGTCCCAATCGACCAATCATCATAGAAGACATAATAGAACGACAACGCGACTGTACGAGTTGTCTGATAATACGTCGTCTTCAAAAAAGGGTTGCACCTGAGCAGATGAAATAGATTTGGGAATTAGGGATACCAAGCAAAGCGATATGCATATATGTTGTACAAATAATGTTCATGATACGTATGTACTCTGTACGGAGTATTGCAATCTACTATCATGTGTCCAACGAGAATCCCAGCCGCTCTTTGTTTCTCTGTCGTGGATTTGTATGGATTTTCTAGGACGGACATATTCCCGCCAATAGAACTCACACTGGTGGATATAACCTGCCGATTGATCGTTTAGGCTGTCTTGGAGAGCTACTACAGGCCCTTCTAGAGCACAACCTACAACGCAAGGAATTTTCTGAATGAGGCCAGGCCGTAATAGAAAGTCAGCACTGACAATAGCTTGAACATTTTGACACCAATTCCGCATTAGTAGTAGGTGGTGGCGGTGTTGATGGGAAGATTTTCCTCTTTTTATACCGACTGTAGACGTGCATGATCTACGTTTCGCTTGCATCTGACAGTTGTGTGGTGCACACACCTTTTATCTAATCCTGAGCCGTGCCGATTGGGCATCTGGCCTTCACGCAGGGCCAGTTAAATTGAGATTCTAGCAAATGATTTGCAGTTCTAATTCCAAATACTTTTTAACTTTCATTAAGCGATAGGTCCTTTTAAAAATTTCGTCCTCGCTCCATTATACAAAGGCGAGAACTTGTTGGGTTTTTTGCCGAGACCGTGAATTGAACTGTGTGGATCTCTTTAGCCGATCATTCCTGTGAATAAATCCACCCCGCACCAACCGTGCACAACAGGATTAAGGGTGGAATTATTAGGCGTTGGCTAGTTCTAAAGGGTAGGAAGTTTCTTTTCCCTTCTTTTCCTGCCGTTAATTTCGTATTTGTATTGTCGTGCATCCTTAGTGCAACCCACAAGCCGCTGAAAAAGGTTGCCCCATGAGGTGGTAACTCTTGCGGATAGACAGGTCTTCCTCATCCGCAACCAATAAAATATAGTGTTATCATCTGAGGGGAATAAATATCTGTGAAAATACTAGAGCGGTCTACCCTTTGGGCAGCAGGCAACTGTTTTATATGCAAGACGCGTAGTATCAAGTAGGTGTAGCGAAAGCCCCAAGACGGATGGGTTGAATATGCATGTTGTCAAGGATAACAGGCCGTATGTCTTGACTCCAAGCTACCAATAGACTTTCACTATTTTCGGAGTAGATGATGAGTTGTCAAGAATGGAGTCAGGCACATACTTTCAGATGCATGTAGTTGAAATCCTACCGAGTGCGGGAGCAATGTGCAGCCCAGGGTGATTTACGCTGCATACATTTGCTTAGCACGCCTGTCACTTACTCTTTCCTCCAGATTCCAATACAGGTTCGCTGGCTGAAGTTTCCGATACACAACCCTACCCACTAGTTACTAGATACATACGCGGTCTCTCCTTTTGAACTTGGATCCAATAGGCCATTATCTGATTATCACAACCTTGGTATCATGTGTAGCATGCGTCTTGGCTTGGGCGTATATCGGAGTTGTTCAGTTGTGAACATCCAATAGACCCTGTAAATTCCCATCCTATCTCCCCACATGAGAGAAACCCTGGTACTCTTTACAGGTTCCGCATACGGTGGGTAATTTTAGATGTCAGCGACTAAAGCAAGGATCTCAAAAGAGATAAACCGCCAAGAGGTGTCTCCACTACCGAGCTGCTCCGCTGCGGAGTGACGGACGATTTAGCAGTTCATGGGTTGTGATTCGGTAAATACCAAAACACGCATTTACTGTTGTACTTATGTAGCAATTAGAGACAGTAGAGTTTAACAAAAAATAATAATAATAATAAATTAAAAATTGGTGTCGACTTAGCAAATTAACGGGGGGAAAATGCAACTGAAAAGCCCTTAGAGAAGGCATGTAGTTCGAAAATTGGCTCTGGGGCCGACGTTACCGACACGTTGGAACCCGACCAACTTTCCTAGCCGCCGGGTCCGGGTGAATTTCAAGGTTGTTTTTTTGACTTAAAATTGTTCCAATAAATTTCCGGGATGTTCCCTTTGGAAACCCGGCTCCATGGCATCGAGGCCATTATTTTTGGGACAGCTACAGGGATGCTGTGCTTGGGATTCTATCTGCAGGCGCCTCTGACCCATTGTTGACGTGTGTTTTTTTTTGTTTTTTCCCCTTCTTTCACTCCGAATACTACTAATAATATATGTTATATAAGATAATAACGTTTTGATTCGGGGTACTCCGAGTACAGAACGCTCGATACATTTGTATGTTTGGTGTTTTTGTGGCACGCTTGGGAAACGCCTAGACACCTTTGTTATTTCCGTCTATGCCATACGTTAGGACCACGCCTTTTCATCAACGCTTGCAGCAGATGATAAAAGAGTAGTATGTTGTAGGTCTAGAAGTTCAGAATGACAACTTAGGCAGTCCGTACAACATATTGTATATCGATGTAATACAGAGTAGGTAATACTTTTACAATGCAGAAGTTCAGACGTCATAAAAAAAATAAACAATGAAAAAAGACAGTCAATATGCAGACCCGGATTACCGGAAACTATTGTACTCCGTACATGTTCCGTGATGCACTGCGACCATGTGCCCCTCCTTTTTTTTTGGAGCAATTTGGGGAGGAGAAAGCCCAGACATCTAGCCCCCGAGTGACGCTATTTCTGATGGATCACCTCTTTTCCCACCGCTAGGCCTAAATACAGTAAGAGTCTAGCAACAAGGGCTGGGTCGTGCATAAGTAAAAAAAAAAAAATAACCGAGAAAATGCGAGTATTGTGCAGTTCTGTACTCTTAATCTTCCGGAATTATCCCGACATTTTGATATTGGAATTCAAAACTGAAGATAGAAACCTGGATGCAATGACTGATAGGTCTTAGCGTGAGAACTGTACGATTGCTATATGAACATATGTTGAGGCAAAATCCCAATAGCTGCACGTCTCTACGGGACCACGGGGCCAAGAGTTTCTAGTCCTTAGAATTATTATCACATTCCAACTTTTTTGATTTTGATCCGAAGACATTAAGAAAAGGGGACCTCGGGGAATAACGGCGTTCCAACTATCATGCAGGATTCTGCAGTGTTGGAGATTGTTGAACCAAATCTAAAGCGTAAATCCCAGCAGCAAGGTTGAAGGCGGCCCGTGGCTGGGCGGGTTGCATTCCCGGCTAGCTGGAACCCACCTCTATTGGTCAATCGAGCCCAGCAGCCTTCGATCGTGAGAATCGAAATATGCCCTTAGTAACTTCATACATAATATGTCCCATCCTAGGGCCCCAAGAGGATCGGAAAAATAGTCCTAGGTTTGACCCAACTCCTTGGAAGATAGTAAATTCAGTGAAGGGAAAAGGTGTTTAATATTTTGTGTATCTTTTTGAATGGAACGAAGGAGAAAGGAGAAAAAGCCGTAAAATCAGGAAAAGTCATAATTTAATTCCGTCCAATTATTCTTCTCACTAAAATACCTCTTTTTCACAGAAACATTACATGGGGTACTCTTTCCGCTTTAATGAGTTTATGCCTGAAGCGCGCCTGAGTATCTTATTACTTTTCTCCACTTACCGGGATTTGCTTTTGCTTTTTGGACATTTCAAATGTCGATCCTATGAATTATAGTTGTCGGGACTGTCCGCCCTGCCAGATTATAACTTAACCCAAGCTGTCGGGCTCTTTCCCCTCTTCTGGATTTGCTTAAGTCTTTTCCTTTTCTTGGGACGAATCTGGCTTTTCGATTCTAGGAATAGCTTTTACAAAACGCCCTCATACCTGTTGATCCCGAGAACGAGGTGACCATGGGTTCCACAGCTCCTGTAAGTTGGTTTCTCTTATGAAACACGGTCCCCATATGAACACTCTATAATTATTGATATTCTGGCAATTTGACTGTTATCTTCTTGCTAACGTAAAATGATGCAGGTACTTCATGATGACGGGTAATACCTCCATTGGCCCTTCTCACCTGTCGTTTGCTTTACCAAATGACTGACCATATCATAACAGTGATACACAGTCATTGACTGACAGTGTAACCGATTATCCGGTCGAGAACGGAAGAACCTATCACAGATACCACGAGGGAGGTATGTTTGCAATACCAGCTCCGTCAGATCTCCCACAGTGTGGCTAATTCTGTCTTTAGCTTATGTATACCCCAATGACGAACAGGAGTTGGATCGCCTGGACATGCAACATCACATGTTCAAAATGGCGATGGACGGAAGGCTATTCCAAGTTCCACTCCAAGACCCAAAGCATATTCTTGATATTGGTACCGGCTCAGGAATATGGCCTATAGAGATGTGTATGATCACCCATCCCATTCCTAAGGTTCCTGTCTTACCACCTCAAATTGTCTTCCTGCAGCGGCCTTGTTTCCAAACACCGAAATCATAGGGACGGATCTATCCCCAGTGCAGCCAACAGAAGTACCGCCAAACGTCCATTTCCTGGTCGATGATGCTACTGAAGAAGACTGGATATGGGACCACGACTATTTTGATCTCATTCATACCGGCCACATGACCGGATCTGTGCCATCATTCAAACGCATACTACGTCAGTCATTCAAATATCTCAAACCGGGGGCATACATGGAATGTCAAGAGCTAGATCCCAAACCGGAATGCGACGACGAGACCATGCCTCCCGAAAACCAAGACGGGGGATATAGCGCATATGCTATGCACGATTGGGTAGACCTTAATGTGCGCTCAGGTCGTCAGTCCGATCCACCAAGACAATTCCGAATCGCCCATCAGATTGCACAGTATATGAAGGATATAGGGTTCGTCGACGTTGAACAACGACTCCACAAAATCCCCATAAACACCTGGCCACAGGACGAAAAACTAAGGACCATTGGAGCTTTCAGTGAGAGAAATTGGCTCGATGCCTTGTCAGGGTGGTCATATAAGCCTTTTCTTGCCCTTGGGTGGTCGAAACCTGAAATCGAAGTCTTCCTCGTGGATGTGAGGAAAAGTATACAGGACCGAGATGTCCATGCCTATCAGAACTTTTATGTGGTGACAGGACGGAAGCCCCTTCTCAATTAACCTAAACTGCTTCCTGGGTTCCTATTACCCCCCACGCTTTCTCGTCATGACTGTCTTACGTTCTATCACACCGTTCCATTATATCCTCTCCTAGATGATACCCTTGGTGGGCAAAATTTTGCATGCATTGCATCGGCGTTGTGTTTATGATCCCAATTTTTTTCTTTTTACCTTCTATATAAATCCATCTCTATACCTATATTGTTATGCGGACATTTGGCATACATCAGATGGTTCTACCGCTTTAACCGATGAAATGGCATAACATGACATTAAACCAGTAAGTAACATGTGTAAAACCAGAAAATTATGTCCAAAACAAATACTACGTACGGATAAAGATATGGTGTGGATATTGTGGACGGAGGTGATAAATGGAGGTCCGAAGATTGGCCTGTTGACCCGTCCACAGCTGGAGCGACGCGGATATTAGTCAGCATGCCAAGAATCGGAAAGCCGCCATGCGAAAGTTGATGCCAAGTGCTTGCGACAAGCCTTAGACAGCAATTGGCCTGCACATGCCATAGCCAATCCCATGTCTTTCGGCAGACATGCCTACCGGCATGCTCTCAAACCACCAGCTACTCCAACACTTGACCATCTCTGGATCAGCGATGACCTCCTCGCAGCCACGTTTCGTCGCTTCGCCAACGGTCAACGGCGCCATGGGAGCTGCGTCCCCGGACCATTGGAAGCACGGCGACGCCTAGCAAAGCGAAGAAACACCGCTCTGGCAAGCATAGGGGGAGGCACTGCCGAAGATATCGCGTGTTTGTTTGGCCGCAATGGGAGGGAACACATGAAATGGACCGACCATCCATGGCAGAGAGCGCCATTCGAAACCCATAGTATGTGTGACGAGATACATAACGCTTTGAGTATCTGTTAATCTTTCTTTGAAGGTCTCGCCGATAACTCTATAGGTCCTCGTACAGTACCTTTCTCCTTCAGCCAGAACCCGGAGCTTCAATCCGAATCCAGCGAATTTCAGACTACTCATGCTCCTCCGTCATACCTCACCAAGGCGGACCAATCTTCGCGCAAGCAAATGCTGGAGGGATTTTTGAATGGGAAGAATTGGGGTATTGAAGATGCGAGGGACTTCACTCGTCGGTTGAGAATTGACCTCCACCGGGAGCCGCGATATAGCCGACAGATATTCGAGCGGCTACTTGCTCGTTCAGACCCAGACCTTACAGAAGCAATTGCGTTCCTGGATGATCCGTTCCTAAATACCCGGGGATCGGGAAACTACGCTGCAGCGGTCGAAATCTTCGTTCGAACAAAAACGAAACGCGGCAAACGAACCGCTGTTTTGAATGCGATTAATCGTGCGTTAGAGTTGGGGTTGATTTCAACTGATGAGATCTGTCTGATCATTACCGCTTTACCGAATATCATCGTCGAAGGAAACAAAACTCTGGGGTCGTGGGACCATAAAGCTTTGTTGAAGCACTACCGGGGAATGTGGAAAGCTATTGGGTGCTGTAACATCCTCGGGTATCATGATCTGGACAGAGATATTGTTGATACTTGGCTTGGAGAGCTCTTGCGTACTCGCAGCTTTCGTTTTGCCGAGGAAATCATCATCGCAACCCATGATGCGGACAGTCGCAGCCAGTGGCCTTCTACTTTGGTTCAAGCTTGGTTGGAAACTATGGAAGTCGATTCGGAGACAAGCTTGCCATATCCCGACAAGATCTTCAGCCAGCTGGATGTGAACAGTGCGGCGGACTGTGTTATTCGTGTAACAGAGTCATTGGCTTCGTCTTCAGCAGACAGCGTCTCCAGGGACCGATTGCTTGAAAGATGGCGGGATTGCCTCTCCAATGCCGAAGTCATTTCGACTGTTGCCAAGTCACAGGTCTGGTTCGATTTCCCTCTCCCGTGTCTTCAGACACAGATCAAGCATGCCCCTCTGAGCCATTCAACTCAACGTCAGATCATCTTGCGACTCTGGCTTCTACGAACGCTTGGTCGATCTACTGGGCCCATGTATAACCAGAGTGTAAGAGCAACCGATCAACCGATCTACTCATTACTCAATCTTTACCAAACGGTGATACAAGATACCAGCGGAACATTCTTTCCGGACCTCATGCGGGAAATCCATGACCTCGATCTACCATACAACAGTCTTCTGATCCTAGCCCTGAACAAAAAGGGCAAAGCCTCCATTACCAAAACCACCCGCAGAACCCTCGAACAACTGGAAACCTCCCAGCTCTCCCTAGCAGAAGTGTGGAAAACCCCATCCATATATAAGGGAATACAACGACTCTTCCACACCACCTTCGAACAAATGTTCCACCGTATGGACCTCACCAACCCAGCCACAGTTGAAGAGATCCTGAATGTTGTTCGATCAGGCGACTCAAATAACATCTGGCCCATCCTCAGACTTCTCAACAACAACACCCCATTGAAGGTCAGCCTTCACAAAGCCTGGCAGCCCATTCCACACCCAGACGACAAAGTCCTCGTGCGATACCATCCCGGCCCGCGGGACAGCCGATGCCCCGATCCCCATGCTGCGGTCGACCTCATAAACCAGCTGGCAGTTTCTCTCTCCTGCTGCAAACACCTGACTCCGTGCCAGTCGTTCCATATGGTTCACTGGCTTTACAGATATCTTCGCAGACACGGCGGGCCCGTGGATCCGGAATTCGTGCGGGCTATGTATCATGCTGGTGTTGTGCGATACCGCCGCGACGGTCGCCGTATCTCGGCTACTCAGTATGAGTACATTCTTTGGATCGTTGGCAAGTTTGAAGGCCCCGGGGTTGTTAAAGAGCTTACTGCTCTGCCTCAGATTGGTGAATCGGGGCCTGACTGGCAGTAAATGTGGTATGTGAATGGATGTCTACACAAGAAATTTTTGTAAAGTAGAGCGATACGATATACCCCTGCTTCCATATATATCCCTTGCCCAGAGGGTGCTGAGCTGAGCATACAATTTACATGAGACACATCAAGTTTGAAAACTCCGATTTCCTGTCCTGGCCATACCTGCTCTAAACCTTGTAGCATAAACTCCACGAACAGTACGTCCGAGGTCTTGCCCGAGTACGATGGTACAGAAAACATAGTGGACGGAAGAAACCCATGCGTGCTTTAAACCAACCCAAGAAGACCACTGGTAGTGCATTTCCAAGAATATCTAAGTATCAACTTCCATGCTGTCCCCAGTAGCAAGGTTAGTATCACCGGACAGAGTTTCGATCGTGACATATTTCTTCATATCTTCCTTGCTGATAACCCTCTGGTCCAAATAAGCAGTGGTACCACGGGGGAAGCGGTAGTTGCGCTCCTTCTGCGGGCGTTCGTTGGGCTTCATGTAGTTGCGGAGCAGCTGGGTGGGCTGGTCCTTCTCGATCACACACACGTCGACGTTGCTACCAGAGCCCAGATCGTTGAAGATACCAGCCTTGATTGCCTCAGCGCAGATGTCGATGGCGCCCTGTCGGTCCAGGTTTGGCTGCCAGGTCGACTCAAACACCGACATCGCAGCTAGCGATCCGGATCCCATCGTCACATACGGCAGCTTGTCTGTGGATCCGTGTGCATGCACAGTGTACAGTCCCGTACCGGTCGGGTCGACGCCTGCAACAACCAGGTACGCTCCGATGTGGCCTTGGTACCGGAAGAGGTGCTGCTTGAGCATCGTCATACAGGTGATCACACGGGGGTCGCGGCCTGTTGATAGCGAGTGCAGTTCGACGTTGGAGCTGATGAGAGCCGTGGTGAATTCGGTATCGGCGGCGGTACCGGCTCCAGCACACCAGATCTTCGGCGCGATGTAGTGTAGCTTCTCGCAGTTCTACAGACAAAGAATATCAGATACCTCCCAAAAAGAAAATGCAGAAGGTTTGATCAGTATATCTTACCTTGTCTGCTACTATAGGACCGCTGGTAGCTCGGGTATCTGCTGCAATCTGTAATGGCGATTCGAGTCAGCTCCTTGGTCACTTTGGATCTCCTCGCATCGCTTGGGGCCGTACCACAACACCCTTATCGTAGACACAGCCCACAATTGTTGTACCGGTACTTGTGGCCTTGGGAAGGGGAACACCCCTGGCATGAAGCGCCGCATTGCGGTTGTAGTTTGTGAAGTCGAAGCCCGGCATCGTGACAACGCTGGTGTTCGCGACCAGCTGAACTGATTATCAAGATAGATAGTAGGTATAGAAAGAAACAGGAGCGAAATTCGAATATGAGGGGAGAACGAGAAGGATGGATGGACGAATGGGATAGCAAGCTGGAGATAGAAGTGAAGAGGAAGTGAGCTGTTTGGAGTGACGAAGCTCCCGCAGCCTAAATTGTCGCCTTAAACGTCAGGCACAAACAAGGTGTTTTTACCCGGACATTATTTTCGAATTCAATGCTCTTCTTTATGTAGTCTCTCTTGACTTCTCTTTCTAACCCTTTGCGCATCGGCGATACCCGTCGTGTCCCTTTTTATTCTTTGCTTGCCTTCTCATTCCTGGGAAGCCGCGCAACCTCAAGATTTTCGCGCATACTCTCAACCTTTTCTCCCGGAGTCCTCAGTCACTCTATCGACGTTCGCTCTCTACACCTCCCACCTCACCTTCACCTAATGCTCTCAGACATAGCTCTCCTTTAAGCGAAAGCACACGTTCTCTATCTGGGTCATTCAACTCGGAAAAGCTTAGAATGGCCTTTAACTTCGGTGCGTCCAGCCCCGCTGGGGGAAGCGCCTCTGCGGAGCTTGGTTCAGAGCTTCCGGATGTTTTTACAGATGTATGTCCACAACTATCACCCAACACGATCATTCTCTCTAATATAGCTCTAGGAAGTCGGGTTCAAAGGCGTCTCCGGGGATGCAAATATCCGCTTCCTCCCAACGGCATGGCCCGACGACGCGCTTCCTGCTCCTACTTCCTCACTTCTGGCTGTCGCACACACCAAAGGCCTCATTGTTGGCGCTGGTCCAGATGCACTGGTAATCAGCACCGCCGATGTTGTGAGAAAGTCAATCGAGGCGCCGGCTGGAGAAGATATGGAGAAAACGAAGCCATTTCAGCCCATCGCCACAATTCCCCTTCCTTCTCGTCCCACTCATGTGGCATTCACACCGGGCGATGACGGCTTGATTCTCGCCACTGAGAATGGGCCCGTAATCTCGATTTTCGATACAAACACCCTCGTTCAAGGAAATGCGCAGCCAGCGATCTCAATTCCCACGAATGGTGTGTCGCTGCGCGCAATGGTGCCAAACCCCGACCCTTCCTCCACACTTGTCGCGCTGGTCACTGTTAACGGCGAGCTTCTTATCGCCGATCTCAAGGCCGGGAGCCTAGTTCATGGACCCAATGGCCCGGTCCTCAAGGATGGCGTCAGCTGTGCTTCATGGAGCAACAAAGGAAAGCAGCTTGTTGCTGGATTGGCCGATGGCACTGGATATCAGATGACCCCAGATGGAACGAAGAAGGCCGAAGTCCCTCGGCCATCTGATTTGGAGGGAGATTGCCACAGTAAGTTCCAAACAATTGCCAGAACCAAAGATATGCTTTTACTCACAATTACACAGTTTCATCAATCTCATGGCTTGAAAACGATGTTTTCTTTGTGACATACACACCAAATGTTTCAGAGGATGATATGGGAATGAACCCACCTTCTTCATACTACATCATAACCCGCCGTAAGCAGGCACCGTTCCTCATCCAGAAATTGCCAGAAGTCTGCTCGACTATGGGCTTTATGCTGAAGCGTGGCCCCGCATTCCAATTTATCACCCGAATCAGAGACTATAAGCCTCACTTGAAAGATGTTTTGATCATCGCGTCAACTGCGTCGACAGATCTCGGACTGATCACGCGATCTGATCAACCTCTGGCGAACGATGAGCGGACTAAGCTCCATGTTGGTCAGTTCATGACCACAGAATTAAGCGATGACACCAAACGTGCCAGTGTCCCGTTGAAGGACTCTGGAGATGAGACATCCGTCATTGGCCTGGCACAAAATCTGTCAGCCACGGAAAATGTCATTGCACCGCTTCCAGGTTCTGATATCCTGGAGAGCTCGACGCCTCTTCCCGGGGTTCTTCTTTTGAATAATGATGGTATTCTCACATCTTGGTGGTTCGTTTACGCTGATTCCATTCGTCAAAACATCCCATATTCTGGATTGATTTCGTCTGGTCAGGCAACCCAAGCTCCATCTCAGCCACAGGCTATAGCTTCAACCCCGGCCGCAGCTCCTGCACAGCAACCTACATTTGGCCGGTCATCATTTGGAGCTCCAGCATTCGGCCGGTCAGGTTTCGGGGAGCCGGCGGGAGCTCCTGCCTTTGGTACCCCGTCACGCATGGGCGCTTCAACTATGGGCGCGACTGCTTTTGGGAAACCAAGCTCTCCGGCATTTGGCAGTCCGTCCCAGCTTGGTGGAAGCTCTACCCCGGCCTTTGGAAAGCCATCAACCCCGGCTAGTGCTCCCTCTTTTGGGACCCCCTCCCAGCCGGGCGCATCCTTCGGCACCCCCAGTACTCCTGGGCAACCACAGTTCGGGAAGTCTGGATTTGGAGTCATGGGATCTGGACTTGCACAGCCTAGTGCCCCAGCAAATCCATTCGGGGCCAGTGGAGCAGCATCTAGCGGTGGTGGATTTAGCTCTTTCTCCGGTGGAGGCGGCTTCAGTGGCTTTGCGACAGCAAAGTCGGGCGAGTCACCATTCGCAGCAAAGAAGTCAGACGAGTCACCATTCGCGGCAAAGAAGTCAGGCGAGTCGCCGTTCGCCGCAACACAGTCAAAAGGCTCACCCTTCGGAGCCGCCTCTTCTAGTGAAAGTGCTTTCGCTAAGAGCTCTGCCTCACCCTTTGGAGCCAAGCCTCAGACCTCGTTCCCACCTCCAGCTGCAAAAGAAGCCAAGAATCCCTTTGGTGGCGCTGCGCAAGGTGGCTTTGAACTCAAGTCTACCTTCAAGGACCAAGTCTCGCCTGCCAAAGATGAGCCAAAAGAAGACAAATCTTCTTCCGGGGCGTTCTCATTTGGTGGCTCCTTTGACAAGATGGTGTCAACGTCCCGCAAGGGAAGCTCGTCACCGAGTGAATCAATGGATGACACTGAAGATATCGAACCTGTGAATAAGGAGACATTCTCAATCTTCGGCGGGGCAAGCAAACCTGCTTCACAGACTCCCACATCAATGTTCAGTTCAAAGACAACGACTCCAGCCGGGAACACCATGTCGATGTTTGGCCCCAATGCCGACAAAAACCGCGTGACCAGCCCATTGTCAGTACTGTCTGATAAGACAGAGACACCCAAGAAGAATTGGCCTAACACATCAAGTATCGATGTGGAGGCACCATTGCCACCCGATTCCACCAGCCGGGCTAGTTATGCCGCCGGAGATACTTCTGCTTCTTCCAACGTGTCGAAGTGCTCCGTCGAGGATGCCCCCCTTCCTCCCGATTTCACTAAGGCGAAGAAGTCTTCACTAAAATCTGAAGATGACGCTCCTCTCCCCCCCCGATTTCCTCTCCCAGAAAAAGCCAGCCTCGAAGACCGATGATGCCCCGCTTCCTCCCGACTTCCTCACCCAGAAAAAGCCTGCCTCGAAGACCGATGATGCCCCGCTTCCTCCCGACTTCCTCACCCAGAAGAAGTCTGCACCCAAGACAGACGACGCTCCCCTTCCTCCCGACTTCCTCACCCAGAAGAAGTCTGCACCCAAGACAGACGACGCTCCCCTTCCTCCTGACTTCCTAACAAAGCCCAAAAAGCCCGAGGCTGTAGTTGTCCCTGAGGACGCACCTCTGCCGCCTGACTTTACTGCAAAGCCAAAAACTAAACCTTCCGAAGAGGCTGTCCCAATCCCAGATGAATCTGATGAATCAGGCATCTCCGACGAAGACTCCGAGGCCGCAGATGAGTCGAATTTCAGCGATAGCGGCGAAGAAATCACACATGATGAAGCATTTCTCGCTAAATCCAAGCCATCCGCTCAGAGCTCGTTTGGTGCAGTTTCCGAGCAAAGCTCCACCGGAGGATTCTTCAGCAGTCCTGCTCGAAACGCGGATGACAAAGGCCGCCTTCCCCGCCAGCTATTTGGGGAGATGCCCAAGCAACCACTGCTTCCTCCCCCGGGCCCCATTTCCCAAGGTAATCGTGAGCCCTACCGGTCACCGAGCCCGGTTAGGGTCGGAGGGAAAAAGAACGTGCTATTCTCTGAGAAATCCCATAGCCGTAAGGGGTCCACAGGCGCGTTGCACTCGCGCAAGGCATCTCTTACCCAGATTGCCCAGCGTGATGGCCAGTTGAGAAAGGCCAGTGACGTTGCTCGCGAGGAGCAAGAGAAGCAAGCACGCGCACATGCAGCAGCTCAACTTCAGGAAGATGATGTTCTATCTTTGTCAGACGATGACGACGACGATAGACTCCGCGATGAGCTGGCTCAACCTGTTGAGCCCGTTGATACCCTGGATCCATTTTTGGCCCATCAAAACTACATGGGCGAGACCGCAAAGCCAGGGATTGCCGGCCAGGTCGAACGACTCTATCGTGACATCAACTCTATGGTAGATACTTTGGGTATAAATGCTAGGTCATTGGCGGGATTCCTTCTGTACCAGCAGCCCAATACGCCCTCTGATATTGATGAGTGGGTGATGGTCCTCAAGAGCGACCAGCCCGCTGACATTCTCGACACGAAGATGACCTTGAAGGACATTGAGAGATTTGAAGAAATGATTGCTTCGATTGTGCAATCATTGGACAACCAGCGGGTACAAGGAGTGGATGAAAAGCTCGATGCATGCCGTGACCTGCTCACAAAGCAGATCGTCACCTTGCGAGGCCAGTTTGCAAGCATCCGCAAGACCCTTGACGCACACACTGACATCGGCGCTATTCTCGAAGCACCACTTTCTGCCGAGCAAGGTGCGCTCCAGCATGATCTGCGCACCATATTCACCAATATCCAGGTCAAGATGACCGCGCTTGAACAGGCAGTCTCTCTCCTGCGTGCCAAAATTGCCGATATTCCGCAGGCGAATAGGACAAGCAGAAACCGGCCAACCGTCGAGGCTGTCACCAAGACCATTACTACTATGATGAGCATGGCTGAGGGAAAGAGCACAGACATCGATGTTCTCGAGGCACAGATGCGCAAGCTCGGCGTGGACATTGCTCCCACAGGACCCCCAAGCCGCGAGGCGTCCCCATTCTCTACTCCTCGCAAGAACATTGCTGGCCGTATTCCCATGACTCCTGGGTCACGAGGCTCGATTGACGGTAGCGCCTATCACACCCCCGAGTCCGTTTCGCGCGGTCTCAACTTCCGTGCCAGCATCAATGGCTCGGTGAGACACAGCCGTCTCCGCAGCGTGGAGGGTGCTGGCGAGCCTGCCCTCCCGCAAGAAGACGCCATCGAATACAAGGCCAAAAAATCACGTCGTCAGCACTTGAATGCCAACTTGAAGAAGGCCTTCGAGGACAAGCAGGCCAAGGTGCGCGGCGTCGATGAGTGGTAGTTTTCTTCTCTCTTTCTTCTCATTTCTCATTTGCTTTCATTTGGTTTTTCTCTCACGATTCTTATCCGAGATTTGGGGAATTTGCTTTCAGCGTGGATTGGTATCAGGTGGATGGTCTTAATTGGGCCAGGGAGTCATGGCATGCACATACGTACGTAGCGGATCTTTTTTCAGCGCTACGATGAGTGGCGAAATTAGCTATCAAATGCAAGCCCTATCTACATGCAGTTCTTTCCGTAAGCTTACCTCCTGACGAGGTCTAGTTGTCAAGTCCTGTATTCGCATGCGGAACTGCTTCCAAGGTTGGAAGTCGAACTTGACCAGCTCCCTATCTTTAGACACATCCATAGCGCTTGACAAAGAATGTAGTTCGATCAATGGCATAGTCAGGGCAGGAGTAACAAAGGCAAAGAGAATGCACATCCTTACACCTCGAGATAGAACAAGACTAGCTTCAAGGTTGTTCATCAAAGACAGATATATCTTTGTTGTATATAAAGCCATTATATAATGCATGTCAAAACGTCTTTCTTCTAGCCTACGACGTAAAACCCATATAAAAGGCCGATGTCCCCGAGTCTACATTAACACCACCAGCACCACCAGCAACCCACTAAATATATATCCAACCCAACCCTCCCATAAACCAATTTCATCTATCAGCAAGATGCCAGAACGCATGTTGGATAGGTGTCCTTTCATAGTGAACTCCGAGCGTATGGTGGACCCCGAGGACGTCACCGCTCTTTGGATTACTATAGATTTCCCCGAAGCAATGAAGCATACTCATAGTGATGAACAGCTGATGGAGTTTGTGGTTAAGCAGATTCAAAGCCACAATACCGGTATCTTCACTTCCGCACAGCATTATAAGCGACACTTCTGTCTCTCGTTACCAATTGTTAAATTCCCTAAGGAAGAGAACTTCATTGATTTTATGGCTCAGGCTGAGGCTCTGGCAATCTGGTGGCTCAGAGAAATCCGCGCGCAGAAGGTGCATCTTGATCGGGAAGTGCTTTTCCTTTAGTTCGACAAGGAAACAGTTATGTGCGAGAAGACCTCCAAAAAGACATCCACAAAAGGTGCATAAGCTGTCGGACTATCCTTGTATCGGATTAAGGCAAGAAGTATGTGGAGGTGTGCAGTCGATAGGGTTCTCTAAAGTTATCTAATAGATGAATATAGCAGCTATGTTGAAATGAGAAAAGGGACAAGGCCCCAGGAAAGACGTATATTTTCATAAGTAGCCAATAACACCTCAACCGTAAGTCCCGGTTTATGGAATCCATATTTTGATCAAATTCCCCAGTCTGCGGTTCTGGCTCGACAAATTTGAACCGCAACCAGTGTCAGGAAGTGTTATTTGGTTGCCTTTCAACCAAATCTCAATATTAACAAGATATCTATAGCAGATAGATTAGTTGAGTACCAAACGCGAAAGGACCTAGAGTGTCAAAGAAGCAGACATTAGAGGTCCTGAAAGGTATACTCAGCACCTTCTTACCCTAGATCATGTTGCGAGAACAAAATCACAATCCGCATCAACTTGTGGAGTATCTCCCACTGCACAGCCAGGAAGTTTCCAACACGGCGGTTCGATTCCGCCGAGGAACCAGGCGCACTCTCGGACGGCATCCATGCTCAGGCGAGGCGATAGCGATGTGGGTATCTTTGGGTTTGAGTGGTCACCAGCGTCCACAACCAATGGTAATACACATGTATGAGATGAGCCATAATTTCAGTTTGGGACAAGATGAGAAGCCACACGATCAAGAGCTCATAAGCGATCAAATGGAACAACATGAGGAAACCCACAGATTCCCAGAAGACCATCCATTTCACTAGGCGGAATGTGAGGCTAGGGCAGAAGAGCCAGATTGAAAGGAGAGTGATGAAGTACAGTTCAGTTGCTGTAAGCTTGGATGGGAGAGATAAGCCGGACATCATTGTGGATATGTATGATTGCATGATATTGAGGAAAGGGATGAGAAGGGATTAGAAGAGAAGAGACGAAAAGAGAACTCAGGTGCTTGGCCATAATTCTATTGAATATACTATCTAGGTAACTGTATAAGGAAGGAAGAAAGGAAGGTGCCAAGGTAGTTTCCTAATTGGGGTTCTATGTTATGAGTGACATCATCCCGTGACATCAGCCATCTGTATTTTGATGTTTCTCCCAACAACCACACTATCATTGAGAAAAGCACTAACCCATCATGTCTCAAAATGTTAGTCAGGTCATCTTTTTCCGCGTCAAATCTTCCGTCAAGCCCGAAGATCCATCCAGCGAAGAAGGCGAGGCTCTACTGAAGATCTTCCGCGCGACCCAACAGCAAAGCGGTCATGAGAACTCATCCTGGGGACGCACTTCCGAAGACGAAGACGCCATCGTCTGGGTTGTAGGTGAGTTCAGCATCCTCTAGAAACAACCCTCAAGCTATAATATACCCACCTCCCCACAAACCTACAAGTTACAGCCTAACCAAACCAACAGAATGGACGGACGCCCGCGGCTCAGTAAACATCCGACAGCTTGACCCCTTCCTGGCCCCAGACAATCCCCAGCCGCCATCGTCACTTCGCATCACTTTTAGCCCACCACTCTCCAGCACAGAAACTCTAACCAAAAACCCCGTGACTGAGCTGTGCACGCTGTCGTTCCCGAGTGACCTCGAAGTGCTAGCAGTAAGGAAGGTCAATGCGGACTTGATCAACTTCCGCACTGCACTAGTCGAGCAGCTGCCACAGTCAGCGGGGCCGCGGTCGTGGTCGATGGGGCATGTCGACCGGCCGAGTAAGCTGCCGCACGAGAAGAGTCCGACTGGGGAAGCATTCGCGCACCTCCTCGCTGTTGGTTGGGATAGTATAGAGACGCACCTCAAGGTCAAGGCGACAGAGAAGTTTGCCGAGAGTATTGCGCCTCTGAGAGAGAAGATGCTGCCGCCTATTCCTGGATTGGAGATGAAACATGTCAGTTTTCAAAAGATTGAGGGTTAGGTGTTCCAAGGAGGTAGAAAAAGAGCGGCAAGAGGAAAAGAGAGAGAAGGAAAAGAGAGCGAGGCGTCGTGGATTAGTGTTGGGGGGTTGGATGTAATTTGAGCTGTGTTGCGTGAATCATAGAATGTCGGTGGTAATTAGAGCAGGTAGTGGAATGGGAAAGGGCTACTTGATTCAAAGGGATAATTGCGGGAATTGTTATTAGAAAGGCAAAAAAAAAAAACCAAATCACACGCCCTGGAATAAGATACAACAAGAAAGTAAAAGGAAAAAAAGGAATAACACCCTGAGAGAAAGCGAAGGCAAAGAAAAAGAGACTTCATTAACCACCGTAGACTTTTGGGCAGAAACCCCGCAATAAGACTCTCATAGAAAGCGTATGTTACGCTGCTAGACTTAGATCCGGTGTTTCTCACTCTCTGGTCCATCCGTTAGATCCTGGGCACAAGAAGCTTCGTCCTGGGAAGGGGAATACGAACCAAGTCGGGAATAGAGCATGTACAAAGCCATCTGGTTGCACTCCGCGGTACCAGTGATAGTAACCAGACGCTCGTTGCTGCTCTCTTGGGGCTCGTTGATCTTGATGACACTGCCGCTGAGATGGCGTATCTCGTTAATTTTAGCGCCACCCTTGCCGATGATGGCGCCAACCATGTCATTGGGGATATAGATCTGCTGAGTCAGTGGCTGACCGGGTATGGCGCCGCCCACGGGAGCAGGGGCAGTTGGAGGTCCACGGCCAGGGGTCGGCTGCTGAGGACCGCCAACGTAGGGAGCGGGCTGGTGGGGTCCTGCGCCGCCGTAAGGGGCATGGGGAGCGGCGGGGAAGTGCATTGGGGTCTGAGGGACAGGAGCAGGAGCTGGCTGACCGGGCAGGTAGGGAACACCGAATGCACCGGCACCGGCACGGTTGGAGTGAGGGTGGTGACGCTTGAAAGTCTCGGGGTGGCCATATTGGCCGCCGGCGGGCTGAGGAACGTACGGCACAACCTGCATACCACCAGGGACAGCACCGGCAGGACCACCGCTGCGAGTGGCATATGCCGAAGCCGCGGGGCCGCCATAACGTTCTGACAGCTGCTCGACCAAGGTGACGGCAACATAGTAGGTAGCAATGTGGACAGCATCCGCAACACCGAGGATAACAAGGGACCGTTCGGTGGACAGGGGCAGGCAAGCATCCGAGGCGTTCAGGCGAGCGCCGGAAGCCTCCTGGATCTCGCGAATGCGGCTGCCACCCTTGCCGATGATGGAGCCGATTAGAATGTGAGGAATTAGCAAACGCAGAGGGTACGTCTTGGACTGGGCAGTGGAAGGGGCCTCAAGGGGTTCATTGTTAAGGGTACGGATGATTAAACCAAACGCCTGGTGTTTGTCATTAGCAAATCGAATATTCTTAACCAACCCATTAAATGGGATAACTAACCTTGGCAGCAGCATCCTGGGGACCGCTGACGGTCAGGATACGTTCCACTGCACCACGAGAATAATCACTGACAGTGCACTTGGCACCGGACAGACGACGAATCTGGGACACGTTCTCACCTCCCTTTCCAATCACGGTGGCTGCCTCCGGGCTGGAGATCACAGCACGGATGTGAACCCAGCTCGACTCGTCCTGGGGGGGTTGGTCAGAGCCTGCTCGGTCGGCTTGGGAAGCTGTTGATTGGATAGGTTGGGTGTCGACAGGGAGACCCTTGCCATTGGGTGCATCAGGAACCACAGTATCTCCCTGGGTATCCTTGGCACCTTCGACAGTAGGAACCTGGCTACTGGATACATCTGTTTCCGCCTCGGCATCGCTCTTGACTACTTTGTCCAGCGCTGGGCGCTTGGCCTCAGGCTGGTCATTGGGACCGGAGGGCGACGAAGGGTCCTCGAGAGGACGCTTGGTCGATTGAAGGTTGGATGGAGAAGCCGACATCTTGAATGCTCTGTGCCTGCTGTTTGTTTTCACTTACAAGTGAAATCGGAAAGGTGTCAAGAATGAAATCTTCTTTTATGATCGTTTTATGTACACCAGAAATTCCCACGGAAGGTGCTGGTGCTGGCGATCGGAAGGGGAGATTGGTGCTTTGAAAAGATTGGAGAGGCTGTGAAGGAAAGGTGGTACTGAGGGAGTGCCGATGTAAGACGGGAAGTGTAGATTCAAGTGAGAGGGCTTTGCTGTCACGACCGGGGAAGCTTCACGGGGGGTTGCCGAGATGCTCGAAAGGGATAAGGAAGCGGAAAGGGTGAAAAAGGGATCCTTGGGTGAATGCGATGGGAAATAGGAAATGAGGCAAGTAAGATATCAAGCGCCAGAAACCGTTGCCTGCTGTACCACACTGTAGCCTCCGATAACGTCTGAATCTGAGGTCAAGGTGTGTGGGCTAAACTCGAAACTGACGAGTTAATAGTTTGATTGATGAAAACGTGGTAGAAAGGCCAAGAAAGGCGAGAACAAGGAAATTGATGAAGGTGATGAAACGAAATCCCGGTGATTAAGGAGAGGAGGTAAAGTTGACGATGGGGGAAGGAAGTCGAGGGCGCGATGCTTGGTCACATGACGTGTTGCATGGGCGTGATGCATCTCGTCTCGTGTTCAATATTTTGATTGCATTTTACAGGTCTAAATGACAATATCTAAAAATATTCTTGTTACTTTTGAAAGGAAACATTTACATTTCGCGTTACTCAATAAGCATGGATGTATCCGACCAAACCGTGCAGAAGATCCAGAAATTCGCACAAAAACGCCAAGAAGCAGAGTATGAGGCAGCAAAAGAGCCTCTCAGTGGAACTGCATTGCATGTCTACACGCGACGTTTAGATGCAACCTTGAAAGGACTTCAAGAGCAAGTCAAGCGCCAGCAAGAGGAATTGAACAGGGTATGTTACTCTCACTATGGTAGAATGCCCCGACTGACATGTGTTATAGCTGCGGGAGCTCAATTCCCTTGACCTAACAGAATCGGGCACCGATTCCTGGTCCCGTATTTCTCAAGCCCGACGGGCCAAGAAAGCATACGACTCGCTTCTCAAGTCCAATGATGAGCTCCCAGCAACAGACTCGGTGTTGCCATCACTTCTAGCCATAGAAGAAACTGCACGGCTTGTTCAAGAAAACAAGGTCTCGGTTACAATGACCGCCGAACATCTATCTGTGGACCGCGAGCGCCTACGAGTCGAAGAGGCCAATCTACGCGACTCTCAATCAATCGCAAACGGACTCCGAGAGCGGATTCAGAGAATCCGCAATGCGAGCACGAGAAAGGAAGAGCAGACTCCGTCACAGGTGGCACGCGAGCAGCTCGCCCTGCAGAAAAAACAAAATAAAGAACTGGACCGCACCTCCGCGAGCCTCAAGGTTTCATTGGATAAGTTTATCGATGAGACTCTTGCTCCAATGCTTGCCGCTGAGGATCTAGGAGGCCCGACTGTGGGCGATGATTTCGAGGTGTCGGATGCTACGCTGAAGGCAGGTTATACGGCACACGGCAAGCCCAAGAAGCAGAGAGAGCTGGCAGAAACGGATGACGGATCACAGCAGCGGATTGATAAGTTTATGAAACGCAACGCGGACCAGCCTTCCACAAACAAGAGGGAGGCAGCTGCGAAGGAGATGCATGGTCTTCTTGACGCTATGTTGGAGGCTGACTCCTCCTACATAGATTTGGAGCGCGATTCGGCGTCTTCGAGGTTCCTCATAAGAGCCAAGGTCGCGCAGTTTCACCCTCGAGATGCACGGCGGCTTCGATTGATTGATTTTGGTCGCTCACTAGGGAATTGAATGTGGAAGTTTCCACGATTGAATGACAATATGGTATTATTAATTCGTGGATGTGTACATGTATCTTCTTATATCCTAGTCTTGTAAACATGTTAAATACCAACCTGCACCTATGAAGACCCCTGAATGACCCCCTGTAAACCATGAGAAAACACCTAGAGACGCTTGTGTAAACGCCAAATCAATCATAAACATCTCGACAAAAGGCGGGGAAGAACGATAACAAGACATCAAATAGGCATCATTCCAATCGTGGACTTGGGGGGTTTGGCCCTGGCGTTCTTTCGTGGCGCAGATGACTGGCTTGTAGAACGTTCGCCGGATTTTGCTTTTGATCGCGCACCTTTGCCTTTCCAGCTGCCAGTGGAGCCTTGTTTCCGTCGTGTTGGTCGTTTGCCACTGGCAGGCTGGCGTTTGCGACTCTTGGAGGCAGAAGGCGCAGTGCCGGATTCCCAGTCGTCACCAGAGTCATACCCTGGAGATGCTGGAGGAGGGAAGTAGCGGCTTGTGATATTTTCGGCTGCATTGCTGGGTGCAGTCGAGACGGGATTATCTAGATTGAAGGTGGAAACCTCATCCATGAACAAGTCGTCGTCACTATACTCGTCGCTGCTGCTGAGATTGATGACGTTGTGGTGATTGGGATCCGGGACAATGCCGCTGGTCTCTGCTTCCTGTGTCATTTCCAGGTAGCGCCGCTTTGCATTATCTACCAGCCCCAGGATCTGCCGGCCATAGCGTTGCACCTTATCTTTATCGATGCCCGGGATCACAGAAAGCTCAGCAAGATCTATTACGTTGTTAGTTAGGTCTTCCGATGTCGTCGAAGTATGAGTATTTACTTTTGGGGAAGGATATTCCGATATCACGTAGCACCTGATCAGAAAACGGTTGGCACCGAAGTCCCTTCTTAACAACAAGCTATAGCAGTTGTCAGTTTCTTGATGGTGTGTACCAATAGGCAACTACAGAGATCACTCACGTCTTGAAGCATGATTTTGGCATGCTCTTGGAAGTCCTCCACGACTACACGATGCATATGATCAAGTCGATCCAACTTCTGATCGCTGGTGATTGGAGGACCCATCTCACGTGTATTCGCGCGGCGAGACTTGCCGGTGGTTCGAATCGGTTCGAAGCCATCACTATCCTCACCGGCCGAGAGATGTGCGGCTGGAGCATCAGTGTATTGATAACGGTCAAGGCGGCGGTCTTGAGCAGCTTGCACTGGAGAAGAGACCATGGTGGACTGAGGATCGCTACCTGAATTGCCAGACTTTTTCTTCTGCGCGGCGCCCGAGGGCTTGCTCTTGGCTTTAGCCTTACTATTCGGGGATGCGCGAACCTGTAGTTTCATTTGCCGCTGGCCACTCTCATACTCTGCTGCACGGCGGCCGAGGATGAGATACTGAACAGCAAAGTCGCTTTTATTGATCACGTTGTCTTCGGCCAATGCGTCTTCACCCAGCAGCCGGTAGAACAGACGTTCGGCTGCTGCACGGTCGAGATCAGATCCCTTTCCATACCCCGGCATCTTGCGATGCCCTGGAGATTTGGGCCGTTTACAGTCACCGCGAAGTATGTCACAGCAGTAGAGCACAGTCACCTTCTCCTCCATATTCTGAAATTGTCGCACAATCTTGATGGCCCAGGATGCCTGCTCAGTAAAGTCATGCAGCTCAAACACCAAACCGGACTTGCAGTTATCACAAGTGTTGTTGCAGTCCTCCTGGCGGAAGTATTCCGCAAAATAAGCGAGGACTTGCACTCGCCTGCAATCGCTACGGTTCTCACAAAATTGAACCACATTCCGCAACATCTGTTTTTGACGGCCTTTTTGCTGACCACTGCCATCCCCGGCATCAATCATCCGCTTCAAAGTTGCTGTGTCCCTGTAGCCGTAGTAAAGATAGCAGCCAGAACGCTTGCCGTCTCGACCAGCACGACCGGTTTCTTGATAATACCCCTCGAGACTCTTCGGGATACTGTGGTGCATGACGAATCGCACATCGGCCTTGTCAATTCCCATTCCGAATGCAATGGTGGCAACGATGATATGTACTCGGCCCAGCTGCCAGTTACTCTGAGCTTTCGATTTTGCGTTTGAGGTCATACCCGCATGATAAGAACATGCCTTGAGGCGGTACTTTCCCTGTAGATCCTCTGCAACTTTGTCGCACATCTTTCGCGAGAGGCAGTAGATAATTCCGCACTGATTCCGGTATGAGTTTGTAATGGTTTCTGCCATGCTGGCCAAAACTTCATCATTCTTTCCCTTCGACCGTACCTCGTAGGTGAGATTAGGACGGTTGAAACTCTGCAAAAACACTTCACAGTCGGTGATTTTGAGATTGTGCATCACGTCAACTTTGACATTCTCAGTGGCGGTGGCTGTGAGAGCCATAACCGGTACACCAGGGAACCTGGCTCGAACCTCTCCTAGCTCTTTATAATCAGGTCGGAAATCGTGTCCCCATTGACTGACGCAGTGGGCCTCGTCGATGACCAGGCGTGCTAGTCTGTTTCCTCGATGAAGCTTATCAAGGGCTCTGATCAAGGCTTGGCTTTTACTGAGCATCTCAGGAGTGATGTACAGGACCTCCATCCCCTCGCCACCTGCATTTGAGAGCTGGTTCATGATCCAGGATTTTTCCACTTGATCGGTGTCGCCGTTAACCATAAATGCCTTAACGTTCAATTTCCGGAGCTGTGATACCTGATCCTCCATCAGACTCAGCAATGGAGATATCACGATCGTCACCCCCGTTGTGCGTCCACCCGTAACTATAGAAGGTAATTGATAGCATAGGGACTTTCCTCCTCCAGTAGGCATGAGAATGAAAGTATCTTTGCCGGAAAGTGTTGCATCAATGGCTTCAAGCTGATTAGGTCGGAATCCGCGGAGGTGGAATCGGTCTTTCAACACTTTCCTTACTTCTTGAGACCATGGATGGTTTGACCAGAAGGCGCTATGACCGGGCGACTTCTTCGGAGCGGGGGCCTTGGGGGCGTTGCCAGACGTCTCTGCGAAAACTTTGCGGGGTTGACTGGCTTGCTCACGAACGGGTATCTGATGAGCACCATCGAAATCCCCTGCCGCCTCTAATATCTCATCGTCGCTGACATTCCAGTCGAACTCATCAAGGTCCATAGAATCCAATGGCGGGGAGCCCATATTCCGAGAAATGGAGTTTTCATAGCTATCCGGCCGATGTGTCTCTTTGGTCTTTCTAGGACTTGTTGGAGGAAAACGCTGTTGGCCACGGAATTCAGTGTTCAAATCGGCCCGCGAAGAAGAGAAAAGAGGCTCCCGTGGGACTGCGTGAGCTTCAAAGGTAGGCTGAGTATGTTTCATGGGAGGAGGGTCGGATGGACAATCGTGTGCCAACTCGAGGATGTTGGCTTGGGATAGAAGCTGGCAGATTTCTTTTTCGGTTCGCTCCAACTCTGCCTCGACTGCTCGACTCTGCGCAAGCTCTTCTGGCATAGTTGTCGGGTCTAAACCTTGCGAGATCACACATATGAGGTTTTGCTTTAGGTTTTGCTTACGAGAAACACTGCCCTTGTGCGTGTTTTGATGCTTTTGCAGCAATTCAATTACCTCGATCTGAGAAACAAGAGTCTTGTTCTCGGCGATCAATTCTGGGACTGGCTGACCCTCCATGGCCTGCTGATAAACTATCTCAGAGTTCTTCTGCAGAGTCGACCTCAATTTGGAGATTGCATGACCAAAAGCATTGTTTCCAAGGGCCAAGAACTTCAAAAGATCCGGATCCTTTTCCTGTGAGTTGGACGGCTTCGACCAAGGTGTTAACGGGATAGGGTCTTTGGCATCTGCCCTTTTCTTCGGCTGAGTCGATGGTTGCGCAGTTGGAAACGCTGCTTTGGGTGTAGATTCCAATTGTGAATGCTTGATCGCGATCTTTTTCTCGTTCGCCGGCGTAGTCATCTCGGGGAGTATTGGGTACAGACTCTCCTCGGCATCCAGGATCATCTTATCGGCGGGATCTTCATTATTGGCCCAGTCGTCAAAGAGATCCTCGTCATCATCTGAATCCGCAATAACTCGTTTCCGGTGGCTCCGTGGAGCAACAGGTGAATGATATTCGGGTCGTTTTGCCGCGCTTGTGGGGTTTGTTTTAGTTGTTTGGGTTGTCTGGGTTGTCTGGCGTGAAATTGTGGGCTGTTCCGATATAATGTCTCTAGCGGCGGGAGTTCGCACTTTCGTCGCATGTTTCGATGGGGAAAGAAGATCAGATGTGTACTCGTCACTTTTGCGCTTTTTACCGCGTTTTTCACGAGTTCCGCATGGTGTGCTTTCTTCTGCCCATGATACGCGGGGCTCACCAGCCGGGATAGTATCCGAGGATGATAGGATAGATCGATCAAGCTCCCCTGTCAGATCAATCGATTCAATATCATCGTGTCCAGGCGCGTGGAAACTGTCTGGTCGCAATGGAGTTGACTTTAGCGGGGCAGGTTTGTATGATGATAATGGTGGTTCTCGAAAGGACTCTGATCATCGTGCAGATTGCGTCAATCTAATAATCCCCACATAATTCGGCTTACTCGGATACATACCTCGCGCTTTGCTTGATTGCTTCGGCGAAGCCCGTTTCTTTGTGGTTGACGGAGTGCTGGTGAGGACCGCGTCGTGTCGGCTCAGCATTCGAGGTTTGCTCGCCGATTGAGGTAGCAATCTAGCCATTGATAAATACGTCTCATCCTCCACGTCTTCAAGGATGTCATCGAGGGTCGCGAATTCGTCAGTGGGGGAGATTGCTTGCTGCGATGCGTGATTGTTGCGTTCAGGCAAGCTGGATTGAGCCAGAGGAAGGTGGAGAGGTTTCCCTTGGGTTATCAACCATTTAAGATGAGTCGCTAAGTTATTCTTCGTCATGGGGGCCTATTGCTATCATGGCCGTCGATCTTGATATTTGGAGCAGTACAATCGCGAAACTGATATGGACGCGTCGGCACGTGAGCGGTCAAACAAATCGATCTAACTATGGCAGCAAGTACATTCAACTAGAAGTTACATGGTCAAATTAAACTAAGAACTAAAACCTGTATACGATTCATCATCTTATTCTATATTCTCATATTTGCCGAATTTCCATTTCAACAGAATCTAGTGGTGCAAACAATACACCTACGTAGATCTGGTATAGAGGGGGGGCAATTCAGTGTGGGGAAAGGCATAATTTTTGCCCCACGAAAAGCAGATCGCGAAAACTCACCTGTATCCAACATTGAGCCAAAATGGCCAAAAAAAATAAGAAGTCCGCCGAGCACAAGGAGCGTGTAGCAGCGAAACAGACAAAGAAGACCGCGCAGAAAGAAAAGAGATCCAAAGCCAAGGGCAAAGATGCGGACAGCGATGCTGAAGACGCAGACCTGGATGCCATTCTGGCCCAGTATGCCGAAGAACAGGCCAAATTCTTGAAGGTCACTGAAGTTGCTTCTGAGCCACCGGTACCACGTTCGTCTTCAACCTTGCTAGCATCTCCATCGAACCGAAATGAGCTGTTGCTTTACGGTGGAGAGTACTTTGACGGAACGCATGCCACTTTCTTCAATAATCTTTTCGTCTATTTGATTGATCGCGGTGAATGGAGAGAAGTGACTAGTCCCAACAGTCCCCTTCCTCGAAGTGGCCATGCATGGTGCCGAGGAGGAAACTCCGGAGGCATCTATATGTTTGGAGGTAACATTTTCTTGCTTGATATGTTGAAATTGTTTGTGCGGAAACTAACTATCAGCAGGAGAGTTCTCGTCGCCGAAGCAAGGCACTTTCTATCACTACAATGATTTTTGGCACCTAGACACAGCCACAAGAGAATGGACCCGTCTCGAGTCTAAAGGCAAAGGCCCACCCGCTCGAAGTGGTCACCGCATGACCTATTTCAAGGCATGTTATTCAATTTCAACATCAGTCTCTCATAACAGAGCTAATATCAAGACAGAACTACATCATCCTCTTTGGTGGATTCCAAGATACCTCCCAACAGACTAAGTACTTGCAGGACCTGTGGATCTATGATTGCAATCAGTATACTTGGTCCAACCCCATCTTGACCCTTGCTTCCCAAAAGCCTGACCCTCGCTCATCATTCTCCCTGCTACCACATGAGACTGGAGCTGTTCTTTACGGAGGTTACTCCCGAGTGAAGGCGGCTGCGGGTGGTGGTAAGCAAGGAAAGGGTGGTGGCCCCCAGAAGATGGCTTTGCGGCCCATGGTTCACCAGGATACTTGGTTCCTGAGAATCACACCCCCTGCACCTGAAGCCCCATCGTCAACGGCACCTACAGTCCGATGGGAGCGACGAAAAAAGCCTGCTAATACGCCCAACCCACCCCGTGTTGGCACTACAATGGCATACCACAAGGGTCGTGGAATCATGTTTGGTGGCGTCCATGACGTGGAGCTAAGCGAGGAGGGCATTGACAGCGAGTTCTTCAATACCCTCTTTGCTTGGACCACCGACAGAAACCGTTTCTTCCCGTTGACTCTGCGACGTCCCCGCGCGCCCGGCAAAAAGCAGCAGGCAAATCAAAATGCAAAGTCTAAAAACAGGGGCAAAGCAGACGAGGAAGAGCTTTTGGCAAACCTTAGAGCCTTGGAAGCTAAAGTCGGAATTCGGGACGAAGATGACGATATGGAAACAAGCACGCCCCAACCAGAGGAGCCTGTGGAGCCCGCAAAGCCCTCAGTTGTTCACTTCGAAATGCCCCACCAGCGATTCAATGCCCAACTAGCAGTGCAAGATGATACCCTATTCATCTTTGGTGGTACGTTTGAGAAGGGTGATCGAGAGTTCACTTTCGACGATATGTATTCCATTGATCTAGTCAAACTGGACGGCGTCAGGGAGATATTCTACAGGGAGCCTGAGAACTGGAACCTCTTGAACGAGGCCGAAGACAGTGACGAAGACATGGATGACGAAGACGACGATGATGAAATGGACGAAGAAGATGAGGCTGACGCCGAGGCGATGTCTATTGATACTGCTTCGCCTGCCCCCACAGATGCGACGGTTCTATCTGTTACTAAGGACATGGAACAAATCGAAGTTGAGGAAGAGCAAATTGTCAATGACAGCCGACCTTTGCCTCGGCCGTTCGAGAGCTTGCGAGAGTTCTTCAGCCGCACTTCTGAAGAATGGCAGAATATCGTGATGGAAATTGCTAAGGAGAGGGAACAGTCTGGCGACAAGACAATCAAGGAACTGCGAAAAGAAGCTTTCTCTATGTCCGAAGAAAAGTGGTGGGATAGCCGAGAGGAAATCATGGCTCTGGAAGATGAGCAAGAAGAAGCGGGTATCGGAGAGGTTGTTAGCATGTCTGACCGTACTGAAAATGTGGGAGGAGCTGGTCGTCGCCGCTGATACCCTCTATAAATATGCCAGAAAGAATTTATGCATTGAATATCCTATTGTTGAGATTCTAAGTCTGTTCTTCTTGTGTCCGCATATTAATAGTTCCCTAGCTCTGAGCAACCTTTGCCAAAACGTCTGTCACCAGCGCAAAGTCTCGCTCAACATCAACTCGCCAATTCGAAATTGCAATGCGGCAAGCAGGGGATCCATCCCAGCTAGTACCAGAGACGAACATTCGCGAACTCTCGTTGATCTTGCTTCCTAGCTCGCGGTTCAAGCTCTCATCATTTGCGCGCAACAAAACAGACATAAAGGTCTGATCAAGCAGTTCAGATTTAGATGATGCTTCTGGCAAAGCTGTATACGCAGAGTGCTCGAAGACCCATCCGTAGATTTTCCGGGCAAGTCTTATCTGACGTTCCAGCATTTCTTGATATCCAGACTTGCCATATGACAACAGCGATGCATACACCGGCAACGCTCTGAATCTTCGAGAGTTTTCAATTCCAATGTTCAAAGGCGAGGGGATGGAAGGGCCATCGGAGTTTCCAGCAGTCAAGTAGGCTGCATTCGCATTTTGGAATACTTGCGATGCCACATTCGGGTACCGAGTAAAGAAAAAGCCACAGTCGTAGGGAACGTTAAGAAGTTTGTGGCCGTCGCCGGTAATCGAGTCGACCAGTTCTATTGCTTCACAGCCCTTCTTGATTGTTGCAAACTCCTTGCTGTCATCAAGAACACGGGCAAATATTCCAAACGCGCCATCGGCATGCATCCAGGCCCCATACTTGTCACACAGCTGGCGAATTTCTCTCAGGTCCTCACCGGTTGTTGCAAACCGACCAGTATTGACCTCCCCGCAAGATACTGCGACGATGCTGACCTTGTCTGTTCGCGCGAGTTCCTTCTCAAGCTTAGCAATATCAAAACGGAGCGGGTCGTCGGCTCGGCAGATGTTGTGTACGTTGGAACGACCGATGCCCAACACGCCAGCAGCTTTCACGACGGATGAGTGTGGCAGTGTTGATAACACTTGCACCCCAGAAAGACCCAGTGCATTCAATACCTCAAATAGGCCATCTTCACCAACACTCTGGAGATGACAGCCTTTTCTCTCCGCCGCCTTTTGCAAAACAAATTCGCGTCCACATGCTAGGCCGAGGATATTGCTCCCCGTGGCACCAGTAGTGAACGTTCCATTATGCCAGGTAGAACGATCTAGTCGGAAGAGATCCAAAAGGAGACCAAGTGCGTTGTACTCCACATCGGTGACAATCGAGTGATTTGGGAGATGCACCTGGACGTTCTGGTCGTAAACAGATACAACGTTGTCGGCGAAGAGCGCTGCCGGAGTAGTTCCGCCAGTGATGAAGCCATAGTAGTTGGCACTTAAGCTTCCTCCGTTGAATGCCGGGACAATATCATCAACAATGTGTCGCTGGACAGATTCGAGACTGGATCCAGTATCTGGAAGTGTCGCGGGTAGAGAAGCTCTAGCTCGCGCCAGGTTCTCGGCACTAGGGAGAATGCTCGACTCCCAGGGGCCCTGGGCAGCCTTCCATAGACTTTGTTGGAATTCTGTCTGCATGACTGAAATGTGTGGGAGAATCAAACAGTCTCGCCAACTTATACCAATGCCGGGCTCTCGGGGTTTGGGAAATTTGAGGTTCCCTATAAGGTTCGGCTGTACCTCCCAAAAACAGATCTTACATATATAAGCACCTAAACAGATCTAAACAGACATCATCGGAAAGACACGCTCAGAAGTAACGTTGGAAGCCTAAAGAGCGGGATGAGTGGGGCAATTGGAATCCGGAGTCCAATGTCCCGGTGTGATCGCGTGTGATGGCTTGTGATCTTATAATGCAAGTCCACGGGTCTTGGAGATATGTAACGGCAGGAGATGGAGGCCTATACTGGAGATGCCCATAGTTAGAGTGGTGATATTTGCTTGCCTCAGGCGCCGACCGAGTTTGTCTAGGACCTTTCTTAGGGTATAAAGTACTGTCCAGGTAATCTCCAGGGCTGATTCTACCCAGTTTTTCACCCTCATTAGGCCATTTTTTTTGTTTTTTTTCATATTGCCCCTGACATCTGATTCGATGTTAACTGCGCCTCGTGCTGTCAATCTCGAGAAGAAGGTACAGAGCAGAGGTTTCATCTTGACTTCGCCTACTTGTTACCAAATCATTACCAGTTTCCGTTTCTCTCCGAATCCACAGCAGTCCTTACTTGACGACATTGAGCAACCTTATATTGTATATCAATGTATGCCTATTCCAGGGGTACATAGTCAGCCCTGAGCAAGGAGAATCTGTCTCGGATAACGAAAATAAAAGGAGTGGGACCAATGCCTATGATTAAGGCCATGGCCTAAAAGAGGCCATGTCGCAATCCAAAAGACGGAGAAAAGGACTCAAAAAGCATTTCAAAATTCCAAATTCAAGTCGCGCATGCCCCAGAAAAGCAAATCTACGCCAAGCCTTATCCAATCCAATGTATCTAGGTTCAATGATCG